ATTGATGAGACAGAATATTGAGTGGCCACCTCCTGCATGCCCCACACTGGGGATCAGGCCATCAACCTGGGCATGTGCCCTGATGGAGAATCGAACCGGTGACCTCTTGGTGCATGGGTCGACACTCAGCCACTGAGCCACACCGGCCAGGTGATTTTATCTTTTCGTATGTGTCTTTTTAAACGATGATGAAACATATCCCTCAGTTCCTTGTGAATTACTATTTTTTTGCCTTAAATTCTATCTTGTCAGATATAAATATATCTTATTGCTCAAACTATATCCAGCACCTACTCCAGTTCAGGAGCTGTGCCTCGTGCAGAAGGCACATGTGCTCTGTACTAACACTGTCCCCGGTCACAGCCGGGCAGGGTCCTCGGCGGTGTGCTGAGCGCCAGCCTGCACGCGGGCGGCTGAGGGACACGTGTCCCTGCGGGGCACCACTGCTCACACCACTCTGGGCACAACCCTTCTCAACTCCCGAGGGTCTGGTAGGGTCAAGGCCAGCTCTCCGCCCACCCTAACGAAGACTTCTTCCAGCTTTCTTCTCTGGCTTGGTTTTCTCACTTCCTCCAAACACTTTCTGCACATGCTCAGTTCTCCAGTTAGGAAGGCCTCCTTCCCCTCTTCTGTCACCGCCAAATTGTACTTACCCTTCGAGGACTGTGTATTAAAACTCAGAGAAGGCATGAAGCCTTCTAAAAGTCCACAGAGATATCCTCCCCCATCGCCTAAAGCAGGTTTCCCATCCGGCTTTCCATCGCTCCCCCCATTCCCTAGCGTTCTGCATCTCTGTGCCCTGTGTCCTCAGGGAGAATGTGCGGAGGTCAAGACTGACCTGTTCTACTTTGTCCCTTCACAGGAAAATATATATTCATTCATTTATTCTTTCAATAATTATCGAGCGCCATTATTACTATTATTATTACTTTTAATCCTCACCTGTGAATATTTTTCTATTTATTTTCAGATAAAGTGGGAGGGATGGAGAGAGAGAGAAACATTGACATGAGAGGGACACGACTGGTTGCCTCCCGCATGACCCCACCAGGGCTGGGGACAAACCACAGCCGAGGTACATGCCCTTGACCAGAATCGAACCCACAGCTCATTGGTCCGAGTCCTGATGCTCTAACCACTGGGCCAAACTGGCTAGCGCTCGAGAGCCATTACTGAATGAATAAATGAATGAATAAGACAGACTGGGTTCTAGATTAACTGGAGTTCGATGTGAGTGTTGTATTAAGGGACCCACAGTGTTTAATGAGCAGAGACAGAGTTCACCCTAACAGCAGACTTCTGATTGTCTGTGAGACACGGTGAGCACCCACACGTGCAGATGTTATTACATAATGTTGGGCTGTGAGCCTGTTGCCGTGGAGATGACTTCACATGACCTGAGTCCCAGGGCTGCTGTTCTGTGCCTCTAGGCAGCATCTACTGGAACCTCTTCCCTTTTCAGTGGGGCAGCTTCTTGGGTAGCAGAGTGTCTCCCTGGAGAAATGTACCGAGGTCAGGGTGACTTTAGGTAGTTTTTAAAAGATGTTCAGCCAGACTTCGAAAAGGAAGTTTACTTTCGATTCTCTGTTGTTATAGTACCACCCCAAACTGCACTGGTTGTGCTTTGTTTTTGTTTCTTGCACGGGACTTACACGCTCAATGCTGTGAGCGTTGTGTTGCCCAGGAACCCAGACCTCATATTCTCCGTGTTTCGGTTAACCCTTGCCCGCCAGTCCTAACTGGGGTTCTCAGAGTTCAGCTCGCGGGCTGCTGCTGTTACCCCTCTGCTCAGCCTGCTGCTTTGTCTCAGCCTCTTATGCTCCCAGTTGCTACGTCCAGGAGGAGTGACGCTCAGAGCTTCATCTAATGTTACCGATGCAGCCCACCCTCAGCCCACCTCTGCTTTCCGCCCTATCATCTTACGTATGTTCTGAAATAAACAGGCAGAAAAGTAATGACATTGCCTCCATTTCTCCTTGTCTCAACAAGCAGCTCCCATGGCTCCCTTCCCTGCAAAATATTCCTGTTTCTTTCTTTTCCAATCAAGTGAAAATATCAAGGTTCCCATGGCCTGTCCTCACCTTCCAGGCTCAGGTCCAGGCCATTTGTCCACCAATGGAGTTCAGTGTGTGAGTTGTTAAGGATTCACTTAACACCCCGGTGGGACAGAAGCCCTGCATGGTTGGTACCGAACCGTCCCGCACCTGAGGACGCCAGGCTTCCAAGGCAGCACTTGGTGACAACAGCACTGTCGGTGCACAGCGTCCTTCTCCTCGCTGCAAGCTGAGGGGATCAGAGTGCACCCCAGTCTAGGTCAGATTATCGCCAAAGGTCCCCTTCTGATCTATTTCCTCTTCCTGACCATTTTATTTGGGAGGGGTTGCCCGTGCTCCCTCGTTTCCCGTCTCTAGACCACCAGCCTTCTTGTGCTGTTCGCTTGCTGCTTCCCCAGAAATAAGGCGTCATCTGGGAACAGTCTTTTTTCCTTCTTTGCTGGGCTGTCTGATGCATTTAGTTTGAGATTCATAAGAAGAGAGCAGCTGATATTAACATGGGCCCAGAATCCCTTTGGGAGAAAATGTAAAAATTGTGTGTGCTAATGAGAGTACATGTGTGGGGGAGAGGGAGGGGGAGAGAGATTGTGTAATCTGCGAGAGGGTAATAAGTACTCTTTTGAGAAGATGACCCACAGTTTTTCCAGCTTCCAGAAGGGCCCCTGACCCGTTCCACAGTTTACAATCCACTGCATTAGAACGGTCACTGTCAGCAGAACATTGACACTTTCCAGCTGCATTGCTACAGATGTTCTCTGGAGAGTACACTCTTCTGTATGAAAAGAATCTCGGCAGGTATTAGGCAGGGAAGAAGGTAATGAGGGTGGGTCAGGGAAGAAGAGAATGGCATTGGACCGGTCAGTAGGCCTCTCAGGTGAAGCTGACTTTGTCTTTTTGGGGCGTGATGAGTGGGATGAAGGGACACCCACCTGCTCCCCTTAGCCAATGTCATAACAAGAATAATGATAGCAAATACTTATATGTGTAAATGGCATTGTTCTAAAGTTCTGACATATTTAATTCTCACAAGAATTCTGTTAAGTAGTTATTTTGACGTCCATTTTTACTAATGAGAAAACTCAGTTGAAAAGAGATTAATTTGCTCAAGGTTCAACATCCAGTAAGCAGCAGGGTTAGGATTCAAACCCAGGCTACCTGGTCCCAAGTTCATGTTCTTAATCAAGTTCTCATTCTTTTATCTGATTATAAGCAGATATCTGCCAAAAGCAAAGTTACTCAGATACATTAAGTTATATTATCTTTTTTGGCCTGGGCACTATGGTAGGTATTAAGAGATAGGTGATCCCTTATGTTTGGTAGCGAGTTAGTGAAATATTTTCTATTAGATTGTACTCCCTATATGCATCGAAAAGCACACTTCCTAATGCTTTCTGTAGATCCACCAAAAAGGATCAATATGTAGATCCCACCAGACTTCAGCTGTGGAGCTCAGTGTCCAAGCTGCCGAAGGATGGCACCTACTTCCTCTTCCTCTCCTCACCCCCACCTCCCCGGGTTGGGCTTCTCAGTTCTGCTTGCTGCCCGCTGTTCTTCTCACTCCTTCGGGCTTCTGTTTTCTCATCAAGCCTCATGCTTCGGGTGAGTGTACCTGCTGGTGGCTCAGGCTCCGTGCCGGGGCCTGACTCAGCGCCCAGGCCCATGCCAGAATTGCCCACTGGAGCCCCCAGACCTGCCCGTTGCCACCCTCCTTCCCTGCCCTATGGGGCCACTCTGTTGCTCAGGCTGTACGACTGGGAATCTCTCTTGCTTTCTCCTCTTTCAATCCCCTCATTTAGAACAGTACTAATCTCAGCAACCTCACCTCAAAATAGTTTGGAACCAACTCTTCCTTGCCATCCCAAACACCTCTGCCCAGTTCAGCCCCCTCACCTCCCTCCTGACTCAACAGCCTGCTGCAGAGTTCATTGCCTTGACTCTTCATCACACACGTCCAACCACACTCTTTCCTCTTTCAAAGCTTTTCAAGATAATGATGCCAAGACCTTGAGGACTTGCCATGTGCCCGCACTGCCTCCTCTATCCCTATAGCAAATCAGGAGCAACAGCTAACATTTCCCCTCTCTCACGGATGAGAACACAAAGCCTTTGAGAAGTTGGAGAACTGCTAAGATACCAGACCTGACATGTGTGAGAGCTGCAATTAGAGCTCCAGCCAGTCTGCCTTCTGTGCTCAGGACTCAGTGAGCACACTCCAGGGCCACAGGGCAACGTCACAACGTCCTCTGATGGCATGAGCTGGTTCCCACCGTCTCTCCAGGCTCACAGTGCAGTACCCCCTCTGGCGCTCCTGCCCCAGCGACACCACACTTGTGTTCCTTGCACACACCAAGCAGTTTCTCTCTCTCTTCCTTCTGTCTGGAATACCCACCCTACCTCGAACCCAACACTTGACCTTTTAGGTTCAACTCAGGCAACACCCAGTGAGAATAGGTCAGGGCTGCTCCTCTGACCCCCACTCAGACCCCATGTGTATATTGCTCACATTTCCACCTCACCACTTAGGCCCGGGGGCCATGTCCATCCTTGCACCCCAGAGCCTAGCACCAAGCCTGACTCTCAAAGTGCACTGCCCATAATAGGCATCTGTACTTAAATTGAGGTATAACGGACATAGAACACTATATTAGGTTCAGGCATACATAATCGCCATGCTGTACATTAACCCCCCTGACATTTATTTTATAACTGGAGGTTTGTACTTTTTGACCCCCTTCATCATCAAAATGAGAGTCATCCTGACCTGCTTTGTGTAGGTGCCTTTTACCTGCTACTTCACTTCTGCCTTTGATGGTCAGCACGCTGTGGGCAGACACTGTGTCTGTGTAACTGACTGTACAGCAACTGGTCTGCTGCAGTGTAAGTGGACTCTGGAACTGTGTGTAGAAGATGATGAGCACGTTTTTGCTTCCTTTGCTTTGGGTGTAGATGCAAGCCCAGGATCACAGGACGGCAGTGCGACCGGTGCACCTCTGGGTTCTACCGCTTCCCGGAGTGCGTCCCCTGCCACTGCAGCAGAGAGGGGACAGTGCCAGGAGTCTGCGACCCAGACACCGGGGCTTGCCTCTGCAAGGTAAGAATGAACACGCAAGGCCAAGGACGTCAGCCACCAATCAGTGCAGAAATTCTTCATATCGAATCAACATATAAGAATACATTGGAAACGGGACTGACCTGTAATAGATTTCCACAAGGTGTGTGTGTAGCATTTTATAGCCATTCTCATTTGGTGGGAGTTCATCCTTTGGAGGGGCAGCAGACCTCCTTAAGCATCTGATGACAGGTACAGACCCTCTCCAGAAAAATCAACACAAACTTCTGTCTACAATTCCAAGAGGCTCAAAGTTTCCCTAGAAGCCTATTCCTGGCCCGTCTCTGCCACCTGGGGTTCTGCCGGGCAGTAGGAGGGCTCCCAAGCCCTAGCAGATATTCTGAGGTGGTAGAAAGTGGGATGAATCGATCCCACCATATTGTGAATCCTTCTGGTTCCAGTTCCCTACTTTCGAGATGCCAAGGGGAATCCTATAAAATTTAGGAAGTTTTCTATTTGTGTGTGGTATAAAAGTTTAGACAAGTAATGCAGTATAGAAGCTTAACCATCATATATCTTAATGTTTGGTTAGCATCCATGTTCTAACATCTTGTATTGGTATTTCATTTGGGCAAGGAGCTAATTGCAACCAGGGAAACTTTAGAAGAAATGGTCTCTTGGTTCATGTTTCTCAACAGGAGAATGTGGAAGGTGCAGAATGTAACGTGTGTCGAGAAGGCTCATTCTACCTGGACCCAGCAAATCCCAAGGGTTGTACAAGCTGCTTTTGTTTCGGAATAAATAACCACTGTCACAGTACACATAAAAGAAGAGCTAAGGTATGCAAGGAGTGAGAGTCTTTTTGGGTTTTTTTGTTTGTTTTATCCTCACCTGAGGACATTTTTCCATTTTTTGTTCAGGTAGAGTGGGAGGGAGCGAGAGAGAGAGAGAGAGAGAGAAACATTGACGTGAAAAGAACACATTAAGTGGCTGCCACCCACACAACCCAACCAGGGCCGGGGACAAACTGCAATCGAGGTACATGCCCTTAGCGGGAACCGAACCCGGGTCTCCCTGGACTGCAGGCCGACGCTCTAACTGCTGAGCCAAACCGGCAGGGCGAGAGTCTTTTTGTTTTTATTGAGTTCTTCTGAGTGAGGAAGCAATGACTTGGCATGAAACATGAAGGGTCGTGGAAGTTTTTGCCTATTACTTCATTAAAAGGTTAAGCATGGCCCTCGCTGTTCCTCAGCCCTCAGTGTTCTTTCCACAGATGTCCTCATGCCCCATCCTTCAGTTTGTCAGATCTCTGCTCAAGTGTCTCATGCCCTCAGGGGCCTCTCTTCACCACTCCCTACGAAATAGCTCGCCCTGGTCACTCTCCGTGTGCTTACCCTTGTTGTATAGTGTACTCAGTAGCATGTATCACTTCCTGCCATATTATACATTTAGTTCTAAAATGTATTTACTATCTGCTTTCCTCCACCACTAGCATGTGAGCTCCTGATTCATTCCCAGTGCCTGCAGCAGCATCTGGAACATAGCAGATGCTCATTAAACACTCGTTAAATAAAGGGACTTGGTTGGTCTTCCCCTTGTTTCTTCTTCTCTGCTTATCTTCTTCCTGTCTTATCTTCCTTCTCATGTGTTTCACCACATCTTTTCTTTGGCCACATTTTAAATGAACTCCATGAAACTAAAACTTTTGTTGCCTTCATTATTCCATGAGCCAGTAGTCTAATTTTTGCTTTCTTTGTGAGAGTAATGTCTTATATCCAACCAGTATTCAAAGAAAGAATTTTTTTTTTTTACTTATTTTGTTGCCAGCCTCCTAAAAGGAGTATAAGCTTATAATGGGGGGGGGGGGGGGAGTAGTTTGTAAATCTACTCTGACGTCTCCTCTCATTACCCCATGGAGCCCAGAAGCATTATTCCTAATCTATGCCTTGTCAGTTCCTTTGTTTTCTCCCTCTCATTTAACTCCTGGCCTCCTTTGTGATCAGGGAACTATTTGATTACGATGCTCCATTTAGAGAAAAATAACGATAGCTTACCACTGTATTCCACATCACATTTTATATATAAGGAGCTCACCATTAAAATGTGTTCCCTGTATGAGGTGTTATTCATATACTTATTTAGTATTTTTTGAACATTTGTGGATGCCTACTAAAAGTCAAGAACCAGGATGTGTGCTGGGTACAAAGATAAACCCCATACCCACATGCTCTCTGCCCTCTGAGAATTCTGAGGACCAGCCAAGAGGAGACACAGAGAGGAAGCCTTTTAAGCAAGGTGGCCGCCCCACGACTCTTTCTGTTCTGCATCATCCAGCCATCATCAGGAAGTCACAGGCACACGCTTCCATCCCTTGCTTTTGTGTTCCAGTTTGTGGATATGATGGGCTGGCGCCTGGAGACAGCAGACAGAGCAGAGATCCCTGTCTCATTCAACCCAGGCAGCAGCAGCGTGGTGGCTGACCTCCAGGAGCTGCCCTCAACAGTTCACAGTGCAACCTGGGTCGCACCTCCATCCTACCTGGGGGACAAGGTAATAATATCCTGTTGTTCTCCCACGCCTGCGCGGGACCTCCTCCCTCACTGCATGAGCATTGCTCACTGGGTGTCTGGAAGGGAGCATCAGGAAGTTCAGGTTACTGAAATGGAAGAAATTAGGTGAACTACACATGCAAAAGAGATGCTGACACCCGCTGGGAGGGGCCCAGACCATGAACTCATGGACCTCACATTCATTCAGCTCATTAGCTGAGGAAGTCATGCACCAGGTTTTTCTCGATTTTTTTACTTAATGCCAAAAGTCATAACCATTTAAATCATGTCTGTTGCAAATGGGACATGTATGCTTTTAAATGCCAAGCTCGGAATTCTTTGTTGTAAAGCAGAAGAAGGGCTCCTTGTCAGGAAAACAAAAGCTGAAAAGTGACCCATGAGATTACTCAAAGGAGCACAGGCTCTGGGGCAGTCGGCTTTCTTCAGGGAGTGACGTGGGGCTAGTTAGACACTCCCGTGGGAGCTGGCTCTCCCTTGCTGCATAAATTGTTATTTCAGAGCCTGGCCAGCTGTACTCATTCATGAGGACAGAGGTTGGACCTCCTGTGGAAACACTATCAGGTGACATATGCACCTGGTGGCCTAGATTAGTGTTGAGAAGGGGTGGATTTCATAGGGCCGGCTCAGGTAATGCCATAGTCTCACCTTCAGAATGACTAAATATCAGGGCTTGTTGGCCTGAGCTCTTTAATTCTGTCTTCCGGTTGAAGGACTGGGTTTTGACCTTTGAGTGTGTGGAACGTTGCTCCTCTCATATAACCCTGTTTCTCCCTCATGTAATGCTCCTCTGCACCTCCACTGGGTGGGCCCATGTGCTGGTCATCTAGTGCTGTGTAACAAGTGACCCCACAACTTTGCTTCTTAAAGCAACAAACAATTAGGACCTTGCCTAGTTTCTGTGGATCAGGAATCCAGGAGCAGGTGGCTCAGAGTGTCTCATGAGGGTGCAGTCAAGATGGCAGCCAGGGCTGTGGCATCTGGGGCTGGAGAACCCACTTCTAAGCTTACTCACGTGGTGGTCAGCAGGTCTCTGTTCCTCACTCGCTGTGAATTGGAGAACTCAGTTCTTCATTGAATTAAGCTCTCTTTCCAGAGGTTGCCTGAGGGTCTTCATGACCTGGCAGCTGGCTTCCTCTAAAACAACTGATAGATAGATGATAGATAGATAGATAGATAGATAGATAGATAGATAGATAGATAGATGATAGATAGATGATAGATAGATAGATAGATAGATAGATAGATAGATAGATAGATGATAGATAGATGATAGATAGATAGATAGATAGATAGATAGATAGATAGATGATAGATAGATAGATAGATAGATAGATAGATAGATAGATAGATAGATAGGCAGACTCAAAACAGAAGCCATAGTCATTTTATAACCTAGTTTCAGAAATGACATGTTCTCACTTCTGCCATATTCTACTCATTAGAAGCCAGTCACTAAGTCCAGCCCACACTAAAGGGAAGGGAATTAAAAACAGGATACCAAAGAATATGGAGACATATTTTTAAAATTACCTTAGCCATCAAAAAGGCAGTATAATTGACCCTTGAACAGCATGGGTTTGAACTGTAGGGGTCCACTTATATGCGGATGTTTTCATCTTATAAACAGATGATGTAAACTTACATTATCAATAAATACATGCCATACTATAAATGTATTTTCTCTTCCTTGTGATTTTCTTAATATTTTTCTCTAGCTTACTTTATTATAAGAATATAGTATGTAATATATATAACATACAAAATATGTGTTATCAATTGAATATTTATGTTATCGGTAAGCAGTTCTGGTGAACAGTAGGCTATTAATAGTTAAGGTTTCGGAGAGATTAAAGTTATATACAGATTTTTCAACTATGCAGGAAGGGGTGTGAGACCTCTAACCCCCTCATTGTTTAAGGGTCAACTGTACTCAGTAAGATGATTCAAGATGCTGCCTTAGCATTCTTCCAGACTCCAAGATCAGAACTCTGTAAAGCTTTGTCAGGGTATGGATTCTAGGGGAAAACCTCAGTGGACTGGGGGTCCAGAAATGCTACTCCTTCCCTGCTGCAAGTTATTTGCATTCTTCAGTCAGGGTATTTTGTCCTGCCTGCTCTGATGTATATTGCTTCTGATTCCCATCCCTTCGTTACTCCTTCCTCCTGGTTGGTTTTTACTTTAAGGGTGGGAGGTGTCAGGACCAGAATGAAGTTGCTGTCAGAAAACCACAGCCATTCGTCCCCACATCTCCACCACCATCATGCCATTCACGTGCCCTGAGAGGAAGTCCATACACCTGTGTAGTAGTCAGACACGGCTATGTACGCAGGAGAATGTGTGATCACTCAGGAAATAGTCACCATCTGCTCTCAGGGAAAGGTTTTTGAACATTTATGTTTAGAGGTTCATTTTGTAACTGATAGATATGAACCAAGTCTCTCCATGAAGTAAGAAACCAATGGCCTAAATTTCTTAGAATTGCTGTGGACTAAATAAATGCTCTGGTTTAGCAGTCAACTAGAATAAAAGAATCTTATTTGTTTCTGTGTGACTATTATTTTTTTTTTAACAGAAGTATCTTTTTTATCATTGACAGCATTACAGATGTTGTCCATCCTCCCTACCCCCCCCCCCAGTCCCCACCCCCATCTCTCTGGCAATCACCACACTGTCATCTGTGTCCATGGGCTATGAGTATATGTTTTTTGGCTAATCTCTTCCCCTTCCTTTGCTTGTAAAACTCAAGTTCATGTTAAACATTCAAATTGATATAAAATGGCATAATGTGGGACCATCTTCAATTTCACCATCTAAGGATGACCACTGCTAATAGGTTGATGATGTATCTTTCCAGATCTATGTGCCTATGTACTTTTTATAGGGGCTAATGTTGCCATAGTCTCTTCTAATGTTTGTGTTACTGATCCTAACATTTCAATCTTAGGTTTCCTCCTACGGTGGCTACCTCACCTACCAAATCAAGTCATTCGGCCTACCTGGTGACATGGTTCTTCTGGGGAGACAGCCAGATGTGCAGCTCACCGTAGGTATCAGAACACGCCCAGGTCACCTTGACGCTGATTCGGGTTTAGGACAGCTTGATAAGGGGCCTACAGAACGTTTATATTAAGTCATTTTCAATATTTCGTAGAAGCTAAGAGAAGTTTAGAGCATGTAGCACCTCCCCAGGATCCTCACCGCTGACCACCCCATGCCCAAACCGCTTCTCTTTTGCCGCCTCCCACTGTACTTAGTGTCTCACCCTTGCCTCTCGCGAGTTCATGTTAAACTCTTGTTACGCTTCTATCTTTATATTTAGTTTCACAAATGTTTTTGAGCCCGTCCTGTTTACAAGACCATGTTGCTGGGCTCATAAAGGACAGGTAATCCCTGACCTCAAAAAGAGTGTAATCTAAAAGGGGAGATAAGAAAAAAAAAAACAAAAAAAACTGCAGATAGCTTTATTCCACTGAATAGTAAGCATGTGAGGCAAGGTCCCACCAAGGCTGTGGGGTCTGGGGTCCAAGTGGAGACTTAGGTGGTAGAGAGGCCCCCAGAACACTTGCTGAAAAAGGTTCGTTTGAGCCAGGCCTTTAAGTGTGGGCGTGAGAGGAGAAACACCCTTGCAGCCGTGAAGAATGAGGTAAACTGAGGCAGAGGGGTGACCAGTCCAACCTGGCTGTATTACCACTGCGTGCTGGGTCATCGAAGACAAGCCTGGCAGGGCAGGGAGGAGGGTGTTCAATGCTATGATAAGCAACTTGGCCTGATGCAGATAGTGGGGGGCCAGTTTGGCTCTTTGAGAAGAAAAGTGACATCACCTACACAATCCAGAACTGCCATCTAGAAAAGTCCTGAGGGACGGGGCAATGTCACATCCTGCATGGGTTCCCTACAATGTACGGCTGGAGTGCCACAGCCTGAACTTGACTGTGCTTCTGGTTTGAGTGCTGTGATTAATGTGACGCAATCACAGCTTCCTGCAGGGTTACCGCTCACTGCGCAATAGGGACTAGCGAGTCTCCCACCTTGCACAGACGAGGCCTCACGTTCGGGCACATTTTTGTGTTAGGCACTGCAGTGGTGTGTTTTGTGCTTACTAGCACCCAAATTTATTGAGCTGTTGTTTTAAAAACTCAAAGAAACCTTTGCAAAACACCTTACAGACCAAGCAGCAAAGGTTTTAGAGTTATAGTGGAAGGAAAGATAGCTCCACAATAAAATACTGTCATCGCCGTACTGCATTTCAGTTTCGTTATTTTCGCAGAGTAGCTCAAGTTCAGGCCATTAGTGTCCTATATTTTACTGCCAGAGAGTTTATCATGCAAACTGTTAGAATTCACGCAGAGGTGATGATCAAAATTTCTCTTTCATGGCACCTTCAAACGTGGGGGCAAGAATTAGGCTCACGAAGCATCACCCTGCTTCGTTCCAAACTGCTAGGATTAAGAGGCTATTGGGCATGTTTCTTAGGTGAAGGTTTAAATGATGTGTGATCGCAGATAATGCTCTTCTTTCTGCAACACTGGCTCTACTGAATGACTTTCGGGTTCAGGGCTACAACAAAAAAGCTGGGGCTTTGTGTATGTGTGTTTTTAGAGTGGGGGTGCTGATGGTGGGCGCTGACTTTCCCATTGACACCTGTGAGTGGTCCCTCAGGAGCCACTGCACTGAGGAGCGGGGTGCAGAGGCTGCGTGAACGAGGCTGGGGCCCGGAGGGTGAGGGCTGCGCTGGAGGCCTGCTAACCTTTCTGCCTACCCCACCCGCCAAAGCACTGTCTCGCCACCACAGTCAGGTCCTGTAGGCAGGAATAGAGACAGCACCTGTGGTTTGAAAAAAATTTGTTTGCATCTTGTTAGCCATTTTTCAGTTAGGAAAATTTTGGAGTTTCCTATTTGTATGCAAACGCACTGTATTAGGTGGTATTATTCTGCTTCCATGTCAGTAATCCTTTGCCAGTCAGTTTATTTCCCAACAATTTCTCAGAATCAGGTACTCCCTGCAGTGCAGATCCATAGGAATTGGTTCTTAGCTCCATCATAAACTTCAAAACATCCCAGCCGCAGCATTAACGCATTTGTGTTTTTCTTTAAACAGGGTCAGCGCATGTCTGTATTCTACGAGGAGCCGAACAGCCCACGGCCAGACAGGCTGTACCATGGGCGAGTGCAGGTGGTGGAGGTACATACATAAAGGAAGAAGACACATGAAATGGTTCTTGATGATCCTTTTTGTTCGATAGCTTAGTTCTTTCAAACAGGCATGCTTTTTAACTTATTTGATGAACTTAAACTATTAATTATATTAATATCAACGTAATTTATATATATGAATTTAAAACATAAATCAAACATGTAGAGTTTTATCCTCACAGGGCTTTGTTTGTATTGTTTTTATGGCACTGAGGCCTGTCTGTCCTGTGTTATAGTTAATTATCCTTGTCTTATAAGCCCTGCAAGTCTATAAGTGCTATGATGCAGCTCCCTGTCATCCACAGGCACCCCAGCGCCTGAGGCCAGGTGATTGTCCAACAAATGCTTGGGACGAATTGATGGAAAAGCCACAAAAATTTATAACATCAAAGAAACAAGATAAATAAAGGAAAGCTCACTGAATCATAAAATATTACATTATACCTACTTGGTTACAACTATTCCTTTAAAATAGTGTTCCACTTGTATTCCTAAATATTTTTAATACTTCAAGGTGATGCTTTTTCAAGTACCTTGAACTTGCAGACATATTTTAACATTTCTGTACAGATCCGTCATACAATGGAAAACTATTTGGCAATAAATGACACAAAGTATTGATGCCTACCACGGCATGATGAAAGGATGAACCTCAAAAACATGATACCAAGTGAGAGAAGCAAGACACAAAAGATCACATATTGTGAGATTCAAGTTACATGAGAGAGGTGACACCAGCGAAAATGGTGGAATAAGAGCCTCCAAAAATTCTTTCCGCCGTAAAAGCAATGAGAAAACTGGCCTAACTGGTCAGAATCAACTATTTCAGAACTCTGGAAATGAACCAAAGGCTTGCAGCAATCTGGAAAGCATTTATTCAAGAAAAATGGATCTTAGAAAGAACAATGAGCTTTGTGGCTGGTATTCAACTTGCTCTGTTTCCATCCACTGGTCCCCCAAGCTCCACAGCAGCCTTAAAAAGTAATAGCCTACCATCAAGGTAAAAGCCTGGAAGCCACCAGAGGGGACAGAGTGGGTTTAGAGCTCCTACAAAGCCTCATTCCTAGAGAATTGTCATGGTTTGACATGTCTGGAGCGTTTCTGGAGGATCCCACTTCTAAGGTTATCTTACCTGACTTAGAGTTTTCCCAGTGTGAAAAGCCTTTCCCCTGGGAGTTCTGGAAACAGTTAGGGGCAATTGTTTCACTTCACGGCTGCCTGAGGTGATGGACAATAGTTGGAGCAAACAATAGGCTAATCACAAAGCTTAAGATAAAAAGTTGGGGGAATATGCCCTGGCCAGTTTGGTTTAGCAGTTCGAGTATCAGCATACAGACTGAAGGGTTGCAGGTTTGATTCCTGGTCAAGGGCGTGTACCTGGGTTGCAGGTTTGATCCCCAGCCCTAGTTGGGGTCATGTAGGAGGTAGCCAGTTGATGTGTCTCTTTCACATCGATGTGTCTCTTTCTCTCTCCCTCCCTCCCTTCCACTCTATCTGAAGAAGCAATGGGAAAATATCCTTGGGTGAGGACAAAAATAAGTTGATATCCATAGAGGCTTTGAAGAGATCCAACACAATCTTGGAAATATAGAAAGACTTACATACTCAGAGCTGTCTGCATTCTCAGAAAAGACCAGAGAAGGCCCTAAGCTCTCACCTCTGGCTGACCTTAAGGCTCTGTGCAAGCAGGAAGTAAAGGCTAAAGCAGAGTTGTCAGCTGCCTGGCTGAGTGTTGGAGGTGTCCCCCAATATGCACACAGAGTCCTTTTGCAAAGACTAGGAAACTTTTTGTTTCTAGGCATTTGTACAAATCTCTAATTATTAGCTGACTACTAAGCTAACTTTAATGGCCACACAGGACAAAGATTACAGATTTCACAGAATTAATTCAGAAAAGTCATTAAATAAACACACAAACAGCAACAGTAACAAATCCTGCAAAGCAAGAGGAGGTTGGAGGGGAGAGGTGGATTTCCAGAGTTGCCACAGTATATTATTTTAAATGTCCAGTTTTCACCAAAAAGGTTATGAAACATGCAAAGAAATAAGAAAATGTGGTTTATACATTGGGGGGTGGGGGGTGGGGAGGCGGGGAATAGACACTGTCCCTAAGAAGCCCAAGACATTGAATTTACTATAAAAAGCTTTAAATCAACATTTCAAACATGTCAAAACATGTCAAAGAATTAAAAGAAACCTTGTCTAAAGAACTAAAGGAAAATATGAGAACAAAGTCTCACCAAATAGAGAATATCAATTAAAAATATAAATTATATAAAAGAGAAATTCTAAAATTGAAAATTACAATAACTAAAATGAAGAATTGATTATAAAGACTACTGTGGACTGAATTGTATCCTCTCCAAATTTATATGTTGAAGCCCTGACCAACCCCCAGTGTGGCTGTATTTGGAGTAAGGAAGTAACTGAGGTAAAATGAGGTCTTAGGGTAGATCCCTGATCCAATAGGATGATGTAAGTACTATAGTATGTCCTTTTAAGAAGAGACATCAGGAAGCTCACTCTGTCTCTCTGCCATGTAAGGACACAGTGAGAAGGTGACCATCTACAAGCCAGGAAAAGAGTTGTTACCAGGAGCCAAGTTGGCTGGCACCTTGATCTGGAATATCTAGCCTCCAGAACTGTGAGAAAATAAATTTCTGTTGTTTAAGCCACCCAATCTATGGTATCTTGTTATGGCAACCAGAGCTGACTAAGACAAGGGCTCAGCAACAGGTTTGAACAGGCAGAAGGAAGAATCACCAAACTTGAAGAAGTTCAATTGAGATTATGCATCGGGGGGAACAAAAAGAAAAAAGGATGAGGTAAAACAAACAGACTGTCAGAGATATTCAGAACAAATGTACCAACATGTACATATTTGCGGTGCAGGAAGGAGAGAAGAGAGAGAAAGGGGAGACATATTTGAAGAAATAATGGTTGAAAGCTTCCCAAATTTGATGAAAATTATTAATCTACATATCCAAGCTCAACAAACTTCAAGTATGATGAATGCAAGAAATCCATATATGGAAACATCATAGTAAAGATGTTAAAAGAAAAAGAGAATTTTGAAAGCAGCGTCAGAGAACTGCATCACATACAAGGGATCCTATATAAAGGTAGCAGCTAATTGTTCACCAGAGACTGTGAAAGTCAGAAGACAGTGGGATAACGTTTTCAAAGTGCAGGAAGAAATACAATGTCAACAAATAATTATATATTCAGCAAAATGTACTTCAGAATAAAGGAGAGAATTGACTGGCTCGGCTCAGTAGTTAGAGTGTCAGCCTGCAGACTGAAGAGTCCCAGGTTTGATTCCGGTCAAAGACACATACCTTGGTTGTGGTTCGATCTTTGGCCCTGCTTGGAGTCATGCGGGAAGTGACCAGTTGATGTGTCTCTCTTACATCGATGTTTCTCTCTCTCTCTCTCTCTCCCCCTCTCTCTTCCCTCTCTCTTCCCTTTCCTCCTTCCTTCCCACTCTATCTGAAAGAAATCAATGGAGAAATATACTTGGGTGAGGATTAAAAAAATAAAATAAAAATAAAGGAGAAATGAAAATATTCTATAATAAACAAAACTGAGATAATTCATCAAATAGCCAACTGTCCTTACAAGAAATATTAAAGGGAGTCCTTTATTATTTTTTAAATTTTATTTATTTTAATTTTTTTCTTTATTGATTTTAGAGAGAGGGAGAGAGAGATAGAAACATCAATGAGAGAGAACATTGATTGGCTGCCTCCTGCATGCCCCCCAGTGGGAATTAGGCCCACAACCTGGGCATGTGTCCTTATTGGGAATCAAACTGGCAACCTCTTGGTGCATGGGTCGACACTCAACCACTGAGCCACACCGGCTGGACTTAAAGGGAGTCCTTTATACTGACATGAAAGGACATTAGACAATAACTTAAATCTACATAAGAAACCCAGCACAGGTATATTTATATAGGTAAATATAAAAGGCAGTATAAATACATTTTTTGTTTATAATTCTTTTTTATTCTTCTATCTGATTTAAAAGACAACTGCATAAAGCAATAATTATAAATCTGTGTTGGTGAGCATACAATGTATAAAAATGTAAGTTGTATGACAAGCACAAAGGAGCAGGGGAGGAAATGACTCAAATGGAAGCCAAGCTTTTGTATACTACTGAAATTAAGTTGCTATTTATATAAATTGTCCAGCATGGGCAAGTCCATGGAGACAGAATGTAGCTAAGTGGTTGCCTGGGGCTGGAGGTGGGAATGGGTAGTAACTACAAATGGCCATGAGGGTTCTTTTGGGGAAGATTAAAATGTTCTAAAATTACATTGTGGTAATGGTTGCATACTTCTGTAAATTTACTAAAATTTGTACACTTAAATGAGGAAATATTATTGTATGTAAATTATACCTCAACCTAAAATGTAATTTTTTTTATCCTCACCTGAGGACATTTTTTTTTTTTTTTCCATTTTTGGTTCAGATAGAGTGGGAGGGAGAGAGAGAGAAAAAAAAAACATCGATGTGAAAGGGACACATCGAGTGGCTGCCACCTGCATGACCAACCAGGGCCGGGGACAAACTGCAACCAAGGTACATGCCCTTAGCAGGAACCAAACCCAGGTCTCTCTGGACCTCTGGTCAACACTCTAACTGCTGAGCAAAACCAGCCAGGGCTCAAGCTAAAATATAAATGAAAATTATATAAGTACTATATTTGTGTTAATAATTGCCATTTACTAAATGTCTACTATCATTAATTTACTTTAATCTTCATGATAGTCCTGAGAGATGAGATATTATTACTATGCCCATTAAAGAGATGTGGAAACTCTTCAAAGGAGGCCACAGGATCTAAAGGTTAAAAGTGCAGGCTTTTATGTGAAAAGATGCTTAACATCACTAAATCATTAGAGAAGTGCACATCAAAACCACAAGGTACCACCTCATACTCATTAGGATGACTACTAAAAAATGTTTTTAATTTAAAAAAGCAACAGAGCCCTGGCCGGTTTGGCTCAGCAGTTAGAGCATCGGCCTGCGGTCCAGAGAGACCTGGGTTCAGTTCCCGCTAAGGGCACGTACCTCGGTTGCAGTTTGTCCCCGGCCCTGGTTGGTCATGCAGGTGGCAGCCACTCGATGTGTCCCTTCACGTCGATGTTTCTCTCCCCCCCCCCCACTCTATCTGAACAAAAAATGGAAAAATTTCCTCAGGTGAGGATAAAAAGAAAGAAGGAAGGAAGGAAGGAAGGAAGGAAGGAGGGAGGGAGGGAGGGAGGGAGGGAGGGAGGGAGGGAGGGAGGGAGGGAGGGAGGGAGGGAGGAAGGAGGAAGGAAGGAAGGAAGGAAGGAAGGAAGGAAGGAGGAAGGAAGGAGGAAGGAAGGAAGGAAGGAAGGAAGGAAGGAAGGAAGGAAGGAGGAACAGAAAAGAACAAGGATTAGCAAGGATGTGGAGAAACTGGAATGTGTACACTGTCGGTGGAACTCTAAAGCAGTGCAGTTGCTGTGGAAAACAAAATTAAAAAATAAAGTTACCATAGGATTCAGCCGTCCCGTTTCTGGATCTCTATCCAACAGAAGGAAAAGCAGGATTTTGAAGAGATTTTTGCACACTCACGTTCGTTACAGCACCTAGTCCCAACAGCCAAGAGGGAAAGACAGCGGCAATTGTCTGTTGACAGGTGAATGGGTAAAGAAAAGACGGATATCCATTGAAATATTATTCCACCTTAGAAAGGAAGGAAATCCTGCCACAGGCTAGAACATGAATGAATCCTGGGGACTCTATGCTAAGTGAAATAAGCCAGTCACAAAAACGAAATATTGCTTGATTTCACTTATAAGAGGCATTTAAAGGATTCAAATTCATAGAAACAGAAAGTACAATGGTGGTTGCCAGGGGCAGGGAGTGGTGGGGCAGTGGGGAGAAAATGGGAGTTATTTCTTTAAAAAATTTTTTTTTCTTTATTGTTTTTAGAGAGAAAAAGGAAGGGAGAAGGAGAGAGAGAGAGAAACATCCATGAGAGAGAACATCGCTTGGCCGCCTCCTGCGTGCCTTCCACTGGGGATTTGGCCCACAACATGGGCATGTGCCCTGACTGGGAATCGAACCACCAACCTCTTGGTGCATGGGTCAACGCTTAGTCACTGAGCCATACCAGTTGGGCTATTTCATAATACGTAAAGAGTTTCAGTCTTGCAAGATGATAGACTTCTGGGGATCTGTTGTACAACAATGTGCATACAGCAATTGTAGTGTACAATTAAAACAGTAAGGTGATCATTGTTATGTTATGTTTTTTACCATAATAAAAAATAAAACAATATGAATGTGCGTATGCACGAAAAGATTGTACTTTCTGTCACAGTTATGGACATTTACTGATCTGAGTTGCACGATTCCGTTGGTTGCCGTGTGCCTTTCTCTCCTGTATCTTTCTCACTCACTCTGCTTGCACAAACAGAAGTGCATTTTAAAATAAGCCTAGCACTGGAGAATTCTGTTTCCTTGTCTTGTTCCTTATTTCCCGCCTTCATTGTTTCCCCCTTTCAGGTGGCATCCTCTCTCTTTGGGAAGTGCCCAGGACATCTGACCTCTGAATGTAAATTCACTGTCTTACACTCCCCTATCTTCTTGTATTTTATTCTCCCTTATGTATTTTAAATGTCATTCTCTGGCTCCTTCCGGGTGTCTGACTCTTTGATATCCCGGGAAGTGAGCCTGCCGAAGGGGGACCTTGCCTCTCTGTGTTCACATGCAGGGAAACTTCCGACACACCCGGAGCCGCGCGCCGGTAACTCGGGAAGAGCTGATGACGGTGTTGTCTGGACTGGAAGATGTGCGCCTTCGAGGCCTCTACTTCAGCGAGACCCAGAGGCTCAGCCTGAGCGGGGTGGGGCTGGAGGAGGCCTCTGCCACAGGAAGTGGTCGGAGAGCACACCATGTGGAGATGTGTGCTTGCCCCCCTGTCTACACTGGTGACTCGTGTCAGGTAGGAAATTCTCCTAGTCCATGAAATTCCCCCAGGGGACTCCTGGCTGCTGTCCAGCATCCTGGATGGTCTGGGACACTCGATCCATCACACAAGTTTCTGCTGGGCTATAGCTCCTGACTTACCCGGACCACCTTCAGGCATTAAATATGAAAAGAAATCACAATGTCTCGAAATCCATATGAGCCCAATCGATCCTGGGGGTTGTATAAATCAGAAGTTTCCTAGAGGTTAGAAGGAGCCTGCCGGTCGGCACCCCAGAATATGAGATACTGCTTTCCCTGTAGCTGACCCAGGGTTTTCATGCTGTTCCCTAATCCAGGGCCTCCCTCCAACCACCACCCCCAACAGAGTTAGAGTCTAAAGTATATCTTAATTCTTTGAGGGGACCCAAGGGACCCAAAGTCCAATTTTCTAGCTCACAGCAGGTCCTAGTCAACCTGATTTGTCCTAAGGTGATCAAAATGTGCCATAAAATGAAATTATTTCATAGTTCAGGCTGTACATCTGTTATCTTCCTAAAGAGAGGGGGGAAATCACAATGGTTATCACAGCTATTAGGAAATAATTGTCATTCTGTATATTCCATGGGCTTCCTTCATTTTCTCTCCCAGCTCCTTGACAGCAGGAAACCCCAAGGTGATCTGCAAATAAGAGTTATTTGTTTTTGTTTTTGTTTTTTAAATCTACAAATATATTACCTGCAGTGGTTTTCCGGGGACTCCTGTCTTGTAACATTTAGCCCACAGGTGCCTACATTCTTCCACCTTCCTTCTATCTCTTTTCCAACCCGATTAAATAAAACATATAGCTCAAGGGAAAGCTCAAGGGAAAGAGTGGAACCTCTGGATTATCACCCTCCTGCCCAGGGCGTGTCCTTTGCCCATGACTCAGCCTGTGATTTACAGCTGCTCTAATCGGCCAGGGCCGTCTGTCTGTGAGGCAAGGTGGGTAGAAGGTGATGCCTGCCCCACCTCACAGGGATTGCAGAGCGGTGCACTTCCCTGTGGAACTGTTATGTGTGCTCGCTCACAGGCTGACTCATGGGTGAAGTTTACAGGTGGGGCCTCCTGCCGCAGACAGCTTGCCTTACCTGAGTCAGGCGGGCCAGGGCACCGAGCAGGAAGGGCTGGTATAAGAGGAGAGGCAGAGGTTTGCCTGCAGCCAGCAGGACGCCAGGACCAGGATGCCCCCAGCAGTGAGGTGGTCAGCCGGGAGTGCGGGATGGCTGTGGATCTTCGGGGTAGCCCTGGGGCCGTGTCTGGGATACAATTCACAGCAGCAAAGGGTAGCGTTTCTGCAGCCTCCCGGTCAAAGTAACCAGCAAGCAAGTTATGTGGAGTTTAAACCCAGCCAGGTAATGTCCCTTTTACATTTCGATTTGGGATGGGGAAGGGTTCCCAGCGTTGTGACATTTTAAGTAAATGGGTGGGCTGGGGGAGGGGCCCACGGTCTCCCCTTCCCATTGACTGGCAGTGTTTACTGCAGTGCCTAACAGATTGCTCTCCTGAGTTGTTAACCACAAACCCTATAAACATCAGCCCACCTGGAAAGGCTGAGGCAGCTGAGTTCGAATACTTGTGGAATGTTAAGATGCTATGAAACTTTGTGCCCTTTCGAGAGTAACCCAAGCCTCAAGACAAAGGAGTTCAGTGCCTGTAGGCTTTCAAATTCTGCTTGGAAAAAAAAATTACCCAAAAAGTAAAACATTTGAATCAGTGAAATCGTGTTTTAAAAAGTAATGAGGTGAAGTTTGTATAATACCTGCTAGGCATGCTTCAATTTGCCAGGCATTCGACACTCACACAGTCTGTTCTCTTTAACCTTCCTGGACGTTGCATGTATGCTCACACAGAAATAGATCCTGGGGCTGCTGCAAGAGCTTTGGAAACCTGACAGAGAGAGGATTTTAGCATTTGTACTACACAGGTTTATTGGAAGAGTTCTCCTGAAAAATTATCACTTAAAAAATGATGAGCTGCAAAACCCCTTTACTGAAATAATATATTACGGTACATTCACTGTCATTTAGAGTAAGTCTTTAATATAATCTGTATACTTGAACTGAATTTTATATCAAACGTGGAGTTTGTGTGCTTTATAGAGGTGAGAACGTGATTTCAGTAACTGACAAATGTTTTATCTGAGAGTCTCATGACACAACTCTTGCAGAGTACTTCTGATTCAAATCAAGAGCGAAGGAGGATGGACGATTTAACTTTAATCAGCATAGACTGTCCTTTCCCCCAAAACACGCTTAATTAAGGCTCTCTCTCACTTACTTGGCTATGTTGTCGCAAATGAACCTGATATACTTGTTTATTTGGATAATTTGTTCTTTGCCGAATATGATTATTGTATAAGAATGTAATGTGATATATGGTGATGATGATAAGGTCCTTGCTCCTGTTCAGCAGAGATTCGTTGTTTGCAGATATGATCACACAATCACTGGCTGGATTTTGCTCACACATCTCTCAGTTGTGTTTTCAGCTAAAGAACATTCCTTTCATACTTCGATTCTCCTGTAGACAAGCCTATTCACAGAGCATATAGAGTAATCTCATTTTCTGCAATGTTTTCTTTTTGCCTAAACATGGTTTCTAATAGCTGAAGGAAAAAAGTATATTGGAAATTATAGTCTTGTGATTGTGTACAATTTGTAGTTACGGGTCATTTTGGAAGAGCTCCTAGCAGCCACTGGGGTAGTCCACTCTGGGGAGCACAGGCGAGTTCTCCCTCCAGCCCTGTCCCGTGGGCTTCTTCCTCCCCCACTTGACCAGGGAGAGACCTTTATGGCCATGGATGAATCGGGATGATCAGCTCATGTTTAGACTTCCCAGGGCTGTGGTTTCAGAGTCTTACAGACATATATGCTGTTTAAAGAGGAGAAAATACCTTTTATCTTGAAATATTAAATTTTCTGGTGCTTTAAAGATAGGGCATGTAAGGAGATCAGTGAAAGAAGCTAGGACAACATTTGATTTTAACTGGCACACTGATTCACTCGGCCAAAGTAATGAAAATGTCTATAATTCAGTTTAAAGACAGAAATCTAAATAATTTTTAGTGGCTGGTGTAAGAATAACTGCTTTTTTAAATTGGGGGCATTCCTCACTGGAATACTTTTAAAAAGACTGTCAGTTCATTAAAAAGCATAATTCATTTCATCCATGTGAAAATAATGATCTGTGTTACTCTGGAGAGAGACAATATACTGGAGATAGAAATAATCAAAGTGCTGTTGAACAGGAGAAGACCACAAGGGAGGGGACTTCCTGGAGCTGGGTCTTTGTGAGCTGGGTCAGCACCAACCATCCCTGCAAGTTCTGTCTGAGAATGTAAACACGCTCCTGTCCCCGGGCTCCCTGTTCTGTCCACAGCTGGGGAGCAGCAGTGATGGATTCCACAGTCCTGCCGTGATTGTGCAGATCCCAATGAAGACTCTTCATTCCCCCTCTTCTCACACTGCCTCACCCATCAGCCCAGATCCATACTTGGAGAGGGAATGGCTACCAAAGAGAACTCGAACTTGAAGGGGTTTGCTTAGCGGTCCTCCCCCCCGAGGACTGAGGTCTCATCCCCTTTGTTCTTTCACCACTTCCCCATCCACTCACCCTCGAAACAATTGGCATGAGGAGAGGAAGCCATGTCCACACACATCCTCCAAAATTTCCCCTTCTCTGGATTCCCCACCCTGTCTCTCACTCAGGCACAAACACACCCACACCCCACCATGATGTGGACACAAAACAGAAGCTGACAAAAAAAGAAAAGACAGGTGGACCAGGCTAGTGTTTGAGAGTAGAAATCCACACCCAGACTAAAGGAAAGATGTGAAAAGCAAATGCTTGATAATCAGAATTGTCACATGCTTTGGATAATGATTTTCTTTCTTTGTTTTGACTAAACGCTTTGAAAAATAGGGTTGTAGCCCCGGATACTATCGGGAAAACAAAGGCTTACATACCGGACGCTGTGTTCCCTGCAGCTGCAACGGACATTCCCATCGCTGCCAGGATGGCTCTGGAATATGCCTTGTGAGTACATCGAAACTGGAATGCTACCAGCGGGCAATCTGTGTCTCCCTGTCCCCCCTGCCGGGCCCTGAGACATCACATCTACCAAACCCTCACTAGAGTGGCTAAGCAAATGCAGGAAGCTCTGACATTATTGGGCCAAGCTATTTTACACTTCACTTCTTCCTCCATTTAACATGGGTCATCAGAAGAGAACACCTGTCTGAACAATTAATTTACACCTTAGCTCCTAAATTTCTGCTCGATTAAATTATATTAATGGGTGGATCCTGGACTTCACTCTTGCCAGGTTCTAATAAATTAGAGTCATTACTATGGGCTCCAATTCTATTGGGGTGCCAGGAGCTTGTGGGAGGGGAGTTTGGGGGCTTCACATGAGCAGTAGCTCAAGAGAGCCACCAGAGGAGACGGAGATGTAACAAAGGCTTGATGTGCCCCCGTTCAGTGAAGCACATGCCCTCGTGACATGACAAAGCGGGTTCATGTGGGAAGACAGATGAGTGGAGTCCCTGCTGTCTGTGGCTTATCCACTGGAAAACAATCTTGGTTGGTAATATTTTAGAAAACTCTCCCATAGAGCATTAGGTTCTCAGGAAAGTTTTCCTTTGTATCCTCAAGCGTGACATTTTTTATTCTGCTGACTTCTTCCTTTCCATCAGCGTTCCTCTCCAATTAGAAGGAGAATGGACAGTTTCAAGGAAAAGAGAGAGTGTGGGTACCCGCAGAACACAGAGCCCCCCACTTAGGTCGTGCTGTTTGGAAGCGCATTCTCTGGCGTGGATTTCCTTCACATTGTGTAATGCAGCTGGAGTGTTTCAGTTATTTGAGTTCCTAGACCGTCTTAAGCCAAGTTAACATGTCCCAGGGAACTGCTTCCTCTGCAAGACGGGACAGGCCAGGACAGGAAATTGTTGTAAAGAGCCAGAGAGAATATTTTGTAGGATTTTAGCCTTAAGAGTTCAAAAAGAAAATACAAGACATTGAAAAATATTGTTTTTCCACTCATACATATTCTTATGTAATAGTTTATGTTTGATAATGGGTGTTCTGTGTAACACAGGTAGATGCTTTAATGAAATATAAATATTTATCTTGTCACTGAACCATTGCTAAATGTTGATTCTACTTTATAAAAGCTGCTGAAGCCCTGGCCGGTTTGGCTCAGCGGTTAGAGTGTCGGCCTGCGGTCCAGAGAGACCCGGGTTCGGTTCCCGCTAAGGGCACATACCTCGGTTGCAATTTGTCCCCGGCCCTGGTTGGTCGTGCGGGTGGCAGCCACTCAATGTGTCCCTTTCATGTCGATGTTTCTCTCTCTCTCTCCCACTCTATCTGAACAAAGAAATGAAAAAATGTCCTCGGGTGAGGATAAAAAAATATCTATAAAAACTGCTGAAGAGCAAAGGGAATTTTCTCCGTAGTCCGTTCACTTAGTGGAAGGATCACTAGTGAGAGTTATAATTCACATGTTTTTACCAAACAAGATTTCCTTTCCCTTTTCTTTTCTTCGGAGCTCTGTCTTCACTTGTCCCTAATACCCATGCGGCCTCTACAAACTATTCATTCAGGAAACCCTTACTGAGCATTTACTCTGCGGGAAGGTCTGAGCTAAGGGTTGAGGTTAAAACCATCAGACATAATGCCGACTCTCACAGGACTTGCTGTCTAGTGGAGAATGTGTGCGTGCACACACGCATGGACACACATACACTCACACACATGTACACACACAGAGGCATGGAGCCCGTGTCTGCTCACTAACTGCTGGAGGCAGGCACGGAGTACCCACACGCCTCTCAAGCGTGATGATGGCGTGGAAGCGGAGGCCGCAGCCCTCGTTCTCAGACCAGTAACGGGGAAACCAAGCACCTTTCACCATCAGATGGGCTGGTTGCTCTGCACGCTGGCCTCTACCTCTCAAGGTCCAATATCAATTTCTAAACTTTCCTTGTCTTTTCACAAATAAACTGAAGTTTGAAAAGAAAGTAACCCAGCTCCTTTTCAATAAAGCAGAATGTAGTTAGGGTTAGGGTTGGGTTAGGGTTAGGTTATGGTTAGGGTTGGGTTAGGGTTAGGTTAGGGTTAGTGTTGGGTTAGGGTTGGGTTAGAGTTAGGGTTGGGTTAGGGTTAGGATTAGGATAGAGTTAAGGTTAGGGTTGGGTTATGTTTAGGGTTGGGATTAGGATTAGGATAGAGTTAAGGTTAAGGTTAGGGTTGGGTTATTGTTAGGTTAGGGTTGGGTTAGGGATAGGGTTAGGGTCTGGTCAGTGTTGGGTTGGGGTTAGGGTTAGGGTATGGTTTGGGTTATGTTGGTTTGGGGTTAGGGTTAGGGTATGGTTTGGGTTATGGTTGGGGTTGGGGTTAGGATTAGGATAGAGTTAAGGTTAGGGTTGGGTTATTGTTAGGTTAGGGTTGGGTTAGGGTTAGGGTTAGGGTCTGGTCAGTGTTGGGTTGGGGTTAGGGTTAGGGTAAGGTTTGGGTTATGGTTGGGGTTGGGGTTGGTGATAGGGTTGTGTTAGGGTTAGGGTTAGGGTCAGGGTTAGGGTTAGGGTTGGCCTCAGGATTAAAATAGAGTTGAGGTTAGAGTTAGGGTTCGGCTTAGCAGAAGGAACCTATGGTGAGGACAGCCCCTCTCCCTCCACTTAGGCCCTCCCTTGCCTTCTTCCTGCCGCTATTTCTCCTCCCCCTACCTTTCTGCCTGTTTCCCATTCTCCTTGACTTGTACTGTTTCAGTCACTTTTATCTTTATCTTTGTTTTCATGTCCCTCCCTCTTTCTCTTTTCATCTTCTCATTTAGATTTGTCTTCTTATTCCCGACCACTTGCCTATTTTCCCACCTTCCTTTTAAATGATTTCTGTGAAAATCGCCCCTTATTCTGCTACCCGCCCTATGCATTTCACCCTCCAGAGCAGCAGTGTTTTCTTGTGGCCTACCCACGCTGCTATGCTCCTGCTGAGCTGAAAGTCTATGCGCACTGTTCCTTGTACCTCGAATGCCCTTGCCTAGCTGTTCCACCCCGCTAATCTCTCTCCTTGTCGCCTGCAGAAGCCCTTCCCTAGAGCCCCTGCTGCTCTTATGGAATGCTGGCACACCTTTGTCATCATACTTTCTTTAATTTAGTTTTTTAATCCTCACTCGTGGATATATTTTTTTCCATTTATCTTCAGATAGAGTGGGAAGGAGAGTTGGGGGAGAGAGAGAGAGAGAGAGAGAGAGAGAGAGAGAGAGAGAGAGAGAGACAATAGGAGAGGAGGGAAGGGGAGGAGAGGGGAGGAGAGGGGAGGGGAGGGGAGGGGAGGGGAGGGGAGGGGAGGGGAGGGGAGGGGAGGGGGAGGGAGGAGGGAAACATTGATGTGAGAGAGACACATTGATTGGTTGCTTCCTGCACAACCCCAATCAGGGCCAGGGACCAAACCACAACCTAGTTACGTGCCCTTGGCTGAAATCCAGCCTGCGACTCTTTGGTCCAAGGTCCGACACTCTACCCGCTGAACCAAACCACCCAGGGCTGTCATCATACTTTTTACACTGAGGTGAATATGTCTATTCACAAGGTTCTATCTACCAGAGTCAGGTACCAATCCATTTGGGCATCGTGTACCTAGCATAGTTGAGCATAGAATAAATGCCCTTTAGCTTCGTTGTCCAATGGAACTAGGCCAGCAATGTGCGAGTGGATGTGGATTCATTCATTCACTGACACCTTCATTTATTCACAAAACACAGGCTGTTTGATAGGGAGCTACCTCGGATTTGCAGGACTGATAAAGACATATTCTAGATGGTCTCAGCTGAGGATAAGAGGATGTTTCAGACATGCTTATAGGACTTTATCAAGCAACACGGGTTCTCACCCCCTTCCATGACCCTCTCCCCTCACCCCTGTGGAGGACAAGCACTCAGAGTGTTTTCGTAGAATATAGATGACCTCACTACAGTTCTTGCTTCTCTAGTGTTTGTTGCTCAGAACTAAGTAGTCACAGGACTAAACTATATCTATTCGGGCATGTCTTCTTCATCATTGTCATTTGGAGTTATAAAAGAAAGGAAACTGATGTGGGAAGGAAATGAATGAATTCAGAAGATGGGTGTTTCCTGAGAGAGCAGGGCCACCAGGCAGAGCAGAGGTGGAGGGAGCCTTCGGCCCCTCACTGACTCCCCTGAGAGCTCCTCTGTGGATCCGACACACTGCAGTGTGGATTTGTTCCCAGTTCCGTGCCTCCGGGGAAACCCCACAAGGCTGTGGCATTTGAGGAAGGAGGGAGGGATTCAGGACAGGAGTGAGCTTCCCGGTGACGATCAAATGTCTGCACGTACGCAGCATCCTCCTTGAAAGACCCCCCTCGTCTTCTGATATACTTACCAATCCCTTGTGTTGATAGCACAATTGTATATCTGGAAAAAGTAGGAAAAGATATTTTCACATCTTGGTGGATTGTGTAGTTCTCAGTTATCAAAGGTTTGTGAAAGATGGATCTGTTTCCGCTGAACAAACTGAGGACATCTGTTATCCAAGGGCAGGCTGGGCTGTTCAGAGCAGTCCCATGTTCACCTCGGACATATGCATGTCGTTTGTCCCAACCTGACTTCAGATACTATTTTAAAACTCACACCCATTAACGTTTCCTACACAAGCACTGCCTCACAGAGGTAACATGTGATCAGCACAAAATATCTCTGAATTATCAAATGCCCACAGTAAGAAGAGTTTGCCAGGCTATTTTTGTGCATTAAGATCTTTATTACTAGAATAAAGCTAAGAAAGTTTATACTGCACTAAAAATTCCACAAACTAAATAAAGTGGACACAATCCGTTTGGTTTTGTCTCAGTAGACTGCATAGTTGCAAAGTTGTATCATTCCAATACTTTGCTAATGAACTTTCATTAGACATTGACTTTTACATGAAAATAATAGATTCACACAAACACAAGCTTAGATGAAATTAATGACTTGCTTCTTTGAGACATTGGCATTAAATTGAATGCTTTCTTCAGATACGATGCAACTTTTTGTTCTTTAGATATATACCAGGTATTAAAACCATTTCAGTTTTATTGCTTTTTAGTATTTGTGAATTATGAAATCAAATGTAGTTTATTTTTATAGAAGCCATTCTAAGGGTCAGAGGTAAGAGGGAGGAGTTTACATTTGCTGAGGGCATATTATACTTTTATTTTTTTTTTTTTATTTTTTTTTTTTTAATCCTCATCCGAGGACATTTTTCCATTTTTTGTACAGACAGAGTGGGAGGGAGAGAGAGAAAGAGGGAAACATCGATGTGAAGGGACACATCGAGTGGTTGCCACCCGCACGACCAACCAGGGCCGGGGACAAACTGCAACCGAGGTACGTGCCCTTAGCGGGAACCGAACCCGGGTCTCTCCGGACCGCAGGCGGATGCTCTAACCGCTGAGCCAAACCGGCCAGGGCATACTTTTAAAATTTCTCCCAGCAACCTTAGAAAGTGGGTACTGTTCTAACTGTACATTTTCAGAAAATTAGAATTGTATGTAAATCATACACCAATAAAGTTGATTTATAAAACACACTGAGGCTCAGAGAGGAAAAAGAACTTGCCCAAGATCCCACAGCTACAAAATGATAGAGTGGGATTTGGACCTGGCTTGTCTCTCTCCACTTCATCATGCCTCCCAACATTAAATCAAACAGCTGGTAGAGGACATGCATACCTTTTTGCTAGTTCCAACAATGACTGGCTGGACAGGAAAAATACATGGTTAACGAAACTATCACCATACAGAGACAGAGGATTTGAGTTATAATTGTGTGAGTAATTAAGATGACAGTGATCTCAGTAGTAATAAATGTAATTGGCTGCTATTAATTGTACTGTTTATCTGTCCCAAGAACTGCCAGCATAACACTGCTGGAGAACACTGTGAGCGCTGCCAGGAGGGTTACTATGGGAACGCCATCCAGGGATCCTGTAGTGTCTGCCCATGTCCTCATTCAAACAGGTACTGTGGAAGCTTGAAAATAACCTATAGAGACAGGAAGTAGGTTGGTGGTTGCCTAGGACTGGGTGGGGGTGGAGGGAAAATGGGAGATGAATGTTAAAGGGTAAGTGATATGGGATTTCTTTGTGGGGGTGATGAAAATGTTCTAAAATTGACTATGGTAATGGTTGTACAATTTGGGGACTATACTAAAAGCAATTTAATTGTACACTTTAAATGGGTAAGTTGTACACTTAAAATGTATGCTATGTGAATTCTAACTCAATAAAGCAATTATTTATACACACACACACACACAAACAAAAAGTATGAAACACAAACAAAAACAGTCTTTCCAAGTTGTATGCTTCTGGATTTTTCCTTTTCACCTTTCCTTTTGGTATTCATTCAATGACTAAACAATTACTTCTTGAGAACCCATTACAGGGCTAGGACCTAGCCCTCTCTAGATGCTGGGGAAACTGCAATAAAAAAGACCAGCAAAGACTGATCCATGAAACTTCATCTGGAGAGTATGGATGGGGAAAGTGTGGTCACACTCAATAAATTGTGCACAAATAAATGAGAAGTATGTTTTCAGAAAGAGATGGATTATGCAATTGACCAAAGGGTTATGCGATTGGCAGTGAGTAGGTCAATTGTTAGAGAGGGTGGTAGGAAGGTTTTCTGAAGTCGTTGGGCAGGAAGCAATGAGTGATGAGGAGTAAGCCACGACAACATGTCAGCAGTGCGGGGCCCAGGCAAGGAAAAACCGAAGAGAAAGCCCCTGTGATGATGTGGTTGTGGACAGTGAAAAGGCAGGAGTGGCTGGAGTGTGGTATGGGAGAGCCCAGGAGACGAGGCCGGCGGGCCGGGTTCAGATCCTGTAGGACCTGGCATGCTGAGGAAGGCATTGGGTTTTACCCGCCACCTGATGGAAGCCACAGGACAGTTCTGAACCACAGCGTGGTGTGATCTGAGTGGTCACTCCGTTCCAATGTGGCTGATAGGTTATGCAGGTAGAAAGCTAGCTTTTTTTTTTCATGGTAACCCCTGTTCCATTTGGGCTTGGTGCCTCGTCACATTCTTGCTCATCATGGCACGTTCACTGTGGGTCCAAGCAAAATAGAATAAGTGACTAGGAAAAGCAAGAAAATGAGGAAGGTACTGATAAAGTGCCAGTAGTACACAGGCTCTGGAACAAGTGTGGACCATAAGGCAGACTGATGTCAGCTGAGTAGCAGAGAAATTGGCCAAGTTTAAAATGTCCAGAAGTTACTTGCCCAAATGTGGCTTCTCTGGGGGTGCGTATTTGAAATGTTCACCCTACTTTGCTCTCTATGGACTGGATGCTCCTTAAACCTGCCCAGTCCTGCAGTTTATTTGTAAAGAGATCTATCACTTGACACCAGCCCAGACTTGTTTGCACAGACGCTAGAGAGAGTAGAAAGTAGGGAGGTTTCCACCGGGTGCTCGAGAAACCCTTCTCGTGTCTGGTGGCAGTGTATTGTTATCATCAGTCAGCTTCCAGTTCCACACAGCTGAAGTAACATACTTCCTCACATACATCAATAAAACCCTATTTTTATCTCCTTCTCCTTCCAGCAATATTAGTACTGCTGACAAATTCCTAACTGTCCCTTCAGAGCTGTAACTGCATCCACCTAATAGGCCAGGAGAAGCTTCTCAAAATGAGAATTTTTTTTTTTTACCAGCAAACAATAAATAGAGTGATTTGCCTTCAGATTTATGCAGTGAAATGTGCAAAGCACAGACATAGACATTTCACAGGGGCTTTTTCATGATCTCTTAATTTAACAAAAACTTCTCAAATGTACACCGATTTAGAACTAAAGGAAAGGGAGTCCAAATCCCACAACTTGACTTGAAGAATGTGACAGTCACCAGTGATTGTGCCCACAGAGATTCATTCGTAGGCGGCAGCCGTGCTCTGTGCCCCGGTCCCTCTGGGCTCTGGGGGCCTGGCCTCTCCACCACCTTTTCTTCCCAGAAGGCAATGTGCCCAATTTAAAAGAACGAGAATAAACAAGGGCATTTTCTTAAAGAATCAGAACTCTCTGTTCTTTTGTTCTGCCTAGACTTGTTTTATTCCTTCCTTGTTATTTCTGGAAAAATGCTGTTGTAATCATCTTTTCCAACATGAGTTACTCTGTTCCATCTTATGGGAAGGAATGTGTTTCTTCAGGCCAAAAATAAAGCAAAATAAATGCCTTCAGTCCTTATTCACCAAAATTTGCCCAATGTCAGCTAAAATAATGCATCATTATCTCTACAAGTCTCAGTGGGCAACATTTTCTTTGCACAAAAAGTAGCCAGGCCCTTGGTTTCTGTTTTCACTTAAGACAAGTCTGTTCTTTGTGGCAAAAAATCATGAGCATAAAGCCTATCAATTTATGTTTTCACTGGGGCTTTGTTCTGTCTTCCTTCAAGTTTTGCCACCGGCTGTGTTGTGACTGGGAGAAGTGTGCAGTGCTTCTGCAAACCTGGATACACAGGAACACAGTGTGAAAGGTGGGTGCTGCCTCTCCCGCCCCTCCCCCACCCTGCAGGTAGGGTGGGCTCTGCAGGCTGCGGCAGGCACCCGGCTGTGGGTGGGGCTCTGCTCAGACTGGCTCAGAGGGAGGGGTGGGGCTCTTGGTTTAGGGAGGCTGGAAAAAGGTCTCGCGGGAAAAATACAAGACTGCTCACTTAATAAATCATTAACTTCCTTCTCATTCCTGTTTCGTATATGTTTCAGAAATCTGAGAATAAGGTCCAATGTGTCATAACCCTATATACTCCTAAACATACACCTCTATATACTTCCACCCCTTGCACACTCCTGTATACTCCTTCCCCATCATATTTGCCATATTTCTATATTCCTCTTTCCCACCACATCCCTACATCCTCCTCCCCGTACATATCCTTACATACCCCTGCCCCCATATAGATTCATCCCTACATCCTCCTACCCCTACATATACACATCCCTACCCGCACACATCCCTGCTTGCCCATACACACGCAAACTCTACATGCTCCTACATGCACATACATAGCCACAGCCCTAGACACACACACACACACACACACACACACACCCCTCTATCCCCATACAATATTTATGATTAGCTACTATAACTAGGACACTGCCAAGTATTATGAAAGCTAAAGAAGGTATTTACAAGCCAGCTGGGAAGATAGCACACACATGCTTGGAAAAGTAACAGTGTAACAAATGAATCATACCGACAACATGTTTTTAAATTTAAAATGACGTTATCATAAAATCAATACGTATTTATTATAAAAACGATATAATGCAGGTGAGCGAAGAACCAATGCGGCCCACCGCACCCCCACAGAGCCCTCTACAGACCTGCTCACTTACAGTCCTGTTCACAGCATCTCACCCACAGAAATGCTTAAAAGCTTGTTGTATATTCTTACAGATCATTTATATATGCACAGACTTTTTCTTAAAAACAAAAGTAGATTCCTCTTTTACTTTCTGTTTTGACTTGTGCTCTCACCTAATAGTATGTTAGTAATATCTTTCCATTTCAGCAGGTATTCACTGATAATATCGTGTAGGGACCACGAGTTCCATTGAAGTTCCATACCCCCTGCTATTGATCTTTGAAATAGTTTTACTGTTTCCCATTTAAAGCAGATCCAAAAGTACATATTTTTAGCTACATTTTGTATACATAAATCCTCACGATATGATATAATTATAGATGTGAATCCCTTGGATCAAAGGGTAGTAAATTGTTCAAGCTTGTGATACATTTTGCAAAATTGCCCTCCAGAAAAGTTGCATTTATTTACATTCCTATTGGCAACAAAAGTGTAACTCCTGCCCCCAGGGGGTACTAAAAATGATTAATTTTTCAAATATTTGCCAATTTAATAGGGAAACATTGTATGCCATTTTAATTTACATTTATTGTTTAATAATCAGATTGGACCTTTTCATGTACTTATTGACTATTTGTAAATCTTATTTTTTAAATTGCTATCCAGGTCTTTTACCCATTTTTCCTAGTGAAATTTTTAAAAATTTTTATTGGTTTGTACATTTTTTAGAGAAAATTAATCCTTAATACTATAAGTTGCCAATGTTCTTCTCAGTTTATTTTCTGTTTGTTTGATTTTGTTTTTGTCAATGTAAATATGCAGCAGTTACATTTTACAATATTTGCATCTATTCTTCTGTCCTTTAGGGTTTTAGCCATTAGTGTCATGAATGGAGAGGTGATATAAATTTTTATGCATATTTTCTTTTGGTACTTTAATGGCTTCATTTCTTACATTTAAATCTTCGGGTTGGTGAAAATTTGGAACCTACCTTTTGGTGGTATTGCCTCTTCTTACATGGGTAGATAGATTTAGGGTCAACATGTTAGGCAAAAATGGACCAGAGTTCAAATAACCTTAACTATCCCAATATCCCTTCTCTCAATAATCCAGGGGCCACATTGCATGAAACACGCATAGTATCTGGTTATACCTGAGAACTCAGTAGGATGAGATGTTCACTCTAGGAGAAGCAGAAGGAATCTGGAGCAGCTGGGGAAAGAGCAGGTTCCCACCCCCCTGCTGTGCTCACGGCAGACTGTGTGCTCATTGGGTGAATGAGGGCAGACCCTCCCCGTTTCTCCCTCTTACTCTCATACGCACGCTCACTCTGTTTTTGCCAAGTACCTTTAGTTGAATTCACTAAAGCTAAATGTTTATATACAAAACTCTCATATAAACTTGGATTTGTTTCTGTGTATTTGATTTGGTTCTTGTGCCATGAACGCTCTGTGTTATTTCCGAAAGTACAAAATGCCTTTGAACGAATGTTTAATTGAGCAAAACTCCCCCTGGAACCCTCATTTAAAATATTTTCTTTGATCGTTCTGGCATGTTATTTTTCTGGATAAACTTTAGAAGAGTTTTACCAAATTTGGAAGGAAAAAAAAGGAAATTAATCAACTGATTTTATAGTAAACAGAGCCTCTCTAGACTGGGGTTATCTAAAACATTTCAGGGCTTTAAGAGGTTGAAGGGATGACTGCAGCCCAGTGGAGCTGCAAGGTAGCCATGGAAGGTGTCCCAGGCCAAGGAAGTGATGCAAGACAGGGCCAGAGGATACCTGACATGTGAGGAAGGGCGGGGAGGACCTTATTGGAACTGTCTGCTAGATGTCTCAAACTGCCCTATAGTAAAAAGCAGCAATTCACATTTCTTCTATTTTCTTTTTCTTTTTTTAATCCTCACCCAAGGACATTTTTCCATGTTTTGTTCAGATAGAGTGGAGAGAGAGAAACATCGACGTGAAAGGGACACATCAGATTATTTTGTTAATTAGATTCCACATATTAGTGAGATCATGTGATAGTTGTCTTTCTCTGTCTGGCTTATTTCACTTAGCATAATAATCTCCAGGTCTATCCATGCTGTCACAAAGGGTAAGAGATCCTTCTTTTTAATAGCCACATAGTGTTTCATTGTGTAAATGTACCACAGCTTTTTTATCCACTCATCTACTGATGGGCACTTGGGATATGTCCAGATCTTAGCAATTGTAAATAATGCTGCTATGAACATAGGGGTACATATATTCTTTCTGATTGGTGTTTTGGGGTTCTTAGGATATATTCCCAGAAGTGGGATCACTGGGTCAAAGGGCAGTTTCATTTTTAATTTTTTTGAAGAAACTCCATACTGTTTTCCACAGTGGCTGCACCAGTCTGCATTCCCACCAGCAGTGTGCTAGAGTCCCCTGTTCTCCACACCCTCATCAGCACTTGTTGTTTGATGATTTGTTGATGGCTGCCGTTCTGGCAGGTGTGCAGTGATACTTCATTGTAGTTTTAATTTGCACCCCTCCAACAATTAGTGATGTTGAGCTTTTTTTTTTTTTTCATATGTCTCTTGGCCATTTGTATGTCCTCTTTGGAGAGTGTCTATTCAGGTCCTTTCCCCATTGTTCAACTGTATTGTTTGTCTTTCTGGTGTTGAGTTGTATGAATTTTTCACAGGTAAATGCCATTTTAATATCAACATTTTTCATTTGTTAAACATTTATTAAGCACCCACTCTGGGCCAGGTATCAGTCCCAGCACAGTTAACTGTGTGTTGATAAACATAAGAACAGAATAGAGTGAAAGTAGAAATACATGCAGGAGCTAGTTGGGCAGGGAGGGAGGCCACCCAGTCACAGGGAGAGGGTAGGAAAGGCTTCCCAGCTCATGACCTGCACTGGGGCACATTGCCCCTCAGCAACCCTGATTTCCCTGTTGATCAAACCACTGGCCCCTGTGTGCATTTTCTTCATCTGCATTTTGGTGACGAGTAACTGAGGATTCCGTCCTCCTGGGTGTCAAGGAGGGAGGGAGCAATCTCTGCTCACATACCGCTCTCACATTTTCATTCAAGCCATAAATATCTCTGTACTGAAACACATTCATTCTTGAAAATCCACGTCAGCCTTCCTCTGATAGGGTTACAATATCCCAAACGGGGAGCTAGAGGTTGAGAAAATTGGGTGGAATAATGTGTTTCTCCTCTTTTCTGTATTTTGTGTAGCTGTGCACCAGGATATTTCGGGAATCCCCAGAAGTTTGGAGGTGGCTGCCAACCATGCCCTTGTAATAGCAATGGCCATTTAGGCAGTTGTGACCCCGTGACTGGAGGTAAGATCAACTCATACTCTGTTAGTCTGCATTTATCAGACTAGTATGAAGTAACAGGTGAAGAACCCAAGTAAACATTTTCAGGAAGCATAATGCCCAATTCCAGCTAATAAATCGTCCCCTTATTTTTGATAATCTGTGAAATGCTTAGGTGATATTTTCAGCTTCTGTGAATAACTTACTTCAAGTAGGTTCTTTTTTTTAAGTAAATTGTTTTTGAAATTCAATTAATTATAGCCGAAATAACCTAGACCTTATTTTGATGATTTTCCTAAGACCTCTTTTTCCTAAGGTTATTATCACAACAGCATTCTTTGTGTGTGTATGTCTAAAGAAGTCAAAGTACTCACTCTGTAATAGGAATACATGTTCTAGGATGTGGGTGGTATAATTGAGATGGGTTTTGCATATCAAGGAAAAGGTAACTACTGGGAATTAGTATGGATTCATGAGGAACAACTTGGAAGAAAAGGGAAGACTATTCATTCTCTTCCTTGTTTGACAGAGAATATTAATGAGATATCCCAGGAAAATGCCATTGATATAATGTAATGTCAAACGCTTAGATAAAGTCTCTCATCTTATATTTATAAACAAAACCTTGGATGTGTGGATTAGATTTGGTCAAGTGACTTGTTCCCAAAGGAATGTAGAGTAAATGGATTATCAGTCAAGAATGAGGTGTCTATTTTCATGCCTCAGAGCCTCATCCTGGTTCCATCTTCAATATCAACTCAACACTCTTGACTTGAATGGAAATACAATTATCAGATGATACAAAGTTCAGAGAGGGAAAGTGCTTCCTATGACATATTTAGAATACAAAAGGGCCTCAACAGCCTGGAACAATGGGCCAGTTCTAACCAGACAAAATGATGTTAGGGATAAGCATAAGGTCCTATGGATGAATGGAAGGAATCAATCTTTAAGTGTGTGAGAAGTGCAATGTGGCTTAGTAGGCGGTGTAAAAGACTAAGGTTTTAGTTAGCAGTAAGTTGAATATGGCTCCAGAGTGTATGGTGACTCCTAAGACACCTCCTACTGTCTTCACTGAGTTCTAGTGTCTAGAACCAGCTGGTCTGCCATTCCCTGGTCGGCTGCTCCTATAGGTCCTCAGGTGGAGCTTGTATCTTTAGAAGACAATAGACCAGCTCCAGTTTGTTCAGAAAGAGGGAGAGACTGTGAAGGTGCTTAGAATCATGTCACATGAAGGAGGATTGACCAACCAGCACAGTGAAGCGAAGACTTGGAAAGTACATATTGAAAGGCTGGTGTGTGGCAGAAGGGTTGGTTGTGTTCTCTGTGGCATGAGGGACAGAACCTATACCAAAGACTGGAAACCAGAGGGACACCTATTTTAAACAATCTTAAGAAGGAAGTGTCCAATGTTTAAAGATGAAAAGGACCATTTTCAAAGGAGCTGAGTTCTACTGTCAGTGGAGGCATTCAAGGAGAAGCTTCTTGAGGTTAATGTCTTTTCACGAGGTTAATGTGTCCCCGACTCCCCGCTCCTCTAATAACAAAAATAGACAATGTGAAATGAAGGTGGTAAATTCTGTTCCTAAAATGGAAGAAAATGCTCACACATGAGACTGTGTATTCCTGGGAGCTCTCCCCCTCTCTTTCCATCCTTTCTTTTTCTTTCCATTAGTAATGTACGGATTGCTCGATGGTCAAAACTCAAACTTGTTGAGAAAATTGCACTGATAAATCAATCATGCTCTTAAGTCAAGCCCCACAAGCTGTTCCAAGTGCTGTGGGAGATTGGGAAGGAAATAAAACATCTTTCCTGGCTGTACGGAGTTTACCACCTAATTAAGGAAATAAAAGTGACACCGACTATGTAGCCAAAAAAAGAATGAGTAAATGATTTAAAACACGATGAGTAAGACAAACTGATGATGATATCTAATAAATGAAGATGTACCCAAATATATATAAAGGAGATACTGATTGCCTTTGAATGGGAGGATCAGGGTGATGCTTTTATCTCACTTTTCTGATTTTCCAAATTTTCCATAGTAAATTTATATTATTTTTTACAATTAAAAGTAAATGTAGTTTAAAATACATGCATACACACAGCGTGTGGAGTGTTGCCAGCTGCTGAGAACAAGCGTGAAAGCATGTCCAGGAGCTTTTCAAGCTTGGCCTTTTCCTGGGGGGAAGTTGGGTGATCTTAGGAGGGAAGTTGGGTGATCTTGGGGGGGAAGTTGGGTGATCTTAGGGGGGAAGTTGGGTGATCTTAGGAGGGAAGTTGGGTGATCTTAGGGGGGAAGTTGGGTGATCTTAGGGGGAAGTTGGGTGATCTTGGAGGGGAAGTTGGGTGATCTTAGGGGGGAAGTTGGGTGATCTTAGGAGGGAAGTTGGGTGATCTTAGGGGGGAAGTTGGGTGATCTTAGGGGGGAAGTTGGGTGATCTTGGAGGGGAAGTTGGGTGATCTTAGGGGGGAAGTTGGGTGATCTTGGAGGGGAAGTTGGGTGATCTTAGGGGGGAAGTTGAGTGATCTTAGGGGGGAAGTTGGATGATCTTAGGGGGGAAGTTGGGTGATCTTGGAGGGGAAGTTGGGTGATCTTAGGGGGGAAGTTGGATGATCTTAGGGGGGAAGTTGGGTGATCTTGGGGGGGAAGTTGGGTGATTTTACAGGGGGAAGTTGGGTGATCTTACGGGGGGAGGTTGGGTGATCTTGGGGGGAAGTTGGGTGATTTTACAGGGGGACGTTGGGTGATCTTACGGGGGGAAGTGAGGGGATGTGTCGGTAGAAGAATGCATGGTATGGGAAAAAGAGAAGCAGAAGAGTGTAAATTGTGTGCAAGGATGACCAGTAGGCTCTCCTGACTGCCTGAGAACCTCACAACTTGGCTTTTATTTATGGCAATTGGCAGTGTGGGTCCACTAGCATTGTGTGCATATCTCTGGTGACTAAAGTCTTGCAAAACCAGCTTTTGTGAAAGCCAAGTCAAAAAGCAGAAGATGAATAAGCTTAGTAACACTGTGTTGTTTGGTTATTCCTCATTTCAGATTGCATAAACCAAGAACCCAAAGATGGCAACCCTGGAGAAGAATGTGATGGTTAGTAAAGAAAGCTCCTTTCCTTTCCAAGTTGGTGGTTTTACCGAAGATACGTGAGCCCCGATTTGGAACATGCTTTTCCAGTCTGGGAAAGCAACGTGGGAGGAGGGAGGAGGAGGACTATTTAAGGTGAAATCCAGCCTCATCAACTACAAGCTGTATGAACTTGGGCAAGTGACCTTACTACTCCAAGCCTCAGTTTTATCATTTGCAAAATGGACATAATATCTAGGTCAACCTCATTAGGGTTGTTGGAAAAATTCTTGAAAGTCTCTTGTCACAATGCCTGATAAATAGCAATAAATAACCAAAAGCTACTTATTATCTTTCCTACATTTAAAATTACAACAATTCACATAGACTTACTATGTCTTCTTTTTTTCCAGTTTTATTGAAATATATAACATTGTATTAGTTTAAGGTGTACAACATAATGACTACATATATATTGCAAAATTATTATCACAAGTTTAGTTAACATCCATTATCTCACATAATTAGAATTTTTTTCTTGTGATGAGAACTTTTAGGGTCTACTCTTTTAGCAACTTTCAAATATGCTACACAGTATTGTTAACTATAGTCACCATGCTATACATTTCATCCCCAGGACTTATCTTATAACAGGATATTTGTACCTTTGACCACTTTCGCCCATTTCCCCCACCCCACCATTTCTTTTAAAAATGCATCCCGTCTGGAGACCTTCCCTTTGCACAATCTGCATCCCTCCCTGAGAAGTATAGGATTGTGATGTTTGCCTGTGTGATCCGTGTGCTTATTAACTGGGCTGTATAGCCCTTGTGTTCTGCTTGCATTCCTGTGGCTCCAGCCTACAGAACACTTGCTTTTGATTGTGGCCCCTATAGATTGTGACAGCTGTGTTATGACACTCTTGAATGACCTGGCCACCATGGATGAGGAGCTCCGTGTAGTCAAGTCTCAGCTGCAGGGGCTGAGTGCCGGTGCCGACACTCTGCAGCAGATGGGGCACTTGGAGACCCAGACCAAGGACCTGAGGGTAAGTAGCCTGGGGGTCCAGCATGATGCTGGCCCACATTAGATACGAGTTGAATAGATGCTGCATGAATTAATATTCCTCAAGCAGGAAAGGAGAGGTTGACTCCATTTAAGGCCAGGGGGCTTTCCTCCTTCCTCTGATCTAAATGAAAATTGGATTCTTTTTAATTGAGGTATAATTGGCAGACAATAGTGTATTAGTTTCAGGTGTATAACATAGTGATTCAATATTCGTATCCATTTTGAAGTGATCACCACGATAAGTCTAGTTACTTTCTGTCACCATACAAAGTTATTATAGTATTATTAATCATTTTCTCCATGCTGTTTGTTACTTCCCCATGACATATTTATTTTATAAGTGGAAGTTTGTACCTTTCAATCTCCTTTAACTTTTGTGCCCATTCCCCACACCACCACCACCTTCCGCAAACACTAGTTTGTTCTCTGTATCCATGAATCCATTTCTGTTTTGTTTTATTTGCTCATTTGTTTTGTTCTGTAGATTCCCCATATAACTGAAATCATACGGTGTTTGCCTTTCTCTTTCTGACTTATATCACTTAGAATAATACATTTTTTCTGATGGACAGTATTAGTAAACACACAAAACTAACACTTCTAAATGAACATTCCTTATGTACTGAATGCTTCTGCGCTAATTTTTCTCATAGAGCCGTCTTGCATTCAGAAGACTCAGAAACAGATTTGTGTAAAATTATATTAATTCTTCTTTAAATGTTTGATGAATTTTCTAGTGAAGCCATGTGGGCCTGGGGTTTTCTTTGTTAAAAGTTGAGTTTTTTGTTTTTTAAAATAAATTATAAATTTAATTAGTTTCAGGTGTATAACATAGTGATTCAATATTTAAATTCAATTTTAAAAAACAGATATGGGACTATTTGGGTTATCAGTTTCTTCTTGAGAGATATTTGGTAGTTTGTGCCTTTCAAATAATTTTTTGTTTTATCTAAGTTATCAAATGTATTGACATAAAATTGTTCATAAATGTATCTTATTATCCATTTAATATCTACAAAATCTGTAGTGATGTCCTCTTGTTCATTCCAGATACTGGTAATTTGTGTTTCTCTCTTTTTTTTCTTGATCATTCTGGCTAGAGGTTTGTTCATTTTATTATTTTTTTTTATTTCATTGATTTTTCTCTCTTGTTTTTCAATTTTCAATTTTATTGATTTCTGTTTCATCCATATTGTTTTCTTCTTTCTGCTTGCTTTGGGTTTAATTCACTAGTGTTTTCTAGTTTCCTAAGAGGAAAGCTTATTTTACAGATTCAAGGCCTTTCTTGTTTTTAACATAAGCATTTGATGCTAAATATTTTCCTCTAGCACCACTTTAGCTGAATCCTACACATTTTAAAATGTTGTTTTTATTTTCATTCAATTCGAAAGATTTTCTAATTTCCCTTGTGACATGCCCCTGAGTTATTTAGAGTGTGTTGTTTAATTTCCAAACTAGATATTTTTCAGATAACTTTCTGTTATTGATTTCTAATTTAATTCTGATGTGATCAGAGAACATACTTTATATGGTTCCAGTCCTTTTTTAAAAAATATTTTTTCTTTATTGATTTTTAGAGAGAGGAGAAGGGAGAGGGAGAGAAAGATAGAAACATCAATGAGAGAGAACATGGATTAGCTGTCTCCTGCATGCACCCCACTGGGGATCAGGCCCACAACCGGGCATGTGCCCTGACCGGGAATCAAGACCTCTTGGTGCATGGGTTGACGCTCAATCAGTGAGCCACACTGGCCAGGCAATTCCAATTCTTTTAAATGTGTTAAGATTTGTTTCATAGTTCAGAATATGGTCCACCTGGGAGGATGTTTGATGTTCACTTATAAAGAAGGTGGCCAAGAGGGTGTCCTACGAAGTAATAGGGTCTGAAGTGCCCCATAGGACAAGAGTCAGGTTCTCCCCATGAATTAAGTCTGAAAAAAACAACAACCTGAAACTGCCTAATGCTTACTGCTGGGTGGTGGCTATCTGAGAACCTAGAAAGCTACAAACTTACAGCTGAGACCTGGACAAGATTCACAAAGCAGGATCTGTACTGGAATGTGACATCTGCAATATCACCATAGTGTACAAGTCCTAAGATGCTAAAGTAAGACCTGGTCCGGACTAGGGGATCTGGAGAGGGAGTGGTGATAACCATAGACCCCTGGACAGGACACGGAGAGTGCAGGGAGGGAGAGCTCCCACTCACAGTGAGCTTGCAAACACTGTAACAGACTGCAAACAATAAGAAAGACATGTAACAGAAGCAGCAAAGAGATGAATCTGGAAATGCATAGGTCAGGCAAGTGGTATCACTCTCGTTCTGTAAGGATAGGTCATTCATTCTGGTAAAGTATTTCTTGCCTGTTCACATTTTTAAATGTTGCTGTTTTTATTGTAGAGCCATATCACAATTTATATCAGAAAGCAGGTTCTCCAGGTAGCCTATTCCAAAGAACCATGTTTTTTCCTGTGGAACCGGTGTTGGTCTTCCTAACTGAATCTTTTCATAGCATCACCAGGTTTACCAAGTTGATAGGACACACTCCAAATTTCTACTCTGAAGTGAGATTAACTCTGTACTTGACTTTCAGAATCAGCTGCTCAGCTACCGTTCTGCCATTTCAAATCAGGGCTCCAAAGTGGACGGCCTGGAAAAGGAACTGAGTAATCTAAATCGTGAATTTGACACTTTGCAAGAAAAGGTAACATGCTAGGTCAATAACATTAACCTCTTGTTTGTACTTTCAAAATATTGATCATTCCTCCCCCCATCAATTTATTGCTAATCCACTTATCTTTCATATAGGTTCAAATGAATTCCGGAAGAGCACAGACATTATACAACAACATTGATCAGACGACCCAAAGCGCAAAAGAGCTGGACTCAAAGATTAAAAATGTCATCCGAAATGTGCACAGTAAGAAGAGTTACTCAATCCAACTAATTTTTTTAAATGTCATAGTTTTTGAGCACTGAAAGAATTTTCCTTGAAGGGTTCAACATTATGAAGAAGATCCGACAGTGATACTAAAAAACTAATATGAACCTTCCCGTAGAAATATCTGCCTTTTTTTTAAGTCGTCTGCGGCAGTCCTCAATTCCCAGTTCAATAACCTCCTCGCTGTTTTCCAGTTCTCCTGAGGCAGATCTCTGGGACAGACGGCGGAGGAAACAACTTGCCTTCCGGCGACGTTTCCAGGACGCTGGCCGAAGCCGAGCGCATGATAAGGGAGCTGCGGGACCGGGACTTTGGAGAGCACCTGAGAGAAGCAGAGGCTGAAAAGAGAGAGGCTCAGCTCTGTAAGGACTTTCCCAAACTCGTGTATCCATCCACTCTAATCGGTTTCAAATACAATGTGCGAAGTACAATATTGAGTCCTCAGTTGCAGGGGGAGGGTGTCTCATTTCAGTGTATGTTACTGTTAGAGCATCCTGTGGTGAAAACAGGTAGCCCACCCCCATTACTATGAGGCTGTAGAATATAACATCTTACCCTTGTGTGGAAAAAAAAAAAAAGGTTCTTCTAAGATATTAGATACTGCTACCTCTTTTCCCATTTTTACTGCATTTTCGTTCTTTCATTCAGTTCCTCCCGACTTTCTTATTTTATCATTTTTGAATGGTCACCTCACCACCACTAGGGTTTTGAACTACAAATCGATATTAGCACTATCACTGCAAAAACAAATAATGGATATAGAAGAAATGAATGGAATATATCTGAAGTTTTAATTAGGGAGAATGATTCATTAGCTGAAAACTGAGAAATATTAGTTTGGTGCATTTTTTTTTTCCAAATACTGTGCATTATTCTCTAGTAAAATAATGCTATCGGTGGTTCATTGATGACTGCTACAGATAGTGGCAGTTTTCTTTTAGCATTTGTATTGTTTACATTTAAGATGAGCCTTGGCTGGTCACCAAGGAGACGGAAGCAGCAGGAGAGCAGGTGCAGTGTGCTCTGCAGATCCCGTTCGAATCCCTGGGCGGACTGCTCATGCAATCTCGGGTCGTCGCCTAATTTCTCAGAGTCTCCCTCTTTTTCCCTGAAACATGAGAATGATAATTACTGTTTTCATGTGTGATCATAAAAGTTAAATGAGGCAGTGGGTACAATGCACAGAGCAGGTGCTACATAAAGGTTAGTTTCCTTTCCCATTCCCTGGCAAATTCAAGGAAAATCATGAAATGTTTAGAAACCCAATTCTTCTTCTGTAGTCTTTGTAACGTAGCTGCAACTTATCCATCTGTGAAGTGGAAAACATTAAGTGATGTATTACAGTGCTGAATCGGATACGGAGCTGGCTGGAAAGCCACCACGTGGAGAACAATGGACTTGTTCAGAGCATACGAGATTCTTTAAATGACTATGAAGCCAAACTCACTGACCTCCGTACTGCGCTACAGGAGGCCACGGCCCAGGCAAAGAAGGCTACTGGCCTCAACCAAGACAACGAGGGGACTTTGGAATCCATCAAAGTGAGTTCACAGCCAGATCTGCACTCTTTCATTAATGACAAGGATGAGGGAGATGGGTCTTTATTGTTGATTAAATGGCATGGCCAGAGACCCGTCTGCACATCTAGTCTGTATGCACCTCTCTGTATGGTGAACCCTCTAATCAAACAGGAATGAGGCATTAAATGTGAAACCAAAGTCATTCCTCCCCCTCAGTTGCCAGAAAAGATTCTGAACTTAAACCACAGAGAACGCAGAGCACGTTGCTCCCCTGACCCCTGGCTGATAGAGTACTAAAGGAGTATTGTTACCAAGTAGATGAGAAATTAAACTAATATTGTGATTAGTTCAAAGTATATAATATGTTTTAAGTAACTTTTTGTGTCAGATGCATAAACATCATTATCATAGTCACCAGCAAGGGCGTTTGAAGCCATTACCTGCTTTTAGGATAAATGAAATATTAGGGCTCATGCAGTAGCTGCAGTGACAGAATTGAGAGCTCAAGGTTCTAGGCCAGTGGTTCTCATCCTTCCTCATGCCGCGACCCTTTAATACTGTTCCTCATGTTGCATGTGGGCGTATCTGCACGTGGGTGGACCCTCCTGGAGACGGATAGAGGAGCCGTGTCTCGGTTCCTAAGACCATCGGAAATAATGTGTTTTCCGATCATCTTAGGCGACCCCTGTGAAAGGGTCATTCGACCCTCACAGGGGTTGTGACCCACAGGTTGAGAACTGCTATTCTAGAGTATATTTTTTCAATGGTGAACATTATATGCTAAACCAACAACAAAAGTGTGAGAGGTTAAAAAATAACAGTAAGATCTAAGAGGAATAATATAGGACTGACTCCAAAAAAGAACTTGGTAAAGAGAATAAATAATATCTCTTAACAGATGGCAATACGCTTTATTCCCAAAGCCTTTTTCTATAGTAACACCTCCGTTGAAGTCCTGATTACGTCCGTCCAAGGGAGCAGCGTCCAATTTTCTGGGTCCCTGCACTTGGGCAGCCTCCTGGCCTGGCAGTCTCGGGTCCTAGGCGCGCTCATGGAGACCACCTTCATCCTCACGGGGACTGGCACATGGATGTGCTGATGGCTCGGGCTGGTTTATTTATCAAGTCTCTCACTCTTCTCCACAAATCAGGGCTTAATTATATGTCCTCCTCGATGCCCGAGATGACCCCAGGGTAGAAACCATCTTCAACCACAACTGTTTCCTCGGCATGTAGTTTGAGGAAACTAGGACAGTTCACCCAGCCTCAGAGGACTGATTTCCCTCACTTTGTAGTTGCCTAGACAATCTTTAAGTTCAGGAAAACATTCTGACTCTGAAAGTACTTCTGTGCTGTTCTCCAATAAATATGCCTGTGCCTGCTGATAATATATTCTGTAGCTCATGCAAATATTCTTTTTATTCTCTCCAGAGACAAATTAAAGAAATGAATTCCCTGCAGAGTGATTTCACCAAGTCTCTGGCCACTGCAGATTCTTCCTTACTGCAAACCAACATTTTGCTGCAGCTGATGGGGAAAAGCCAGGAGGTAGAGACAAACTTGTCTAGAAAATAAAAGAGCACTTAAATTATATTGTGGAGAAACTATGGGATGGGCTGGCCTATTTTTTTCTCCCTAGTGTATGTCTTTGAGTTGGAAGGAAATATACCAAAATGCCAATAGTGGTGCTCCCTTGGAGGAGGGGTGTAAATGATGTCTTCTTTTTGCCTATTTGTATTGCCTGCAATGAGCAAATGTTACTTTCATCATTTAAAAAATTGAAATGCTATTTTTAAAGTATCAAGCATACCTTTATTCCCAGAAAACATTTAGGACTGACAAAAGATTGACAACATGTCTCAGCCCAGTGGGCATTTTGAAAGTGTCTTTTTTATGATCGCTATTTTCAAATCAGAAAAAGAGTGTTTTGGTTTAGTACTTTACACTAATGATAACAGCGTGCTTTTATACAATCTGTCAAAGGGGTACCCACCATAAGGAAAATGTTCAGATGGTGGTTAAACTTGGGAGAATGTTATAAGCACCACTACCTGAAATAATCAAAGATCAATTGGTGTAGTAAAGGGCTTAGAAAACAAATTTCTTCTTGTTGCTTCCTGGAAACATGCCATTTATGACAGTTCATGAAAATGCCGTACACGATTCCTTGCTTAAATTGATACTGTCTCTGTTTACTTGGAAAAACAGGACTATAAAAAACTAGCTGCCACTGTAAATGAAGTAAGACTTGAACTCAGTGACAAAGTGAGAGAGCTGTCCAAATCCGCCAGCAAAGCATCGCTGGTGAAGGAGGCAGAGGAGCATGCACGGGCCTTGCAGGAGCTGGCAAAGCAGCTGGAAGAGTGAGTGTGGCCCCGAGGTCTGACCGCGCCCCTGCCCGGGCCTGGTATGAAAGCCTCCCCCCGGGTGGGCTGGGGCTCCAAAAACAGGGTGGAGGGTGGGCCCAGGGCCCAGGGCCAAACCTCACCTGCTCCGGGGTACTGATTCCCAGTTGCACTGGGACAGAGCTGCAGGGCCCACTGCCTCCAGTCTCCCCTCCACTTGCCAAATGAACTGGGACTCAGTGGTAGGCAGGGGTGGGCTGCTGGAGACCTCACCGTCTGTCTTCCAGGATCAAGAAGAATGCCAGTGCGGATGAGCTGGTACGCCGAGCTGTGGACGCGGCCACCGCCTATGAGAACATCCTCAATGCCATCAAAGCAGCCGAGGATGCTGCAGACAAGGCCTCTAGTGCATCCGAGTCTGCCCTGCAGGTGGGCACCTGCGCTAGCAGCTTCTCTAGATGCACTCTAGAGATGACTCGCTTTCTTTTTTCTTTACTGATTTTAGAGAGAGAGAAAGGAAGAGGGGGAGTGAGATAGAAACATCGATGAGAGAGAACATCAATTGGCTGCCTCTGCATGCCCCCCACTGGGGATTTGGCCCGCAACCTGGGCATGTGCCCTGACCGGAATCTAACCTGCGACCTCTTGGTGCATGGGTCGACGCTCCATCACTGAGCCACACCAGTTGGGCTGACTTGCTTTCTAATTTTCTTTCTCTGTGCACTGAGGGATATATATATATTTTAAAAAGCATTAGTTTAAGTCAGAACTTGTTATGCAGAATAGACTTGAACTTGCTCCAGATATGGGTCATTTCTGTATTTACATGACTGATATGTAGCACAATTTTTAAAACTTTGTAAAACCAGATAGGAGTTATACTAATTATCAGTTTTGAAGCAAAATAAATAGTATATCCTGCTTCTTCTTAGGTATGCTTTTAAGTTGTGATTAAGTGTTAACAATTACCAAAGAAGAGGTTTTTGTGCACAATTTTTGTTGTTGTTGTTAATCCTCATCTGAGGATATTTTTAGAGAGTGGAAGGGAGGGAGAGAGAGAGAGAAACATCAGTGTGAGAGAGACACATTGATTGGTTGCCTCCTGCATGCACCCCAACCAGGGCTGGGGATCAAACCTGCAACCCAGGTACATGCTATTGACCGGGAATTGAACCCAAGACCCTTCGGTCTGTGGGCCAATGCTCTAACCACTGAGCAAAACCAGCCAGGGCTGTACACAATTTGATATCCATTTATTTTCTGTTCTTTGTCTTACACCTATGCATGTCTGTGGGGTCCTATGGGATATTATGTACACCATGCATATTCCTATATTTAAAGATAAAATATTAACTATCAAAGAATTAGGGGAAAGGCTTTATTGGAAGGTTAAAGACTTTTATCTCCCAAGACCAAAAACTGAAAAGCAACTCAATTCTGTGTTCAGTTGTTGCGGCGGGTATTGTATATGTGACGGTGGGAAAATGCGACAGGTGTCCGGTCGTTCATTAGCGTGTCACCAGAGATGGGCCCACTCTCCCAGCCACAGATGTCCACCTAGATCATTTAAGGAACCGTCTTTTTAAACTTCTTTACCTTCAAACCTCATTCTTCAAAGATTAAAGATAAGAGCTTTGGGGTAGGATAAAAACAAATCTTACTCCTTGTTTCCTAAGCTGTACCATGTGCTGAAGGCTGATAAATGCTTTGCTTTCAGACAGTGATAAAGGAAGATCTTCCAACAAAAGCTAAAACCCTGAGTTCCGAAAGTGGTAAACTGTTAAATGAAGCCAAGAAAACACAGAAGAAGTTACAACAAGGTACTGGGGGGGGGTGGGGGGGGGGTAGGGGTCAGGTTATAATCAGGGGCTTGAAAACTACCTGTAGGACCAGGAGAGGCAGCCCTAGGAATAAAATGCTCTTCCTGAATATCAGTGTTGATGCAGATTTGTAAATCCATGGTTTACTTTATAGATCTGATATTTCTTCCCAATATTCTAACATATATTGAATTAACCTGAACCTCATGAATAGAAGTAAATCTTGAGGGTGACAAGCCTGTTTTGGTCTGGCCTTTGGGGGCTATTTAATTTAATTTACTTGTGACCATGGCATTAGAACCCACATGGTGTAGAGGTATTTGCAATGCTGGTTCCTTTTTTTAAAAAAATTTTTTCCAGCCGGGCTGCAATGCTGGTTCCTTACTCAAGGTCAAGATCATTAGTCTCCAGTCATTAGAGCAACTGCTTCAAGAGTTCTTAAGTCCTGAAATCTTAGCAATTAGAAGTACCACTATGAAACATGAGAATTTCTTAATTACAACTTTTATTGAAAATTTTCCACTTACTTTATTTGCTTATTTATTTTTCATGAACCCATCTCAATCTCACCAAATTCCCGTGTTCTGAAAATGTTGTCTCTTGATTCCCCCTGGTCCCTCGTGGTCATTCATGGCTGAGCAGCCGTCCGCAGGCCCACAGCCCTCGCTGAGCTCTAGTCCTGTGCGTAAAGGGCTTCTGCTAGATCCTTTCTTCTTTCTTCTGTAAAAATTAAATATATGAGAAATAAAATACAACAAATATGTATTAACATATAATCATGTGCCTAGCAAATTTCAAGAATTAAAGTTTCCTTGTATGACATCTGCTCTCTATAAAATTCGAGCTAAGAAGTAAGGATCAGTGTTTTATTTTGTTTCTATATTGATTTGAGAGAGAGAGAAAGGGAGAGAGAAAGATAGAAACATTGATGAGAGAGCCTCCTGCATGCCCCCCACTGGGGATCGGGCCCACAACCTGGGCATGTGCCCTGAGGGGAATTGAACCGCCAACCTCTTGGTGCACGGGTCGACGCTCAACCACTGAGCCACACCAGCCAGGCAAGGATCAGTGTTTTAAACAGGCTTAGGATGCTAACCACATTGTTACTTTATTCTTTTATTTTCTAGTAGCTTTATTATTTATTTATTTATTTATTTATTTATTTATTCATCTATTAGTTTTTGATTCCCTTCATCCATTTCCCCTTACCCCCTCACCTCTGGCAACCCCACTCTAGTCTCTGTATCTATGAGTTTTTTGTTGTTGCTTTAGATTTTACACACAAGAGAGATCCGTGTGGTTTTTGTCTACATTGTTATTTAAACTAGTCCTGGAATCATAATTTAAGCCATCTGTCATCAGTTTGGTCTTAGAGCATTCACTGGTCATGTTCCATGACCCCAAATTGGCAATATTGTCAACTAGGAATGTCTGCTAGCTCTGCTTCTCTCACTGTAATTCCTTAAATGTATCCATTTGGAAATGAACAGAAACAAACAATGCCTAATAGTATATGTTTTCTTGGATAAGGCTCTGATAACAACACTCCTTTCTTATACTGGGAGACTGAAGAGGCATCCTTTCTGCATTACTCATTCATTTGTTCATTCACTCACACAGTCATTCATTCATTCAATAAATGTGTACTAATATTAAGCCCCGAATAGTGCCAGACATGGCACTTTGTGCTGGGACACAGCAGTGAACATGACAAACACATTCCTTTCCTTCACTAAGCAGAGACGTCTGTCCTGAACAGATAGAAATTATTAAGCCTCTTCCTTTCTTCATGTGTATTTCCAAGGAGCTTGGACCACAGGCTTCGATATGCTCCTGACTTCTGTAACCAGAGAACCCTGGAGCTGTAAGTCTAGACACAAGCAGTGGGCATCTCTGGGATGACCCCTTAAATACAGGTTTGCTCAATGCTGTGCAGATACTACCTACTTAAGGGCCATTAATACCAATGTGGGATCAAAATTTACAGAGTAATTGCCTCTTAATGCTTTATTTTATTTTAGAAATCAGTCAAGCTCTGAACAACCTACAGCAAACTCTGAAAATTATGAAAGTTCAGAAAGGGATGATAGACGCCAATATTACTACCATCCGAGATGATCTTCGAGGGATAGAGAGAGGTCAGCATCTCCTGAACCCACCATACTTGGCTTCTTTTGTTGAACAGTTTAGGTACCTATACCACCCTATTTGTGTGTGCATTAGATGACATCGATGGTATGATCAGTAGTGCGAAGAACAAGGTCAGAAATGCCAACGACATCACAGATGAGGTCCTGGACGGGCTCAACCCCATTCAGACAGATGTGGAAAGAATTAAGGATACCTATACGCACACAAAGAGTGAAGACTTCAACCGAGCTCTTACTGATGCAGATAACTCAGGTATCAGGCATTCTGGGCCAGAAAAGACTATCCATTTCCTCCATTGTTACGTGCTTTCATTAGTTTCAAATCTCCCCTGATAAAGTATAATTTTAGAAATTAAAACGTTAGAAAACAGTTTCACATAATGCATTCAAAGAGTATGGGTATTCTGTTAGTTAGAAGAACCAGGCAGGATCCATTTACCTTGCTACTGATTTTCTCTTTTATAAACTAGAAGTATAGGTCCCTGAATCGTGAGATATTAAATTATGATTGCTATTAAGGATTAGAAAACAAAGATTTCCTTTCCCTATAGTGGTCAAGAAAAATGATTTGATATTTGGATAGCAGAATAAAATCCCTGACATATTTAGAAAAGGTATCTGAGTCATCCTGTTCAACATTTGGTACCCAAACATACACTTGATGAATACTGTCAATGAGAGCATCTATATTTAACCTTTCTCCATTTATAATTATAAATTTCTGTTTTGTAATCTCACCAACAGTAGAGAAATTAACCAACAAACTGCCTGATCTTTTGAGCAAAATTGAAAGTATCAACCAACAGCTGTTGCCACTGGGCAACATCTCTGATAACGTGGACCGCATTCGAGAGCTCATTCAGCAGGCCAGAGATGCTGCAAATAAGGTAGGCGTGCCCTGCACTGCCAGGCACCGAAGTTCCTTCTTTGATAAGTTACCGCATTCATCAAGAAAGGAAACATTTGTTTCCCCAAGAACCTTTGTCTTTCTTACTCTAATTCTTTGCTTGAATTGTGAAAGTTGATTTCCTCCTGTCATCCTTCAAAAGTGCACATCACTTTCATCACTAAATGATCTGGTATGTCAGGGACCCGAAGCGCTTTCCTTCCCACTGAATTTGTGCGGACAGGAAGAAGGGGTTCCTCCAGGCCCCGGCTGGTAAACTGCACGTTCATGTAGGGGTTCTGTGGTCAGAATATGCTAATATGATATTGCACACGACCTGCTTTCTCACTGCAACTTGAAATGTGTAGAACACCTTTATTGAGGATGGAGGAATAGTTCTTACATGGGATTATAGCCATTTTCTGTCATAGGAGCCTGATCCATCAGCCTTTCTCATTTTAATCTGACATTATTTACTTGACTTCCTGACACTTCTCTCCCACTATGTGGTTTTTTTTAATCCTCACCCGAGGATATTTTTCTCAAATATCTTCAGATAGAGTGGGAGGGAGGGGAAAGAGAGAGAGAGAAACATCAGTGTGAGAGGGACAAATCGACTGGTTGCCTCCCGCACGACCAGGGCCGGGGATGAACCGAAACCGAGGTACGTGACCTTGGTGAGAATCGAACCCACGACTCTTTGGTCTGCAGGCTAACATTCTATTGCTGAACCAAACCAGCCATGGCTTCCCCACTGTGTGTTTTGTTCTAACATAATATTAATGAAATATCATGTATTTTTCAGCCAACCCCCTGTGAGAGATTTGGAGATAGACAGTTGGAAAACCAAGTTGGGATATCACTGCCCTTGAGGCACTTTCATTGATTTCTAGGTTCCATATGACATCTTATGAGCCTCAATTTCCACCCCCTCTCCCCCCTTTTTTGGGGAAAGAGAAGTACTGTCAACATAAAATCTTTGGCAGGAACACAAAGAGCATAAGGCACAGTTTGGAAGATGCTACCGTCTTCATACACACATGTGCTTCAAAAAAACCAAATGAAAAAGAATGTGCTTCTATCTTTTGCACATCTATGTTCATTCACTAATCTATTCAAGAAAAATTGAAGTGTATAACAGCGCCGTTGTCAAGGGCTGGTGAGCCAAGCCGGGACACATTATCCGTTTTCTCCACTGTAGTGTGCTTTGGTCAGACCAAGCCAGATGGTCTCAGTTTTGTTCCTAGTTCCATCACTTACGAGCTGAGACCTTGGGCCAGCCCCTTCGCCTCGCTGTGCCTCAGTTGCTTCATCTGTGAGCAGAGTAAATAATGGTACGGACCTCATGAGAGTGTTAGGATTAACTGAGCTCACGTAAAACTGTCCCTGGCTAATAGTACCATGTAAGTGGAAAATAAAAAGTAATCAGCAAGTGCTTTTGAACCCTTGGCTTGCACTCAGCTTTCTCCTGGGTGCTGGGGACACAGGTTGCTCCCCAGCTGCTGTCAGCGATAGCGGGTGAACAGACTACTCTAACAGGCTGGATTAAGGCGTTGTGCAGGTTTTGGAAATACCCACTTCTACCTGGAGAGGCTCAGAATAATACGAAAGGACACATATAAGAGTGTTCAGTGCAACACAGCTTATAATCACACACAAAATTGGAAAAAATCCAAATGTCTATCGACAGGAGATGGATAAAATTGGGATAAATTTATGCAGTGGAAGACCATGCCACAGTAAATGTGAATGAACTGGAGCCACGTATATCAACACAGATAAATCTGAAAAACAGAGGCAAATAAAGCAAGTTGTAGAATGATATGGATAGCTGGATACCATTTTTATAAAAATACTTAAAACATAAAAAATGAGACTAGTGACAGCTTATAGATAAATGCATATTTAGTAAAAATATTAAAACATGCATGAGACTCTGCCTGGGAGTCCAGCTTTAGGGTAGTGGTGACCTGTGAGAAGGGAGAGGGGAACGGGGACCAGGTGGGATATGCCAGGGGCTTCAGTTATACCAGTAATGTTTAATATCTTAGGGTGGTGATGCATAACCAGGTGCACTCTCCATACTTTTTTGTATTCCTGGAATATTTTCTTAATTAAAACAAATTTTTTTAATGAGTAGGAGTTCTCTAGGTGACAAAAAGCACAAGGGCATGCCAGGCAGGACTCAGGATGTGGTTGGGTATACTCGAGGTTGAGTGGAAGAGAGAAGCGTAAAATGAGCCTGTACATGTTGGTGAGGGGAGCTCAGTCATGAGCACTTTGCAGAGATTCTAGCTCACCTGTCCTCACGTGTCACTAAGCCACCCGCCCCCTGCCACTACCACCTCTTAATGCCTCGCATATACAAGGCCGGCCACTAATATTTAAATGCTTAGTAGGTAAAATGTAGAGTTGGTGTAGGTATCGTTCCAGCAGTGTAATTCTTTAGATTGTTTGAGAATGTTTATTTTCTGTGTTGTTGTTGTTTTTTTTCTTTATTGATTTTACAGAGAGAGGAAGGGAGAGGGAAAGAGATAGAAACATCGATGAGAGAGAACATCGACTGGCCGCCTCCTGCATGTCCCCCTCTAGGGATCTGGCCCACAACCTGGGCATGTGTTCTGACCGGGAATCAAACCAGCGACCTCTTGGTCAATGCTCAACCACTGAGCCACACCGGCCAGACATATTTTCTGTGTTTTAATGCAGAACTACCAAAGCTGGTCCACAAACCAGCTCTGGTCAGAGAGTTTTTACCAGTCTGTTATATTTAAGTATAAAATTGAGATGTGTAGAAATGTTTAATAATTTGAATTGTTTCAACATCCAAGCATGGGGTCAGTGGAATAAATACCTTCTTTATTTCATTTTTATAGTTGTTTAATTTTTAATATATTTTTAAAAGACTTGGTCCAGGGCAGATTAGACAAAAATAAGGGTCCTCACCACAGTTAGGAGCACTGTTTTAGAGGACCTCGATGCACTCATTGGTAGGACTGGATGCCTGTAATGAGTGCAAACAAAACATGTACCATGTTCATGGGAAACAGTTCCTTAAAAAGTTCCTTTAAGCCCTGGCCGGTTTGGCTCAGCGGTTAGAGCGTCCGCCTGCGGTCCAGAGAGACCCGGGTTCGGTTCCCGCTAAGGGCATGTACCTCGGTTGCAGTTTGTCCCCGGCCCTGGTTGGTCGTGCGGGTGGCAGCCACTCAATGTGTCCCTTTCACATCGATGTTTCCCTCTCTCTCTCTTCCTCTCTCTCCCTCCCACTCTGTCTGTACAAAAAATGGAAAAATGTCCTCGAATGAGGATAAAGAAAAAGTTCCTTTAAAATGTTTTCTTGGTGTATTATATATTTACTATATGCCCAACATCATGCTAAGTGCTTCCATACCTGTTAGCTCATCTACACAAAAACCTTCAGGGTTGAAATTATTATAATAACGATTATATTTCTGGCACAGAGAATTCAGTGACTTCTCAAAGACCCTTGGCTGATAAACCAGAAGAGAATGAATGCTTTATCACCTGGCTCCTGAGACAGTTCCATGAGTTTTCAATGCAGGTCCAGGAGACATTCACACTCCTTTGTTCCTTATCCTGACAACCTGGTAAACACTTACGTGTACTTGAAAGGATGTGTTGATGTGTTGGTGGGATTTCCTCCTGCTGTGCCAACACATCAAAGTCACAAACTTCCGCTGCAAAGTCACAAACTTCGGCTGTGATCACACCCACTCTCCTCGTGGTAGAAGGGTTAACACCACAGCTCTTACCGCCCACAGGTCGCAGTCCCCATGAGATTCAACGGGAAATCTGGTGTAGAAGTCCGGCTGCCAGGAGACCTGGAGGATCTGAAAGGATACACATCTCTGTCCTTGTTTCTCCAAAGACCTAAGTTAGCAGAAAACGGAGGGGCTGAGAATATGTTTGTGATGTACCTCGGAAATAAAGATGTAAGTATTGCTTTGACATTTCTCTTGCTTTTAAAATAGAACATAGTTTTGGGATGCGTAATGCCACTGGTCACTGCTGTTGGCACAGCAGGAGGAAATCCCACCAACACATCAGCAAACTCCACCGCCTCTGATGGTGCCACAAGGACCTCCTGTCAATCACGGATTGGTATCTGCTGGCAGGCCTAGAGGCCTTACTGGATGGGGGCCCAAGCACAGGTGCACACGTGTGTGTACCCATGAGCACATACACACTCTTCTCACGTGACCAGGGCAGCAGTATCCAGCCTTCATGGAAATCAACTGTTCTTCCTCATAGGCTTATGATACTGTTCTCTCGCTCGGAATGGGCAGCCCCAGCCCTTCCTCAGGTCTGTGGGGTGACGACCATCTGTAGATGAGGACCCGAGCAAATGAAGCCTCTCCTTCTACCTAATTAATCAGAAATCCAGTTGCCCCATCTCTATCATTCTAAATTCTGTAAGCCTCTACTGTTACAGGCATTTTGAAGAGTTCCTTTTAGCATGTAATCCCTCCACTTAAAATACATTTCTTCAGCCCTGGCCAGTTTGGCTCAAGAATTAGAGCATCAGCCACAGACCAAAGAGTCTCAGGTTCAATTCCAGTCAAGGGCACATACCTGGGTTGCAGGTTCAATCCAAGCCCCAGTCGGGGTTGTGCTGAAAGCAACAAGTCGATGTGTCTCTCTTACATCAATGTTTCTCTTTCTCTCTCTCTCCCTCCCTCCCACTCTAACTAAAAAAGTCAGTGGAAAAATATCCTCGGGTAAGAATTTAAAAAAACACACAAAAAACACCACATATCTTCAACCTAATTGTCAGAGGCAAAGCTAATCACTGATTGAGTTAGGATACAATTTTTGGAAAAGAAATATCTGAAAATTCTGTCAGTTAAGAAATGGCTGGCTGCCACTGGTGGATGCCATATTTAAAGATTCTTAAAATCAACACAATTGTTAATCATCCTTTCTGCTTCGAGGTATTGGTACTTTATTTGTAGCTTTCTTGTGACATAACTTTTTGCTTTCTATTATGACAAAATGCGCATTACTTTATTCCTTCAACAAAGTTATACCGTATAACTGCTAGGTGTCATGCCCTGTATTTATGATAAACAAAAATTTGTTTCTTGAGTGTGCTTAATGTACACTTAAAACAGATTAAAGTGGTATATTTTACCATAATTTAAAAAAAAATCCTTACCCAAAGATATGTTTCTATTGCTTTTAGAGAGAGAGGAAGAGAGAAAAAGAGAGAGAGAAACAGTGATCAGTCGCCTTCCGTACACACCTCAACTGGGGATCAAACCCGCAACCCGGTTATGTGCCCTGACTAGGAATCAAAGCCACCACCTTTTGGTGTATGGGACGACTGTCCAACAAACTGAGCCACACCAGACAGGGCCATTTTAGCATAATTTAAAAAAATCTACCTCAAAGTGGTCACAATCTAATGGGAAAAAGATACATATAGCAGTGATAATATAGGGTGCTAGGTCATGTAACAGAAGTATGCACACAGTGTTGTATGGTACAGGGGGAACAAAATGGCTTGTCTTCCTTAGCAGGCTAGCATCTAATGGAGACCCGAGTCCCCATCTGGTTCATTTTATGGCAGGTGCTTAGCAAATATTTGTAGAATAAATGAGTGTACTATACCAGAGCAAAGACAGCTCAGACAGCACTAATGTTGAGTGTTCTGTCTGTATTATTCTGTACAAGGATACACCCCCATTTATTCTGCCTGCCCAGAGCTTATTCTGTAAAACCCTCTAGTTATTTGAAATGCATCTCTTGGGATGGGTAGTTGAGAGACTATGTGTGTCAAGTGCCTTGAGGTAGACTTCATGCCTCCAGGCCTCCAAGGACTATATCGGCATGGCAGTTGTGAATGGCCAGCTCATGTGTGTCTACAACCTGGGAGAGCAGGAGGCCGAACTCCAAGTTGACCGGATCTTGACCCGGAGTGACACTCAGGAGGCAATCATGGACCGAGTGAAATTTCAGAGGTACAAGTCTGATAGACTACTGCTCTTCATTAATCTGACTTGCACACATTGCTGAACCCCCTTTTTAGAATCTTGGCTTTGCTGTTTTTCATTTTTGCATAAATTTTTCTATAAATTTACCCTCTGATTTATTTTTAAACAGAATTTATCAGTTTGCAAGGCTTAATTACAGCAGAGAAGCCACGTCCAGTAAACCAGAAACATTTGAATACAATGACATGGACAGAAGAAGTAGCAACACTCTCTTCACTTTGGATCCTGAAAATGTTGTGTTTTATGTTGGAGGCTACCCACCTGATTTTAGTGTAAGTACAAATGTTATTTCACTAGGGAAAAATATTTACATTTTTATTTGGCATGACGACTTCTAGTCTCTACTTATTGGTTATATTTAAGATGGATTTAACTATATATTCTGAAAGCTTATCTAGGGATAATAGCTAACACTTGAGTACTTCCTTGTGCAGTGATATATGGTAAGTATATTGATTTAAAAAGCATCATTATCATTCCCACTTCACAGATGAGGAAACTGAGACAATGAGGTTGAATAACTTGCTAGTAGTCATACAGCTAGTAAATAGTAAAGCCAGGGCATTTGGTTCCAGGGTCCACATTCTTAACCCCTATTGCTATGTTGATGGTTAAAAGGGATAGATTCATACTATTTCTCGGTCAACCTGATCATTGTCCTTAGTTCAATTCGTAGATTTCTTTCTTTCTTTTTTTCCCCCCAGCTTCCTAGAAGACTTAGATTCCCTCCATACACAGGTTGTATTGAATTAGATGACCTCAATGAAAATGTCCTGAGCTTGTACAACTTCAAAGAAACTTTCAATCTTAATACGACTGAAGTGGAGCCTTGTAGAAGGTAAATAGAGCCTAGAAACTGTCTCTAGAACTGTTATTTTTATAACTTACTGGTATATTACATATAACAACGGATAGCCATTGACTTGCTGTTGATGTCGCTGGTTGCTTTGAGCCAGTAGTTCTTAAATTGTGCTGGCATGAAGCAATGCTACTCCATCCCTAAAATCTAATGGTGGTGGACTCTTCTTCATTTATATAACATGTTAGATTGATAGAGTTTTGTCACTTAAAAAAAATAAACTTTTCTTATATTTTTGGTGCCTCCTACCACAAAATGTTCAGTGTAGGATGATACCTGATTTAGGCACAAAAGTATATATTTACTGTAAGTTTAAAAAAAAATAGTGGTCCACAAAGTACACTGTGACTTTCTAGGTATTCTGAAACCTGGCCCTGAGGAAAATCGCTGCCTTCCCTCTAGTGAAAGGATTTGGAATGTTCCAATATGGAACAGACTATTTATTACTCAGAATCAAATTATTATATTTCAAGTTAATATATATATATATATATATATATATATATATATATATATTTTTTTAACATTTCAAGAGCTTCAGATGCTGGGCTACATCTTTCTAAGTAGATCTTTCCAAAAGGGACTCTTGAATATTATCTTAATTGAGCTAGGGTTTAATTATCATAAGAGTGTAAGAGCACATCCAGGAGAAATAGCTGGCTGTTTTAACATTTTAAAGATGTTTCCTCGTCTTTAACAAAATCAGAACAACTAGATTGCATGTGCTCTGCTCCATTTTTCAGAGAGCAGCGTCTTGTATTACTTGTGTGGTAGTTCTCTGCTGCTGTGTTCTAACTGATGATGATTGATATTGACAGGAGAAAGGAAGAGTCAGATAAAAATTATTTTGAAGGTACAGGCTATGCTCGAATTTCAACTCAACCAAATGCTACCTTCCCAACCTTTGCCCAGACGATTCAGACCACGGTGGATAGAGGTTTGCTGTTCTTTGCAGAAAACAAGGTAATTTATAACAAGCATCTACAAATCTTTTTTTTTTTTATCCTCACCTGAGGACATTTTTTTCCATTTTTTGTTCAGATAGAGTGGGAGGAAGAGAGAGAGAAACATCGACGTAAAAAGGACACATCGAGTGGTTGCCTCCCACACAACCAACCAGGGCCGGTGACAAACTGCAACTGAGGTACGTGCCCTTAGCGGGAACCGAACCCGGGTCTCTCTGGATCGCAGGCAGACACTCTAACTGCTGAGCTAAACCGGCCAGGGCCAAGCATCTAAATACTAGCAAATATGTCCATTCAATTGAGCAATTTGGGGGTACCTGAGTATTATAAACAGTCAACTACATCTGAAAGACAATATGAAAATGTTACCTGCATCCTTTCTCTTGGCCCAATTCCACTGTCTTTGGGTGTGAGATTGTGTGTTGTAATAAGGCAAGTAATCAAGAATTTGAGAACATGCTACCAAAATGTGGGAGAAATCACCCCTTTTCCCATTCAATTCTCATTGTCAATTTTATTCTGAAAACTAGTAATTGCCTAATAATTTACTTATTCTGCGTAAAAAATGTGAAAACCTCCTGGGGTCTCTGAGAGCTAGACTGTTTGACCTTTGGCTGTTTGCATCTCAGTCCGACTCTGGCCAGGCTGTGTGGGATTGTCTTTATCAATCTGACCCTTGACTGTCTAAAGACATGAAAGCTTCTCTGTTATCAAGCAGCTGAGATCACTAGAGGCCATTCGTTAGTCTCCTAGTTTAGAAAAGTCCAAAGTGATGCTCTATAGGTGATCATTAGTGCCATCTGCTGGTAGGTGGGCTGGGAGTTGTCTGCTCCTGTGAAGAGCCCTTCTGAGGTTGCTCCATTAGACAGCATTTCTGGATAAATAGGGATCTCTGGTCTAAGACTGTGGGATTCATAGGCACTTGGAACTTTACCAGACCCTTGTACCCAAAGGGGGAGGACATAGACCTGGTCCAACTCTTCTCTCTGCGGTTGGTCTGGACCCTCCCGGAGCTTCCAAGGCTAAAGCAGTTCTGATGGTTTGGGAAGGTCCTGACCTTCCTGGAGAATGCGGAGAGCTAAGAAGTCACACAGCATCTTCAGGGCAAGGCGGTTGTTTCCCCAAATAAGGTCTTCTCTGCACTACATTTTAAGTTCTACTTATGTGAGAAGAAAACTTACAAAATGCCGTTAGCAACCAGATAGGAGAAAATGATCTAGAGGACTGCTATTAAGTAGGCTGGCTCAGTGAGTTGATGTTATTCCGTCATTTATGAGTATGAGGAACCCTAACTGGCTTCCCAGGGCAAGGTTCAGATCCAGCTGAGGACTGATTGGTGCTTCAGTTGGGACTCGGGCAGGAGGCGGCAGAGAGGCCTTCGTATCCGTAGGGAATTGTGCAAGAGCAAACCTCGAGCTCTGTGGGAGAAGTTCCTCCGAGGAAATGGCGGGTTCAGGTGTGTGCCTCACACCACGATGCATCATGGACCAGGACCAACATGATTCATGCCTTCAAGGACCTTGTGTGCTAGATGGGAAGACAAATATTAAACAAATCGATGTTTGTTAATTGGTTAATTACGTCATCACAATGGTTTGAGGTGAGATGAGGATATGTAACAGAAAAGAATATGTAACAGAAAAGACTTCCTTGAACAAAGGACGCTTACTCTGAGACCTGGAGGACAAGTAGAAGGCAGCATATAAAGGAGAAGGGGCAGCAGGGTGATCCGTGTGGAGGAGGGGCAAGAAGAAGACCCAGCCCTAGGAAGGGCAGGGAGACTGGGGGATGGAATGGTGGACCATGTGGCTGGGACACAGAGAGCCAGAGGGACCACAGAGAAATGAACTTGAAGGGGTGGTCAGGCCTCCGAGCATCTGATGGGAGTTAGGGCTTTATCCTGATAGCAAAGGAGAGTATCATGCTCAAACCGGTATTTTCAAAAGACCGCTTTGGCTGCAGAGTGGAAGATGGATCTGAGAGGGCACGGAGTGGACAGGGTGGACTGTGCGTTATGGCTGTGCAGTCCAGCTGAAAGAGCGGTGGCTGAGACCAGGTGGCATGAAATGGAGAATTAAATGGAACTGACAAGATTTAATTGGACGGGAGAGGGAAGAATCAAGAATGACTCCCTAATGTAGTGAAATATATACCTATATGAATTAAAAACATACACCTGGTTGTTGTTTTTTTCTCTTTATTGATTTTAGAGAGGGAGAAAGGGAGAGGGAGAAAGAGATAGAAACATCGATGAGATAGAACATCGATTGGCTGCCTCCTGCATGCCCCCCCCCTGGGGATTTGGCCCACAGTTCAGGTATTTGCGGTGGTCAGAATTGAAATGCGACCTCCTGGTGCATGGGTTGACCCTCAACTGCTGACCCACACCAGCCGGGCACACTTGCTTTTTAATACTCATTAACAGTATATTCTGTTTCCCTTTTTTTTGGCTGAAGACATAGCAACAGCAAATGTTCAAATAAGTGTTGGAAAATCTGAAAATGATTCTATCCTTTAAAATTTTTGTCTAAACACCGTCTTCATGTTGATGAACATTTGAAATGGCTGATATCTTTTGAATGGACTTCGTATTTGTAATCTTGTGAGAAATCCTTAAAAATAATGTAATGTTTAGAATTTTAAAAAAAGAATGACTCCCGGTGGGTTTGTGGCTGGCTCAGCAAGTGATTAGTAGTAAGAGAGAAAGCAGAGCGAGCAGAGCGGAGGGCAGGCGGGGAGACGGGATTGGCAGCAAGCGGGAGGCATGTGGACCATACGTTCTGTTAGAGATATTCTGAATCTGAGTATCTGGGAGTCGAGCCAGCAATAATAGTTAGGTAACCAGATGCACAGACCTGCTGCTGAAAAGACAGGTCGAGGCTGCAGAAAACCATTTGGGCCCCATGGGCACACCTGAACTGGAGCCGCGGGAGTGTCTGATTGTGAGACAGGGAGAGTGGTGGGAGGGGAGAGGTCCTATGTAGGATCCCCAAAGAACCCCCCAACACTTAAATGGAAGGTGAGAGGGGGACGTGCTGGTTGTAGATTGCTATGAAACAAAACCATAATAGCTAGCAGTTATTGTGTCCTTCCTGTGTGCCAAGTGCTGTATATGATGTTTGACAAGACTTACAACGTGTAACCATCATGCCATCCCAGGAGCTGAATCTTGCAGCACTCTTGTCCCTTTCAACTAAGGAGGCAGGTGGAACTGAGAGCAGCCTGTCACTTGAGAGCAAGGTGTGTGCCCGTGTCAGCTCCTCCTCTGTGGGGTCTCCTGGTAATCTGCATTGTTTCCTTGCTCTAGGATCGCTTCATCTCTCTGGATATCGAAGGTGGCAGTCTCGTGGTACGACACAAACTGAATTCGATGCCACCACAACAAGAAGGCATTAGAGAGATCATAAGCGACGGAAAAGATCATGTGGTATATCCTCTGAGTCTGTCTACTTGAATTGTTAAATATCCTTAGTCCTTTAAAATTAAGTCAGTGCCTCAAACACTTTCCTGTTATCGGATGAACTTGTACTTGGTAACTGAGAGACACATCCTTTTAAAATTTGACCAGTTGGGTGTGAAATATGTAACACGTATGCAACTTATATGAAACACGATTAATTTTGAGTGCAAACGTTTCTATTAAAATATTTTAATATTGTATTTTTATGCAAAAGGCCTAATATCAGAGTCTTCCCGCCATGTACATAAATGAATCTGAAGGAAGATAAAAACACACAGCTCTGAAGCACTGCGTATAGGTTTTTTTCCCTCATTGCTTGCTGACTCACCTCTCATTTATTTCAGGTTCTGATCAAAATTAGAAAAGCCCAGAAAATTATGGCGATAAGTGTAAAGACTGCCAACATTAGAATTGAAGGTGAAATATTTGATTTCGACAAATATTATCTGGGAGGAATTCCACTTTCAATCAGGGAAAGGTAAGATGATAATTTTTTTTTAAAGGAAACAGATTGCCTCTCTTAGTGTTTAGGACTGCTACTGATTAGTTTGCTGTTTAAAATTCAAGGAGAAATAAACACACAACGTTAGCTTTTCAGTACTAACAGTGTCAGGCAACAGAATAAAACAGGGTATAAACAAACTAGCCATTTTCAAAAGGCAGGGATAGGGGAACTATGTGCCACCCCCATTACCATTCTTGAGAGAAAAGAAACCTCAGGAATATAGATGGTGTTAACAATGCTGCCAATTCGCATGGAGGCTGTGGCCCTGGGGTCCTAAAGGTGGTGTGAGGGAATGCAGGCAGTCCTGTTCCTGACCGGCAGTTCTGAGCATGACACTGCTTTGCTGCCTTTGTCAAGTATCTCTAGAATGTAAGTCACCTCTGTGTTACCTGCCCCCTTACATGTTATCAAGCATAAAATAGAAGCATACTTGTTTCTCACTTAGTGAATACATGAATGAATTCGATTTGTTGGAAAAGAAGTAAAGCTTAATCGGAATGAGAAAAAAAATACTTTAAGAATATACTTTAAAACACTTTTATATTTTGTTTATATCCTCCAAAAGAGGTTTGAGATCGCTGATGATCATGCATGGAAAGAAGACACCCTGGAAGGGTTAGTACAGCCTTGTGGCTAAGCTAAGAGTTCCAGAATGTTTGATTATGAATACTCCGATATGAGATCTGAGGCTAGTTAACTTTTTTCTAACTCATCAATCAGTCGGAAGGAGTACTAGATATGATTTATAAGGTGTTATGCAAAGGTATTTTTTCTTCTACAGTTCTTATACATTTGAGCATCTGTCCATCATTAGTAAGGAGGCACTAATCTTTGTTTTAAAGTTGTCGGGGTTGTCCCCAAAGACAAAAATGCAGGTGAGAAATCTTAGCTCTTTTAGAGTTGAACTGCAAAAAAACTTTGTATTTATTATTTATTTTTTTATCCTCACCCGAGGACATTTTTCCATTTTTTGTTCAGACAGAGCGGGAGGGAGAGAGAGGAAGAGAGAGAGGGAGAAACATCGATGTGAAGGGACACATCGAGTGGCTGCCACCCGCACGACCAACCAGGGCCGGGGACAAACTGCAGCTGAGGTACGTGCCCTTAGCGGGAACCGAACCCGGGTCTCTCTGTACCACAGGCCGACGCTCCAACCACTGAGCCAAACCGGCCAGGGCTAAAAAAACTTTGTAGATCATGGTATGTAACCTCTGAATTTCACAGATGAAAAAATTAAGAGCCAAAGAGGTGATCATTGATATTTAATATTGATATTAAATAGCAATTCAACCACGAATGCTCAATGATCAAGATTTTATTCAATTAAATGTAATAAAATACAGTAGCTTAAGGTAGCACTACTGTGCACATCTAGGGTTCTGATTTATTTGTTCATTGCTCCTTGAAGGTCTGGTGACATCGGGCAGCGTGGCAGGTGTTGGGAAGACAGTGATGACCAGGGCAGAGCCACAAGTGCAGTGGAAGGGAGACAGTAGAATGTGACCTATGCCATGAAAGGGGAAGCTCGGGGTGCTGGGGGACGCCAGTGGGAGCATCAGGAAATTGGCCTCTGGCTAGACCTGAAAGCCACTAGCGGTCAGCATATGTGAAGAGCCAAAAGCTAGAGAAAGTGTGAACTTTCAGGAACTGGAGGACCCTGTGCAGCAGGCGGGGCTGCCCCCACGGGGCTGCTGTGGGAAGCAGGGGCCTGACCACAGAGGCTCTGCAAAGTCATAGTGAGGAGCCGTCGGCGGGACTTCAGCAGAGAAAGGACACGATCAAATGGGTTCTCGGCAGCTCAGTCTGGTTCAAGGCAGAGATGGGGTTTAAGGGAATGGCAGAGGCAGGAGGAGCAGTTGGAAGATGAGAGTGTCAACAGAGGTGAGAGAAGAGGTGGCCTGCCCGGGGCGATGGCAGTGTAGGTAGGAAATAGGAGTGGGTTCCCAATATATTTAGGACCGTGCGTGGGCAGTACTGAATGATTGCTTGGCTTTGGAGAGTAAAGGACAAACGTGCTCAAGAGCGACACATGGTTGCTGATCTAGCCCTGGGGTGGATGGAGGAGCCGGGTGATGAGCTCGGTCTGAGACAACAGGTGGAGATGCCAAGACGGGATTGGATATAAGGCCTGGACCTCTGGGGAGACATCCAGGCTGAAGAGAAGGTGAATCAAGCTCAGTACAGCTGGTTACGGGGGCAGGCGAGCTCACCCAGAGCAGTGAGGAATTCCCCGAGGCCATACCGAAGCCACTGGTCAGTGGTTTGCATTTGTGTGGCGTCTGCAGAAAGCCCGCGGACAGTAATTGGGTGCCAGGCAAGCAGGGTTTACCATGACCAGAAATGGTTCTTTTGGCTCCACCATCAGAGAGCAGTGCGCCCTTGGGTTAAGTCCGCCTTCCATCGCCTTGTCATCTCTACCTACCGAGAAATACATAGTGGGTATAGGTGAGCCTCTGCACCCACCTTCAGTGGTGACTGTCTTAGGGTCTTCCAAACGAGGGGCTGCTTCCTTTTACTGGGGAAGCTTATACTTTGAATTTTTATTCAAATCACAAAAGCATGGACAATGCAGGATATAGAGGCCGGTCCAAAGACCTCACAGGCCTTTTACTCCCTCACAAGTGAAAAGCTAGGCAATATTCAGCGGTTTCTGGTCCTGCCTGTTCCCTCTTGTGACGTCCTTGATGATCCAGAGAGTCCTGAAAACCCCTGTGACTTGGGCCGCCAAGGGGTGGGGCGGGCATAGGGGTGCCTACTGATAACCCAGGCTGAACCCTGAAAGGGCCACCAGGAATTCTTTCCAAGGAGGGAGGCGTTCTCACCGGCATGCCCGGGAGGCCCTGACAGACAGTGAGTGCGACCTCCACTGCGGAGTACAGCGAGCTGGCGTAATCTCTAAATAAAGCAGCTCTGACCAAGGGACCTTGTGGACATTCTGTGTCCTCTTCTCGCTGTCCTGTCTTCTGGGAATGGGGACCCAGGTCTTGGGATGACTTGTTTAGGATCCTAGTCAGAAGCCGCAATCTGTTAATCCCCTTCATTTCCCCCGAGAAGAGAAAACCATCTCTGATAATGCCAGAGAGCCTCAAGCCAACAAGAAACTTTCCCTGAGGACCAACATGCTGTGTCTCACAGTATAATAAAACGCTGAAATGAAAATAATTCGAAAAGTATAAATCAGTCAAGGATGTGTTGGACACTTACTGGGTACCCAGGGTTTAGGGTTACATGTTCTCTTACTGCTCTCTGAAGTCTGCAGGCTGGAACCTGGCCGAGCCTTTGTGAGTGGCTTGGTCCATGGCACACATACACGGCCCAAAGTACTAGTCCACGAACACCGCCACTTCCACCCCTGCCGGTCACATCCCTCTAGCAAGTGTGTTCGTCCCTACATCCCGGAGTGAATGTAGACCTCTGGGCCCTCAGTGACCCAGAGGAACAGGGACGCCCCAAAGAATAGTAGGAATAAAGGTATCATCTTATCATCTCTTCTGTAGATAATTGTTCTGTAGGAAAGAGCTATGATCATTCCAAGTGCTGTGGGTACACACACTGTGTATGCACAAGGCTCAAGGGCTTCGGGTGACAGTAACTTGTGTGACACACTGACCACCTTAGGCAAGTAACTCAACCTTCCCGAGCCGCCTGGCTACATCTGTAACATGGACACACTAGCTGCCTATCTCTGAGGGTGGTTGTGGGACTCAGAGTCATTAGCACGGTGCCTGGCACATGCCAAGTGCTCAGTAAATGTGAGGTCAGAAAACGTCTTCCTTGCAAGGTATTGAGAGGAGAGCATAACAGCACGTGTTAGTGGCCTTTCCCCTCTCGTTTCTTTTCTGCCACCTTCTTCTTCCTTCAACGTGTACTTGATGGAAAGACAGGTTGAAGGGTTCGATTTCTGGTCAAGGGCATGTACCTGGGTTGCAGGTTCGATCCCTGAGTATGGGAGGCAACCAATCGATATGTCTTTCTTACATCAATGTTTCCTCTCTCTCTCTACCTTCCACTCTATCTGAAAAAAAAAAAAGAAAAAAAAAACAATGGAAAAATATCCTTGGGTGAAGATTTAAAAAAAACAAAATAGAAAAGTTCCAAGAATCCATATGAAATGTCTTCCTCTTCTGAGGCAAAAAGCCAGTTTTATAAAATAATTAAACTCATGCTACAATTCCATTGAGAATTCACTTTTTCTTTTTCCTTTAATGAAATTCAATTTTATGCATATTACATGTAGCTAAACTGCTTATAATGAATTGAATAAAAATGAATGCAGACACCCTTCTACTTAGAACAATGAGCCGCCTTAGGGATTTACAATGATAGCAGCTTTGTGTTTTTTCTTAATACATAATTTGTTTAAGAAACACAAATATTTGCCCGGACTCCCGTTGGCTGAGGTGTGTGCATGTTTTCTGTGAATTCCGCTTCAGATAGAGCCAGAAGTCAAGTCAAAAAGGAAAGGCCACGCAGCCACATAGAAAGAGCTGCTTGAGAAATGGCTCTCCTTACGATGATCACGCTGACGTGGGGGCAGTTACCGAGTCCACCTCTCACAGAGCCCCTGCTCTGTACCAGGCACCAGTTGAGTGCGCAACACGTATTCACTCATTTAAACTCCCGACAACCCTAGGGAACAGATTATATGTCCCCATTGTATAAGTGAGGCAACCGAGGCACAAAGAAGCTCTGTCGCCTGCCCAGGTGACACCTCCCGAGAGTTCCTGACCACGTGCCACACATGGTTGCAGGCATTTCCCGTGCATCGACTTGTTTCATCCTCACCATGACCCGTGCCCAGGCTGCACAGTCCGGAGGCGGTGGATACAACCTTCAAGGCCACACAGTGCTTTCTAGTCTTCCAGCCTGGCATCGGTTAAACACCCAGCCACATTCTTCATAATTGTCTAGAACCAAAAAGTAACAGTTTGTTTCTTCTGAGTTTAACTGAAGAGTGGACAGGAAACAAAAGAGCATAACGTTTTCTAGAGCATTCCTGGCTCTAACAAATTATTGATGTATTAAGTTATTAATATGTATTTATTCATATTTATAATATATGGATTTATTAATATACTTTCTATTCACCATGCACTGCCATGACTCCAGGGACGTCGGAGGGGTGGGAGGAGGGAGAAATTCTAGATATTGTGTATCTTTTCTGTCTCCATACCTTTTGGGGACACTGGCCATTCTTCTGTCAACACTCGTGTTAATTTTTGAAGCTGAGAATGCAGAATTACACAGAAAGGAAGTGGGTTTTCCCAACATCACAAAATAAGTAGCATCATAGACATCTCATGAGGACAGATCACCCTAAAATACAGACTTGTTCCCGTGTGAGAAGTAGTGGAGGGCAGTGTTTCAGCTCCGATTCTCAGGGAAGGCTGGCCCCTTTCCTTTTTTGTGTGTCCCAAATCAGGTTTAACATCTCTACACCTGCTTTCCGAGGCTGCATGAAAAATCTGAAGAAAACTACTGGTGTGGTGAGGTTGAACGATACTGTGGGAGTAACAAAGAAGTGCTCAGAAGACTGGAAGGTAAGTGAAGAGATCAAAACCTTACCAGGGAGTGCTCCCCAGCCAACCCATTTTTTTGGATTCCGTTAAAACTTCAACTTAGGACTCTCTTCTGGCAGCACACAGTGCGTTATCGTGAACTGACTGGTATACACTCCCCACATTCTTGCAAAAACTGTTTTAGGTTTGCATATGAAATTTGTAGGAAAGGAGGGATGCCAACTATACACACAAAAACTTGCCGATGATTGATAAATTATCATTCAGAAAAGCAAACTCTTATTTATTCTTGAGATGCCATAAGCCACAATGATCAGTAAGGTGCGGTGACGTAGGGTAAGATCTGTATTTCAGCCAAAATGATTGCAATGCCAGTAATTTATTCCGTGTTTGCATTTCAGCTCGTGAGATCTGCCTCCTTCTCCAGAGGAGGACAATTGAGTTTCAGCAATTTGGACTTCCCATCGGTCAGCCAGTTCCAGGCTTCCTTTGGGTTTCAGACCTTTCAACCCAGTGGCATACTATTAAGTCATCTGGCAGGGGTATGAAACATTGCATGAATATTGAACAAGATTTAAACCTGACTCAAAGTTTGGTGTCAAAAAGCAATAGAGAGATTTTGAATGTAAATTAGTTGGGTGTTGTATCTACCATCACATGGTAAATGCCATTGTGTATTTCAACCATGGAGGTTTGAAATATACACCCCAGGGTAGGTCCGTAAGGAAATCAGGCTTAGAAAGTACATTATAGTTCACAGAATTGAGTTTGTGTGTATCCATGGGCTCATCTTCATTCTTTTTAGATTTCTTTTTTGAGTCAAGGTGAATTATAACTGTTAAGTAATAATGCAGCTTAAAGCTTTAGATCTAAGAGGAAAAAATCAGAATGTATCTCCATTATTTTTTATTTCATGAAAGGTAGCTTTTCTTTTTTTGCAGCAGCTAGTTGGACAATATTTAAATCTGGGAAATAGGAGAAAAGAAGGTGTTTCGCTACTTGTTCATGTACAACAGAGCCACAGAAATTCTCTTCAGCAAGGAATTAGCTAGTGCAGGTACACAGGCATAGAAGTCAACGAACACTTAGCAATCCTTTTTGCAACCAGTGGGTTTTTAAAATGGAAGGAGAAATAGCATACTGTCATTCTGGGGTTTGTTTCTTCAGGATCTCCAGCACTGCATCTGGTGTTTGTTGCAGAGAAGGGTGGTAGCTGGCCGTGGCTCTGTCGGATTGGGAAGCCTTTCCTCTCTTGACCTCTTTGCTCATCAGCCTTTGGAGATCTTTTTTCAAAAACTGGCACTAAAGAGGCACATGCTAACATTTAGATTCCAAGAATGGCTTTTCCATCAAAACAGGATGTTTTGATCTACTCTTTTGACACCCACCACTTGTTTCTTCTACTGGGGGTAGGAACACTTAGTGCACAATATACAAAATAGTCAAAGCAGATGGAAGAATTAATTGATAGTAAAAGAGGAGATCAGTCCTGGACCATGCAGGAATCCAAGTCCTGGGAACATGGCCCTTCACTTCATAATTGGTTAACTAAGAAATACATATCAACTAGCATTCTTTTATCGAATCCACGATGAATACTGCCAACTGAAAAAAAAAATCAACATAAAATGAAACTGACATGGCTATGGCCACACACTGTAAACATTGTTTTAGACTAAAAACTTCCTGAAGAATTACATTCTGCTAAAAACTGCAAAATGGTAAATGATAGAGAAAACATCAACAAAATTAAAGTGGCAACTGCTAAAAGTATACATATTTTATTAGTTCAGATTTCATAGAAGGAATCAAATCATCTTGCCAGAATTTAGATCTGCAATTTGACACCAGAAAATTGAACTTCCTAGAAATTATGACCAGAAAATAAAATTTTCATAATGACTGAAGATAAGAGATCATTGTTATAATCAAATGAAAAAAAAAAGATTAATCAAGTTTTTATTCTAAAGTTTATTCACAAAAGAATTGATCTGATGAAGATAACTTTAGCAGAATGGAAGTAAAAATAGAAAAATTTAGAAATGGTTTAACTGTTTTGTATAATTTATGGAGAAATTCAATTGGTTTATGAATGCCAGTCCATAAAATGCTTTTGGCAAATTCATCGGTGTTGAAATAATTGGCACAAGACTTTTATATTCATAAACATGGAGTTAAAATATTTAAAAATAATCTTTAGATCAAAATAGAAAAGTCAAAACATTTGGGTCAAAAACACCCTGTTTTATACATAGTTTTGGTAATAAATTCAGTATTGATACATTCATAATCCTTAAAAGTAAATTAATTGCACTGATGAATATATTCTATGACGATTTCAGACAAGTAGCCTACAAGTCTCCCTGGAAGACGGTCACATTGAACTCAGCACCAGGGATAGCAGCCTCCCAATTTTAAAAACTCCGCAGACGTACATGGATGGCTTACTGCACCACGTGTCTGTAATAAGTGACGACTCTGGGTGAGTGAAATAGCCTGCCTGCCAGAGCTCTAAGAATTTTACTTTATTGAGTTCATTGGAATTTTCTAGTATCTTTTCTTGTGAAATATTTGTCCTTGCAATTGACACTATTTTACTAGTAAGTCCGGGCCGTCTTTCTGGTTCTATATCAATTTCCTCATTATATATTAATCCATATGGATGGATCAGTAAATTGTGTTGTATTCAGACTTGGGGACTAAACTGGAAGCGATGAGAATGAAAGTGCTACAACTTTCTGTGACAACGTGGTTCCTGGGGTGCTGGTCGGTCCTCTGCCTGGGTGCTGGTGATAGTGGTATATTCACATTGCACAGGCTCGTCGAGCTGTACACTTAGGATGTTTGCACTTTCTGTGTGTGTAGAATACTTTAATAAAGATATGTGCAGCCCTGGCTGGTTGGAGCATCAGCCTGCGGTCCAGAGACCCGGGTTCGGTTCCCACTGAGGGCACGTGTCTCAGTTGTGGTTTGTCCCCGCCCCGACTGGGGTTGTGCAGGAGGCAGCCACTCGATGTGTCCCTTTCACGTTGATGTTTCTCTCTCTCTCTCTCCCTCCCACTCTACCTGAACAAAAATGGAAAAATGTCTTCGGGTGTGGAGTAAAAAAAACAACAATAAACATATGTGCAAAACAGAAAAACATTAAAAAATGTAAATGCTCTTTAAAAATAAATATAGTTTAATGAGTTATTTTACATAAATGACCTTGAGTCTGCATTGGAGACAGTAAGTTGACCACAAGGTGACAACCTTCTTGTTTCCAGCACTTCTCACCCGTGTTCTGCTTCCCTCCTCTTTCAGAGTCCGGCTTCTCGTGGATGACCAGCCTATGAAAAGTAGCCAAAGGCTACAAAGACTTTCAAGTTCCCAGAAGGCCCTGCGTCTGGGCGGGAGTGACTTCGAGGGCTGCATCAGCAACGTTTATGTCCACAGGTGCGTGCCCTTTGCTCTCCAGGATGAGCATGACCTGCCGGTACAGAGGGCATGCCATTGGCTTGTTCATGGAGTCGGATTACCACAGCCTTTCCAAAAATCATGTCCTTGGCAGGGTACACACGTTAAAAACAAACCAACAACAACCAAAAATTAAGAAAGAACACCTGAGCCCAGCCTTCCTTTGTAGGAGCAGCTGTGGCACATAACCTTAGAAAAGGTTTAAATAAAACTAAGTTTCAGATTATGTTACTGAAAAGTATTCACACCGAAATTTTTACTTCATCATAATCAAGATTGCACAATTCAATCAGTTTCCCTATTTTCAAAGAATTGCATGGACCCGTGCAGTGCTAGGAAACCAAACCACCACAGCGTTGAACGTGACTTTTCATAGACAGGATAGAGCCTGATGCTTGCAGTAAATGTCTTAATAGTTTTTTTCCTTTTGATATAAAATGATTATTTTAAATAAGAGGCAAGACACTCCCCAGGGCAGAGGGGGGCGGGGCACCCAGGACTGGTCATGAACCTCAGACAGCCTGTCAGGAGCTTGTGGGCTCCTACTGTCCATCCAGTCTCGGATAACAACTGTGAGATAAAGCAGGCTTAGCTGTGAAACCTGCCTACTCAAATGCAGTGAGAAAAATCCTTTCCTAAACTCACTCCTGAGGCTTCCTTATGTTCATCATCATTCTAGGTGAGCGATTTTCAACCGGTGTGCCACAAAAATGTTTAAGACATGCGACACCTGACCATGTAGCAGGGGCACTGACCTCCTTTCCCTTGGGTTGTCAAAGAAAAAACTACAACAGCCAACACAACAATAGCCATTCAGATTGGATGAATCAAAATCATACTTATTTTTTGGTCAGGTCGGCAAAAAATATCGTTTTTGGTGTGCCACAGAATTTTAGTAATTAGTTGATATGTGCCATGAGGTGAAAAGGGTTACAAATCACTGTTCGAGATCGTCCAGTTTCTCCTGTCTGCATATTTTGTCGTCATATTTCTATACGACACTCGTTCCAAAGAAAGAACTGGAGTATTCTGGCTGTGCCACAATCCTGGATGTTCAAAAGAAAAAGAAAAGTTCTCACCCCCTTCTGCTGGCGAGGGAGGGGCTGGGCATCTTAGGGAATACAGAGGTGGACACAGCATATTCTCATCCTCTGTGAACCTAATGACGCCTCTAGGTGTAGGTACAGGTAGATGAAAGGTTACCCAGAAACCGTGACCGTAAGAATGTGTGTTTCGGGAACAGTCTCTCCCTGCCAAGGTGTCTTCTTTGATGTGTCAGAGTTTGGCAGCGGCTTTCTTTCTGCCCTCATTCCAGCTCATTGAAGGGTCCCGAAATCCTGGATCTGGCCATTAAATCTCACAAGAGAGATGTGTCCCTGGGAAGCTGTCACCTGAACAAGCCACCTTTTCTAATGTTGCTTAAAGGTTCTGCACGATTTAACAAAGCCAAGACTTTCGATATCAACCAGGTAAGTGTCAAACCTTATTCCGGGTTTTGCTTCTTGCCATCTCATGGGAGATGTTAGGGGAGGGCAGGGAGGACCAGGGGGGCGTGGCTCACCTGGCCCTATGGTGGTCAGTGCCTCCAGGAAGTGGATGTGATAGATCATCAACAGCTGAATTGTGCCGAAGGTCAAAGCGGTTTTCTTTGTAGCTTTTATTTTGTATCAACGAAAACTTGGCAATTTTTGCAGTCACAGAACAAACAGAACCTTGACTTGGGTTTCCAAATTTCTGTAGCTGATGTCTTATTGTTTTGTATTTCTATTGTGTCTCTAGCAGGTACCGTGAGTATCTCTAGAATAAAGGGACCATGCCCCTGCTCCCCACAGGCACCCCTCCGGCTTGCCTCTTGTGACAGGCACACACGTGCAGCCTGGCCTTGCTGAGACTAGTGTGCCTTGACCTTGACTGCACATGAGAAACTTAAAATTCCAACACTCAGGTTGCATCCCACCCAATGAAGTCAGATGTTCCCGAGGTGGGTCCAGGTGGCAGGAGTTTGTCAGGTTCCCCAGGTGACTCTAATGCGCAGCACCGAGAGACTCTGAAAGGACAGAAGGTACTTGTTTGGAGGAGCAGAAGAAGCCTAATGAATTGAACATAGGGTTAGAACGTAAAGAATGCCTTGCTCTGCCTGGGGTCAATCGTGTGACCTCTCTGTGTTGAGGTGACAATTAATATGACTAGCAGATAACACTGAGCACCTCCAGTGCCAGACATCGCGCTAAGCTCTTTAAGTAGATTTTAAGTAACCTTATGAGAGAAGCACTGGACTGTCATTAGCCACATCTTACAGAAAAGGATGTTGTGGTTTAGAAAGGCAAGCAATTTGCCCGACCTCCCGCGGATGGAAGGTAGAGCTGAAATCAAACCCAGGCAGCCCGACTCCAGAGCCCGTGCGCTCTCAAGAGCGTGTGCTTCTGCTCAGCACACGTTCTACTTCCCGTCAGCCGCACACGGCTTGTCTGCCAACATCTGCCTGCTGTAGGGTGATTTGGGGGAGTCTAATAGAGAGTACCTAATAGAAATGTTTTATGCCATTAAGAAGAAATATACTTCATAAATCCCAAAGGGTTGTCATTTCACTGTTAGGGAAAGAACATCTTTAGACCTGCCCCATCAGGAACGCAGTCATCTATTCATTTTTTTTTTTTTTTACTGTAAGGCTGAAAATTACTGAGAGACTAAATTAGCACAGTGATGGGGGAGAAGGAGAGAAGGAAATGGATTCAAAGCTATTTAAAATAGAATATACATGGCATAATTGAATGTGGGTGGCAATGGAGAGGCAGGAACTAATAGAATTCTGAGGCATCTAGTCTGGTTACTGGATGGATGGAGATGGCATCATGGAGCAAGGGCAAGACACGTATTTGGAGGGAAAGAGAATAAGTGAAGTTTGTGGCATATTGAGTGGCAGGAGACTGTCGAGTGTCTCTGAGTGGACCTCAGCAGACGGGTGGGACTGGGGCTGTTGATCTGGGAGATACCAATGAATATGCTGTATTAACCCCCCCCCCCATTCTGTGAAAGTCCCCAGATTAGATGGAATAAGACATTAATTCTGCCTCCCAAAGCCCAGTAACAGAAGGCAACAAAGCTTTGTGGTTGTGAACTGGACTTTGGGGTCAGACGTCCAGGGTTTGTATCAGGTGTTATCACTTACTAGGTGTGTGACCTTCAATGATTATTTAACCTCCCGGTAGGTCTATTTCTGCAACATAAATGAGGATATATAATAGTGCTATCTCATAGTGTTGTGAGGATTAAATGAGATAAGAAACACAGAGCATGTAGAAAAGTGCCAGGCATGTAGTAAGCATGCAATAAATATTAGCTATTATGATGATTATTTTTATTACACACACTAATAACCCAAGGGAAAGGGACAAAACATGCTGCAGGGTGGCACAGCAGACATTTTTCTGCTGCCCGGATCAGGGTGTCCTTTTGGAGGAGGTGATACCTGAACCGAGTCTGGAGTATGGGTTGAACTCAGACAAGTGAGTGTTATTGCTACGTGAGCAGAAGGCCGAAGCTGGGAGGCAGGATGTGGGTGGAACTCACAGGTACAAGACATTTTCTGTGCATTCTCTCTGATCTTCACAAATCTTCACACCGTCTCTTTTCAGTTCTCAGCACACCCCTCTGCGAGCAGAATAAATGCCAACTTTATATGCCAGGAACTTGAGTCTCAGAGAGGTTAAAAAAAAATGTGTCCTGTCAATGAATGATAGATTCAGAATTGAAGCTTGGGGCTGTAGAATCCCAAAGAATGTGCTCTTCACCTGCGGCACTAGCAGGCTTGGGAAGCCAGGACAGGGAGATGTGATGGAGAACAGACTGGGGGAGGTACGCTTGGAATCACCCTTGAACCAGATCAGGTGCGTCTTGAATGGCCTAATATAATTTTGACATTTTTTTTTTTGTTTTGTTTTATTTTTTTTATCCTCACCCGAGGACATTTTTCCATTTTTTGTACAGATAGAGTGGGAGGGAGAGAGAGGAAGGGAGAGAGAGAGAGAAACATCGATGTGAAGGGACACATCGAGTGGCTGCCACCCACACGACCAACCAGGGCCGGGGACAAACTGCAACAGAAGTACGTGCCCTTAGCGGGAACCGAACTCGGGTCTCTCCGGACCGCAGGCCGACGCTCTAACCGCTGAGCCAAACTGGCCAGGGCTGACATTTTTTGATAGTTAATGTGAAGCCATTAAAAGGAGTGCTTTGGTTACAGTTTCAGATCCCAAATTGCGGTCGGGTCCAGATCTGGCTGTGATTTTAAGCAATTCTCTTAACTTTCTAGTGATCGAACATCCCCACTCAGCAATGTTCAAGCACAGACTGTGTTAAAGAACTGATTTGCATTCTGGGCACTTTATCTAGAAATTTGGTCAGGGAGGAAGACCTGATCTTGAAGGAATCCGAAACTCCTAGGAAGCCTTCAGCTGCTAGCTCCAGAAAACCCGCTGCAAAATGGTTTAACCAGCAAGAGGGCTATGTGTCCTGTTAAGGGACACAGGTGGGTTGAGGCCTGGCACATCGGGACTGGGCTCTGCCTCCCCACAGCCATCCTGGCTCTGTGCTGCACAGCGGAGGATGGCATACCCTTACGCGACAATGCCCAGCACCAGAAGCACCGATCTGCCTGGCTTTCCCTCTACGAGAAGGAAACCATTCTCAGAGGCCGCACCCCAGGCTTCCCCTCAAGGCTCATTGGCCAGGAGGGCTCACATGTTTGTTCCTGAACCAATTCCTAGCAAGATGAATTCCCACATTCACTTTGAAGAATGGAGAGCCCCCCTGAGCTCTAAGCCCCTTAGGAAAGGAATGGACAGATCATTAGAATCTGGGCTTTGCAGAAGAGACAGGAGGGGGCTGGTGAGTCTTGGTTTCTTCCAGCAGTTTTTTTTTTTTTTTAAGTCACTTTAGATATTTATTAGGGTTGTTTTCTGCTTTAAAACCCAGTCCCATTCAAAAAATCCAAAGCACCATCCAGCTCAGACTTCTGGGCGTGGGTCAGCTTTGATGAAAGTGGGGATAGACTGGACCCCCACACCTTCAGGATCCTCTCTTGATCCTCGCACTGCCCTACTGCTAAAGCCCGAGTGAGTGGCCCCAGGGCAGGTGACAGGTCGGCAGCTCTGTGGCCCACTGACTGGCCTCAGTGCTCCTGGCTCTCAAGGACAGGTTCTAAGGAAGCCCTGTGGTGGGAGGGGCTCTGGACAGGTTCTAAGGAAGCCCTGTGGTGGGAGAGGCTTCAAGGACAGGTTCTATGGAAGCCCTGTGGTGGGAGAGGCTTCAAGGACAGGTTCTAAGGAAGCCCTTAGTGGGAGGGGCTTCAAGGACAGGTTCCAAGGAAGCCCTGTGGTGGGAGGGGCTTCAAGGACAGGTTCTAAGGAAGCCCTGTGGTGGGAGGGGCTTCAAGGACAGGTTCCAAGGAAGCCCTGTGGTGGGAGGGGCTTCAAGGACAGGTTCTAAGGAAGCCCTGTGGTGGGCGGGGCTCTGGACAGGTTCCAAGGAAGCCCTGTGGTGGGAGGGGCTTCAAGGACAGGTTCTAAGGAAGCCCTGTGGTAGGAGGGGCTCTGGACAGGTTCTAAAGAAGCCCTGTGGTGGGAGGGGCTTCAAGGACAGGTTCCAAGGAAGCCCTGTGGTGGGAGGGGCTTCAAGGACAGGTTCTAAGGAAGCCCTGTGGTGGGAGGGGCTTCAAGGACAGGTTCCAAGGAAGCCCTGTGGTGGGAGGGCCTCTGGACAGCCACTGGCTCCCGGTGCCACACTGGCAGGAAAGACAGCAGACCTCTGTAGGATGTGAATAACCTCCATCCTCCCCAAGGATGAATCCATATGTATTGAATTCCTCTCTTAGGTTCCAAAGTAAAAGCTGAGCTAGGCACTTAGCAAGATCAGCATTCTTCATTCTTCCCCCTGATAATTTGTGGCCCTAATTTTGTGCTTCTTTCCCATACAGCCATTGCAGGACACACCAGTGGCCTCCCAGAGCAGTGTGCCTGTGTGGCAGAATGCTCAGTCATGCCCATCGCCTCCTGGAACCCAGGCCAGTCACGGAGCTCTCAGATTTGGGGACAGTCCCACCAGCCACTTGCTGTTCATGCTTCCCCAGGAATTGCTACGACCCAGGTATTACTTAATTTTCCTACCCGCCCCGTCCCCACACTCAGAACCTGACTCTGTGATTTTGCCCCAGAGCAGGCTCGCTGGCATGACACCATGCACCTGTCGCTGAGGATGGTGGCACGGCCACTTTTGTGACGAGGTGCTGGCCTGTCCAGGACACAGCCTCCCCACAGCGGGAAAGCACACGTGACGTGCTGCTCGAGGCTGAGACAAACAGCTCGGCTCTGGCTTAGAACTGACAGTGTTCTAAAAATAAGGCTGATAATTCTCTTCAAAGCTGCTATTTATTTCTATGATAAATCACCTTTCTCCCCCTGCATTCTATAATCAGAGGAAAATCATTCTTTTCGGTATACTCAGTGCCTGACAGACCATTTTTAGAGAATACATTTGGACTTTTTGTGCTGACAAGTTGCATCTCTTTTGGGGAAGAAGGAATGAGCAGAGACGTTAATTATGCCAGAAAAAAAATGTAGAAAAACAAGGTTTGTCATTTTCATGTGATTTGAAGGAGACCTAAATAAAAAGGTGCCACAAATTCTCTTATGACTTATCTATAGGAGCAGAATTTCCCAGAGGTCAGAAAGACCTGGCTTTCCATCCCTGCTCAGCCACTTGCCAGCTGCGTGAGCTCAGGCCTCAGGCCCTGCAGGCTGGGATCTGACGTGCAGGAGCTTTATTGTTCCTGTAGATCAAGGGGCGGGGCAGGAGCCGGCAAAGAGAGCCTTTAGCGGAGCTGGGGGGCTGCCGCCCTGCAAGCGGATGGAAAGGAAGGAGCTGGCGGGAAGGGCCTCAGACTGCAGTGTGGCCTGAGGGTCAGGCTTCCTACTGCTGCCTTTGGGGGCAAGGGGGCGTTATTAAGTTCATTTTTTCTGAAAGAATGTTGCTGTGAGAAATAATTCTGGAGAGCAAAGGTCAAGTCTGCTAACCAAGGCCACATATGTAAAGTACTCGAATTCTATAGTAAATTCTACTATCTTCTTTCAACGGGCTAACCCTCATTTTCCAAACCTCCGCACTCACACGGATACACCACGAGAAATACTGAGCAGTGTCACCATCTGGTTGGTTTAATGTAACAAATATAGATTTCGTCTTCATTTTAAAGAACATTACCCCCAAGGAAACTTGCTAATTTGAAGAATTAAAGTTCATCTGTGTTGGCTCAGCCTCACAGTATAGAAAAGCAAAGAGAAGTTAACAGTATGATTTTTTCTTCCACTTCTTGAGTCTGCCTCCAAGTTTTTCATATGCAGTGCCATTTAATTCAATTCAGTAACTAATTCTTTTTATTTTTTATTTATTTTATTTTTTTTTATCCTCACCCGAGGATATTTTTCCTTTTTTTTTTTTTTGTACAGATAGAGTGGGAGGGAGAGAGAGGAAGGGAGAGAGAGAGAGAAACATCGATGTGAAGGGACACATCGAGTGGCTGCCACCTGCACGACCAACCAGGGCCGGGGACAAACTGCAACCGAAGTACGTGCCCTTAGCGGGAACTGAACCCGGGTCTCTCCGGACCGCAGGCCGACGCTCTAACCGCTGAGCCAAACTGGCCAAGGCACTAATTCTTTTTAAAAAAAATATGTTTCTTTATTGAATTTAGAGAGAGAGGAAGGGAGAGAGAGAGATAGGAACACTGATGAGAAATCCTGCACAGCCCCCCACTGGGGATCAAGCCCAAAACTTGGGTATGTGCCCCAACCAGAAAGCGAACCAGCAACGTCTTGGTGCATAAGTCATTGCTCAACCACTGAGCCACACTGGCTGGGCTCAGTAGCTAAATCTTTGTAACTAAGCAGGACAGACCCAGTTCCTGCCTTCTGTCTGGTGTGCATTTAAACATAAACCACGAGGAATGGGTGCCGACAGCCTGCATCTCCCACCCCCTCCTCCCACTGCATGCCCAGGCAGCCACTTCAGTGCACCCGTGCCCCATAAACAGCTGAGGAATGAAACGTGCACCACTGAGTTCTCAGTGCCCACCAGTGTCTTGTGCATACTACACACTCATTAAATATTTGGTGAATGAATGAATAAATAAATGGATAGAAAGCCTGGCTGGTGTGGCTCAGTGGTTGAGCATCGACCCCTGCACCAAGAGGTCGCTGGTTTGATCCCTGGTCAGGGCACCTGCCCAGGTTGTGTGACAAATCCCCGGTGAGGGTCATGCAGGAGGCGGCCAGTCGATGTTCTCCCTCATTGATGTTTCTATCTCTCTCGCCTTCTCCCTACCTCTCTCTAAAATCAATAAAGAAAAAAAATTTTTTAATAAATAGATGGATAGATGAATGGAGTTTTCATAGAAAGTAAAGCTTGTTTAGCCAGATGTGCATATGATATGTAACCATCGTGCAAATGAATATTAACTTTTATTCTCTGCTTTTACTGCATGATGCTTGTTTAATTCCTATTTTATCACAGGTGGGGTATTAAGGTCTGAGAAACAAACATAAAGGTGGGTGGGAGAAGGTGGGTGTGCACTTCTGTGCCTCTGTGTTAAATGCGTCTTACAGAAAGAAAACATTTACCCAATGCTTAAATCATATCCTTGTTACTCAAACGATCTCGCACTGCTCTCAACAACTCTCCTGGCTGTATACAAAACAGATCGCATATTCATAGGGGTGAAAAGGGGTGTGAGGGCTCCGTGAAATAAGCAGCCACAGAAAGACAAATACTGTGTGGTCTCACTTACCCAAGGTACCTAGAGTGGTACAATTCAGACACAGTGTGGAGTGGTGGTTGCCCGGGGCTGGAGGAGCAGAGAATACAGAGTCGATGTTTAATGGGTACAGTGTCAGTTTTGCAAGATGGGTTGTACAACGTTGTGAATGTACTTAACACTACTAAGCTGAACACTTCAAGATGGTAGGTTTTATGTTATGTATATTTTACCATAATTTTTGTAAATGTTGGTTTTTGTTTTTTTTTAAGTAAAGCATCTTCCTCCTTGCCATGTGCTGGGACTTCCACCACCAGCAAAGCTCCCTGCAAAACTCCCACCTTGTTCCCCAGCTCAGTGAGGGAATTACACAACACAACTTCCAACAGCTGAATGTAATGACTTTTAAAAGTTCCCAGAGGGACAGGTGGTTTAAGCAGCACATGCCTCAGTCTATTCATTTAAATAGAGGGTCTTCAGAGATTTGCTCCTCACCCTCTCCCCCAGCCTCTAAGATTTGGAAAAACATTAAAAACTTCGACTTTCTTTCTTTGCCTGTTGCTTTCTTTTCCTCACAGGTCACAGTTCTCTGTGGACGTGCAGACAACATCCCCCAGAGGGCTTGTGTTTTACACAGGCATGATGAACTCCTTTATGGCTCTTTATCTCTCAAAGGGGCAACTGGTCTTTGCTTTGGGGGCAGAAGGGAAAAAATGGAGGCTCAGAAGCAAAGAGAAGTGCAATGACGGGAATTGGCACACGGTAAGAGCGGGGCTGCATCGGAACCTCAGCACTGGAGACCGCTGCCTCTTCAGTCCCCACCCCCATGCCTCCTGAGGTGTCTCACTCCCTGTCCCTACTTCACCCTGGCTTCCTAGACCATCTCTCTCCTTCAGGACAGTCCCCAGGCCTCCAGGCCCCCCTCTGATCCTTCTCTACAGCACAAGTATCAAGACCCACACCCCTAGCCTCCCAGCTCTTGCCTCCAGCATCCCAGATTTAAAGAAATAAAGGCAAGAGCCCTGGCCAGTTTGGCTCAGCGGTTGGAGCGTCGGCCTGCGGTACAGAGAGACACGGGTTCGGTTCCCGCTAAGGGCACGTGCCTCGGTTGCAGTTTGTCCCTGGCCCTGGTTGGGTTGTGCGGGTGGCAGCCACTCGATGTGTCCCTTCACGTCGATGTTTCTCTCTCTCTCTCTTGCTCTCTCTCCCTCCCGCTCTATCTGAACAAAAAATGGAAAAATGTCCTCGGGTGAGGATAAAAAAAAAAAAGAAAGAAAGGCAAGAAAGGACCAATTTTTTTTTTTTTTCTGATAAGGGAACTGAAACTCAGACAACTTAAGCGATTTGACAAGTGGTACTCAGTCGACAAAGATGTAATGAGCTGCCATCCTGGAGCTTATAAACAAAAAATCCCCACTGTAATGTCAGATCTTAGTAAGAGCTTTGAGAAAAATACTAAAGCAAGGTGAGGAAGTAATTGAGTGGAGAGACTATTTTAGATCGGGTAGTGAAAAAAGGCCTTTTCCGGGAGGTGACAATCACATGAAGGTATAGGGAGGGTGTTCAGGCAGAGGGAACAGCAGGTACCAAGACCCTGAGGTAGGACTTAGCTGAGTGAACAGAACGGAAAGAGTAAGAAATGGGATTCAAAAGCAAGGCAGGTTCAAATCATTTAAGTTTTGAAGACCAAGACAAGGATTTTGGATTTTAGTTTGAGTGTCTCTGAAGCGTTTGGAGAGCCTAAAACTAAAAAGGGACCATTGGGTGAACTGGTTTATGTTTTCAAAACTCTTTTTAGCTGAAGAGACTAAAAGAGGGTAAGAGTAGCCCTGGCCAGTTTGGTTCAGTGGTTAGAGCATCAGCCTGCGGTCCAGAGAGACCCGGGTTCGGTTCCCGCTAAGGGCACGTACCTCGGTTGCAGTTTGTCCCCAGCCCTGCTTGGTCGTGCAGGTGGCAGCCACTCGATGTGTCCCTTTCACATCGATGTTTCTCTCTCTCTTCCTCTCTCCTCCCACTCTATCTGAACAAAAAATGGGAAAATGTCCTCGGATGAGGATAAGAAAAGTTAATTAATTAATTAAAGAGGGTAAGAGTAGAAGTAGGTACACCAGATCGATGCTAGTGCCTGTGCTTCTAGAGGCTGTGGTGGAGGTGGAGAGAAATGGACCATCCAGACTGTGTTCAAAGGCGGACACAAGAGGTCTTGCTGATGGATTGCATGTAGAGTGTGAGGGAAAGAGGAGTCCATGTTGAGTCCTATGATTTTGGACCAGCAATTGAGTCAATAGTGAAACTTGCTGAGATGAAAAAGCTGGGGAGGGGGTGAATGTGGCCAGGCAAGGAGCAATTTAGAACTGGGGAGGAGCAGGGGTTCTGGTGTGAACATCCTAGACCTGCGATGCCTATCGGACACATGAGCCCACATTTCAGTAGACAGCAGAGGCCAGAAATCACAGCTGGGTGTATAACTCGGGAGCCGTTGGTGAACAGTCTCCCATCGACAGTGGAGCTCAGGAATCCTAACTTTTAGCCAAGTTTAGAAAACTTGTTCCTCGTTAGAAGAGAAGTAGCCACTGGCCCCTTGCTCAAGGGAGTGTGTGAGTCACCCTACCCCCCAGTTCTGCACAAACTATTCCTTCTCCTTTGTTGCTTGGGTATATCTATAGTCCTTTGGCTCTTCAGTTGTTTATATTTTCTATGAATTTCCAGATTAATTACATCTTTATTAGTTCACTTTTGAGCAACCTTTTCTGTTTTGCTCATAATTTTTTTTAAATTCTTTTTTCTTTATTGATTTTAGAGAGAGGAAGGGAGACAGAGAGAGAGATGGAAACATTGATGAGAGAACATTGACTGGCCGCCTCCTGCATGCCCCCACTGGGGATCAGGCCCACAACCTGGGCATGTGCCCTGACCAGGAATCGAACCAGTGACCCCTTGGTGCAGGGTGGACGCTCAACCAGTGAGCCACACCAGACGGGGTTTTGCTCACATTTTTAGCTCACTTGGTTCAATATCTAACATATCACAAAATGATGATGCAGCTGATGATAATGATGACAACATGAGGGAGAAAAATCTTTGATTTTTTTTAAAGTTACTTGAGGGACAGAAAAAACATTTTTTAAAAATTCCCTGCGCCCAGTAAATAAAATACAGCAACAACTGTCAAAGGCAAAAATATGATGAACTCATTTTCTTTACTATCAAGGTGACGTTTGGACAAGATGAAGGAAAGGGGCGCTTGGTTATAGATGGTCTGAGGGCCTCAGAGGGACGTTTGCCTGGAAATTCCACCTTCAGCCTCAGAGCATCAGTTTACCTGGGATCGCCTCCCTCAGGGAAGCCAAAGGTAAAGAGTTGTGCCTCAGAGCCTTAGATAAAAAAATAACTCACTTTATGATGTGATCATTATAATTATACAAGGTATTCAAGAATATCAAAATACTCTAAATAGTTTTCAAAATAATCTAATTAATGTCCATAAGCCCTAGCCTTTCTTTTTTTTCTTTTTTTTTTTTTTTTTTACATTTATGATCTCATTTAATCTTTTTTTGTTGTTGTTGTTGCAGATGTTTCTCCTTTTTTTACCCCATTGGTACCCCCCTCCCCATCCCGGGCTTTGTTGTCCATGTCCATTGGTCATGCATACATGCATATCAGTTCTGTGGTTTATCTCTTCCTACCCCCCTACCCCCTCTTCTGAGGGATGTCAGTCTGTGCCCTACTTCCATGTTTCTGGGTCTACCGTATTCCTCAGACTGTTATGTTCATTATATTCCGTATATAAGTGAGATCATGTGGTATTTGTCTTTTTCTGCTTGGCTTATTTCACTTAGGATAATACAGGTCCCTCCATGTCATCTCAAAGGATAAGAGATCTTTCTTTCTCGCAGCTGCGTAGTACTCCATTGTGTATATGTACCACAGCTTTTTTATCCACTCGTCTACTGATGGACACTTGGGCTGTTTCCAGATCTTAGCTATTGTAAATAGTGCTGCTATGAACATGGAGGTAGCCTTTCTTTTTAAAGGTGCAGCTTGAGACAGGCAGGCCCTGAAGGAGTGGATTCAGGCCTTCTCCATGGCCCCAAGTCATAAAGTATTATTTTACTTAATTATACATAATAACATTTATATCCTAAGTGATATATAACATACTATAGTATATGTAATATATAATACATATGTAACATATTAATTGCTAAGGAGGATACTCAATGTTATTGTTTGCTTTTCTGAAAACTCTGTACCTATTTCCCTCTCAGCAAAGTCACAGGATGGGTTAGCCTTTGAAGGGTACAATTTGAGTATTTTTTTGACCTGGATAAATCCTACACGGCCTCCTAATATCAGGGACAGTCTGTAGCACCTCATTTATAACATTCTTACAAGCCACGGTTCTTTTTGCAGCCTTCCTGAAGGATTACCATTGGATTACTGTCCTCTAAATCCTCTCGAAGGACAGACCGCTTCCCACCAAACCATGCCTGCTGCTGAACACCGAAGCCTGCAGCCAGCCAGGGTTCAGTGTGGGGCCGTGGTCTGTCCTGGAGAGTCTGAGCTGGGTCTCAGCTATAAGCGCCTCATGGCATAAGATGGAAAATCTTGAGACCAAAAATGTCATAGGAGCCCGATCAGTACTATACCATTGACACTCACACCACATGCGTCTCTAGTGTCACCATATTCTCTTAAAAGGGAGTCCAGGGTCCCAACGGCACTAATTCTAGAAGGGAGTTTAGGGATCTCATTCAGTGATTCTTCAACTGTTTTGAGAATTTCATGAGCGTTACAGCCCCTCACCCCAGGCCAATGCACATACGGAAAACATCCGGTGTATGATTGAAGGGATCACAGAACCCAGAGCGCGCCCCTGGGCCCAGGTGAGAGTTGCTGTCCAGGCCAGTGCTAGGCGGGCGCAGGCCTCCATGCATGCCCACGGAGGCTCACTTTCACTTTAAGGCGTTCAACGAGCCTAACAATGGAGGGAACCTTTGCACACTTTATTATTTTGGGAACGCTTTGGCCTCTTCAGGCAGCTGCCCTGCACTAAGCAATCACATGAGCTCGTGAACTCCGAAGAAGCGGTTGGTACACCAAGGAGACAGGGAGATCTGTGAAGTGTACAGTGCAAATGTGCCCTGTTGCAGCTCTGCCTGTGTGGACCAGGGTCAGGTCACCTTCCTGCTCTTGTCCCAGCACTCGAGAGCAACCTCCACCATTGGCACGCATGCCACTTGGGTTGGTGGTACCTTCACATCTGACCACCCACCAAGCATCTGGTATCCAGGTTTTTCTTGGAACTATGGGCAGAGAGCCAAATGGAACAGTCAGGCCCCCTGACTGAAACAGGAAGAAGAAATCCCCAGCCTTCCACCTTTAGCAGACAGCTGCCCCTGCCCCAACCTTGGCTGCCCCTGCCTTTCTGGGGGTTCTGAGTAACGAAGTTTGCTCTCTCTTCTGCTTGGTTGCAGGGTGTCCCCCAAAACAGCTTTGTGGGATGCCTGCGGAACTTTCAGTTGGATTCAAAACCACTCACCCATTCTACAAGCTCTGGGGTGTCTCCTTGCTTGACTGGCTCTTTGGAAAAAGGCATTTATTTCTCCCAAGAAGGTGGTCACGTCAAACTAGGTAAGGAGCAGTTTGGAAGAGTTTATGTCTTTGAGTCTGAAGAACTCCATCCTTTTTCTTGAATTATGATGTTTTAACTGCTTCTTGTCTTTTCTTTTTCTTTTGAAAGCTAACTCTGTGTTGTTGGAGCCAGAATTCAAGCTCCTGTTCAGCATCCGCCCGCGAAGTCTCACGGGAATCCTGATACACATCGGCAGTCAGCCCGGGAGGCACCTGCGCGTCTCCATGGAGGCAGGAAAGGTAGGCAGATGCCAGGCAGGGCCGTGCCCCTGCATCGGAAGCGGGTTCCGTTTTTGGAAACCACAGCAGGTGAAGTGATGAAGGAGTGGCATCCAATCTTGTATTTAAGAGACCTGACTCCAGGGCTGACTTACCCCCTTCCTTGAGCAAGGAATTTGATCTTCATGTTTTCTGTCCTTCTTGAAAATTGGGAAAACTCCAGCAAGCGGGGCTGAATTCCAGTGGCACCACTTAGTTACCTGGCCCTAGGGAAGCTCCTGAGCCTCTTTCAGGCTCAATTTCTTTTTCTTTAGAATGAAGATAATAATGCTTCTATCTTAGGGCTTCTGTCACGAGAATAGAAGCTGCCATATACTCAGTCAGTGTCCCTTGTTCTCTTCTCCCCATCACCCTGGTCATATCTCTACTTTTATTCGTAAGGGCAGAGCCAGAATTCATGAAGACCATTTTCTCACCTGTCACACCCATGTCCACGCCCCGTGTCCACTGTATCAGCTTCACCTTCCCCTTGTCCTGGTGCCTGCAGCCACACTGGCCACCAGGCCTCCACCCGGGCTTCCTTTGGCCTTCATGGGTTCCTTCTTCAGGGTATGCTTCTGCCACCGGCCTTTCCATCGCTCAGAGCCTTGTCCATATCGGATTTTCATGACCCTGTTATATCACCTTATCACCTTTTTTTTTTTTTTTACTAAATCTCTTTAAAAGCAGATTCTTCTAGGAAGCCTCTCTTGGTTAAGGCCTCGAGGAAAAGATGGATAACATGCCATTTCTTTATCCTTACACATCTTATTAAACATGAGGGGAAAACTCCAAGAAGACAATAAAATGGCCCAAACTTTCAGAACACGTTTACTTACGTCGCAGCCTTTACGTGTGGGCAGGCCTCTGGGGGCGAGAAGCAGGCGGCCACCTGCTTGCGGGTGGTTGAGACAAGGCTGGCTTTGCAGGGGAGGGTATGGGGAGAGTCTCCATTGTGAGCTGCTGGATGGAAAATATTCAAAAATTTTTAAACCAAGACCTATGACCATCATAACAGCGGTCACATTGGTTAGCTCAAAAATTCCCTGAGTATAGGCTGCAACTGTCTAGCTACATGCAAATTAAATGTAAATTATTTATCCACACCTATTTTAGTCCTCTCATTTTATTCACCTTGATTCAGCACTTGGAGGATCCTAGCCCAGAGAACAGGAATTCGGGATTCTATAAGGCAGCACGCTGAGTGCCTGACCCCTGACACATGCCCAGTACAAATGCAATCCATTAGCTTGTTGGATCCTTGGATGCGAACCCTCTATAAGTCATGCATTCATGGAATTGTTTTAATTGGCTGGCCCTTTGCAGCAGGGTGTAGGCTCAGCCAGCACTTTTGCCTTCCAAATTTTACACATCTTTCTAAACAAAGCCACTGTCACATATTAATAGCTAAGGAGGATCTTTGAGGTTAATCAGTAACCTTTGAGTAAGGCCTGATGGGGGCAGGGTTCGGGTGCAGAGGGAAGAGCTCATTGCCTTAGCCAGCAACTTCAGGCAGAACTCTGGACACGCAGCTTGCTTGCTTCAAAAGGATGCAGCAGAGAGATTCTCGCAAAGCCTTGGACCCCATGTGGTCACTTGGTGTGTGGCGGGGACCGCTGTCAGGGTGGAAGTGCTGGGAAGGGATGAGGGCAGGGGAAGTGGCTCCACCTGTCTTTCTGGAGGAATTAGGAAAATGCATGTATGTTCCAGGTCATGGCCTCTGTGGACAGTGAAGCAGGTGGGATCTTCACATCGGTCACACCAAAGCAGTCTCTGTGTGATGGACAGTGGCACTCTGTGGCAGGTATGGCAGCCAGTCTCCCTTTTCATCTGATTTGAATGCTCCAAATACAGCCAGAGTTTATTAATCCATTAGTGTCTGACCAGGGTCAGCCCACCAGGTTAACATTGTAAACCAAAATTAATTTGATGCCCTAGCTGGTTTGGCTCAGCAGTTAGAATGTCAGCCTGCAGACTGAAGGACCTCAGGTTTGATATTAGGTCAAGGGCATGTACCTGGGTTGTGGGTTCCATCCCTGACCCTGGTCAGGGTCGTGCAGGAAGTAACCAATCGGTGTGTCTCTCTCTCTCCCTCTCTTTCTTTCTCTCTCCCTCTCCCCCTTCCTTCCCTTCCACTCTATCTCAAAATTAATGGAAAAATATCCTTGGGTGAGAATTAATAACAACAACAATATAATTATAATAATAATAATAATAATAATAATATTTTGACTATAGTAAAGAATAAAAAAGCATTTATTTGAGCAAAAGGAGCTGCAGCCCAGAAGACACAGATTCAGGTAGCAACCTAAATTCTGTTCCATTGAGACAAAGGAGGGCCATCTTTTATAGAGAAAGTTCCTGCCCAAGTTCCCAATTATATGCAAATGATGTTTCTAAATTGTGCAGTTCTGATTGGTCAATGTAGGTGCAAATGAAGATACAATTTATGTAATTCTGATTGGCCATGGCAGGTCTTAATCCATTGGTCAAAAGATGAAACCAGGCTTTCCCTGCAGTGGTTGTCCCAGATGGTGTCAACAAGCAGGGCACAGGGCAGGAAGCCAAGAGTTCATTGCAATTAAGATTATTAACATGGCCCTGGCCAGTTTGGCTCAGCATAAGAGCACTGCCCTCAGACCAAGGAGTCCTGGGTTCAATTCCGGCCAAGGGCATGTACTTCAGTTGCAGTTTATACTGGCCCTGGTTGGAGTTATGCGGGTGGCAACCAGTCAATGTGTTTCTCTCTCTCTCCCTCTCTCTCCCTCCCTCCCTCCCTCCCTCTCTCTTCCTCCCTCTCTCCCTCCCTCCTTTTCTCTTCCTCCCTCTCTCCCTAGCTCTGTCTGAGAATTAATGTGAAAATGTCCTCTGGTGAGGATTAAAAAAAAAAAAAAAAGATTATTAACATGGGAGGAATTTTACTTGGACAGTCAAAAGTGACTGCCTTTGGCATCAGTTTTCAGAAATCAGTGTCTTCCTGGGAAGAAGCTGAGGTCATGGGACTTAGGCATGGCCCCTGGAGATAGGAGCCCAGGGCCTGAATCCTGTTCAGCTGGTGAACAAGCCATCTTCACGCTCCTCAGTGACTAGGAATCAGTCTCTGGGAAATAGGATGATATCTTTCTCACAAATTTTAAGGATTAAATTCTGCAATATATGGGGAGGGACCCAAACACCACCTGGTGTGGAAAAATAGTTGAACTTATGTTTAGGTTGACTGAATTCCTAGGAATAGTGCTCCCACAGGTCCAACAGGAATGAGTTGAAAGAAGCCAGTGTTTTAATGGGCAGAGGAACTAAATAGACACCTCTCCAAACAGCACATACAAATGGCCAAGAGACATATGAAGAAATGCTCAACATCACTGATTAGTGATGCACAGAGAGATGCAAATTAAAACAACAATGAGATATCACCTCACACCTGTCAGAATGGCCGCCATCAACAAATCATCAAACAACAAGTGTTGGCAAGGATGTGGAGAAAAGGGGACTCTAGTACACTGCTGGTGGGAATGCAGACTGGTGCAGCCACTGTGGAAAACAATATGGTGTTACCTCAAAAAACTAAAAATTGAACTACCATTTTGACCCAGTGATCCCACTTCTAGGAATATACCTTAAGAAACCTGAAACACCAATCAGAAAGAATATATGTACCCCCATGTTTGTAGCAGCACTATTTACAGTAGCTAAGATCTGGAAACAGCCCAAGTGTCCATCAGTAGATGAATGGATAAAAAAGCAGTGGTACATATACACAATGGAGTACTATGCAGCTGTAAGAAAGAAAGATCTCTTATCCTTTGAGACGACATGGAGGGACCTGGAAAGTATTATCCTAAAGTAAGCGAAACAAGGCAAGCAGAAAAAGACAAATACCACATGATCTCACTTATTTGTGGAATATAATGAACATAACAGTCTGAGGAATAGGGTAGACCCAGAGACGTGGAAGTGGGGTACAGACTGACAACCCTCAGAAGAGTGGGTGGTGAGGGGAGGGAAGAGATAAACCACAGAACTTATATGCATGTACGCATAACCAATAGACATGGACAACAAAGCCAGGAACAGGGTGGGTGGTATGGGGAGAAGGGTGTCAATGGGGAAAAAAAGGAGAAACATTGGTAACAAAAATAAATTAATTTAAAAAATCAAATAAAATGAATAAAAACGTATTTTAAAAAAGAAAAAAACAAAAAGAAGAAGCCAGTGTCTTCACACCAGTGTAGACAGTGAACAGTGGGCAGCGCCCTCCCCAGGTCACACCTGACCAATGTGCTTTCCCTCCAGTCACCATAAAACAGCACATCCTGCACCTGGAACTGGATGGGGTCAGCAGCTACACGGCTGGACGGCTCCCCTTCCCGCCTGCCGGCACTCGGGAGCCACTGCACATTGGAGGTGTCCCAGGTAACGCTCCTCATGACGTCTGTGCCGTGTTTTTCCACGTCAGCTCTTAACATTTCCATTTTAACCCAACACATGCGATACCCCAGCCCATGGGCTGCCAGTAGAGCAGCTGTTGACTGTACAGTGGACATGGGGAAGCCCTCTGCTCTAGCACGTGGCGAAACCCAGTTGCCAGCAATGGGCACATTTAATGGCAGCCCAGGCCTCACTACCCCTGCTTCCTTGTCCCAAGCCTGTAATCTGTAAGCCTCTCTTAAGAGCCTGCGTTAACCTAGAAGCCTGATAGCAGCGAAGAATCGGGAAAGGGGCTGAGAGACTGGTTTCTCCCCTCCAGGCATTAGGTTTTACTGGTGAGTTATTAAGCTTTGTGGGGCCAGAATGGGACAGTCAGGCAGGTTGAGATGGAGTCAAGTTCAAGACTGGAATTTTGCCTGGAAAGAGTCTTGTCATTCTTCATTGTTTTATGTCCGTCCAAATAGTTTGGTCATTAATTTTACGGGTCTTCCGTGACCCACAGAAAGCACTCACGCTTAGAGTTATTATCTGTTGATTTGCCTGTGGAATCTACTTCTCTGAGGAAGTGGAGGAGTAGCCTTGTGCTGGTTTATCCCAGCAGGTGGGGTGTTGGGTACCTGCTCAAAGCAAGGAAATGACTGGGTGAGCTGAGGCCTGGGTCCCTTTAGTTCTAATCTATTTTTTAAATTGGGTTCATTTATTTGACAGTATGAATTATCCATTGAATGCCTCTCCTTTCCCTCTCTCAGCCGAGTTAAAGACTCTGAAAGTCCCTGTCTGGAAATCATTTTTCGGCTGCCTGAAGAATATTCAAGTCAACCACATTCCCATCGCTGTCACCGAAGCTGCGGAAGTCCAGGGGACTGTCAGTCTGAACGGCTGTCCTGACCACTAACTCAAACCAATGACACAGTGAGGAAATTCACCTTAAAGTCACTGATTACCAACGCACCTCCCTCTCCCTGCACAAGGTCATCCTTGACTTACGACACCATGCGAGCGGTTCAGTAGCAAATCCAAGTTTGAACTTTGATTATACATAACCATCATCTTGCCATTCAGTGCTACATGTGTATTTTATATAAAAATTCCATTTCTCGAAGATGATGAACAAATTGTTATATGCTTTTTGGTAATATCATTTTCCACTAAAATTGAAATGTCTTTTAAAGAACATTATTTTCCACTTGTTAAAAAATAAATATCTTTTAAAGCACTTTAGAAATACAAAAATTTTACATCTGTTAAGAGGTTATAATTTATGAGGTTAAATTAATGCAGTGTACTCTTTAAATTATGATGTTTTATTAACATAAAGCCAGTGGCTTGATGGTCATTGTTAATCGTATTAATTCTTCAGCACCCGTTCAATGTGTTACCTACAACACAGATTTCTATGAATAATTATTGAGCACGTACTGGTAGGTACTATGTGCACTCAACGTTGGGTTTACAGTCAGGTATAAGGAGTAATTCCTACCCTGAATGCAGTCCAATTTAGGAGGCACCCTATATTTATAGAATAGTAAATAACAAACCAATTTAATGAACATATAATCCACTTGGCTTCCGCCATACATCCTGCTACCAGTCAATTCTGGATTATGATGATCAGTTCCTTAAGAGCAAAAACTACCTAGTAGGGAAGCCAAGGTGGATAGACAGACTATAATTAGAGCTTGGCATGGCAAGCTAACAGTAGTCAATAGGAAGGAGGAATCACTTCTAGTTTTATCTACAAAGTAATGAACCATGTACTAGACCAATATTTTTACCCAGCACTAATCTCCCTAACAAAGAGGACTACTTAAAGACTTCATAGCATTTGTTCATCAGGAGGAAAATAACAAATAGTTCTGAAATTTGGATATCATAATTCTATATAATTCTTATAGCTACATGACCACGTCCCCTGAAGCTGGGCCGTATTTCCTTCAACTCGGTACTCTTTTATGACCCTCACACTGCAGTCTGGTGGGGGTGCTTTCTAACAACCATGTCTATGCAAACACGGAGGGTTTCCTGGAGAGGTAGCAGGTCCCCATCCCCGGGATATTCAACAGAGGCTGGCTGGTAGACCTCAGAGATGCTGTGCTGGGTCAGAGGTTGAATTGTATGACCTTAAATCATGTACTTTCAGAAAACATTCATTTTCAAATGAAAACTTCACCAGGCGATGACCACCCAGACCCTGGGTCTGTTCTGCACCTGTCTTTGGCAGTTCCACACTAAGCAGGTGATTCTCTCTTCTGGGCTCCTGGTGTTAACCTAACTGAATCTTCAGTTATTCATTATACAGGTCCAGTTACTTCTTCACTAATGGTGTTCCCTGCAGTTTGAAGTAGTTTGAGAAACAGCTGTTGATCTGTCCTTGCTGAATATAATCCCAGCCACCAGGAGGCAGAAGAGAGGGTCACAGGTGGAATTAGTTGAGGCGGCAGAAGGCTCTCAGCGTGGCTCTTCTCAGACTGCAAATGTGTGTTCCCTGAAAGGAATGTTTCCGCTCCTCAACGGAACATTGTGGAAACTCTGTGTAAGCTCTCAACTATGATCACTGTTCTCTGTCTCCTGGCTCACCTCTCACAAACCGTGCTGACCTCGGGGTACAGTCTAAGGAGAGGCTGCAAGAGGACTGGTTGCCGACTCTGACCAGGTCACGACCGGTCCACAGCTGGTTTCATTTTGGTCCATGGGAGTGGGGCCTGGATTGGGAGAAGACTTTCCCTCGGCACATCTCCCTGGGCAAGTCTCCCCAGGGCACAAAGTGAAGCAATTGTGGGCCTTCAGGAGCTGCTGCTGCAGCGTCTGGCACCTCTGACCTCATTCCTCAATGCTAAGGCTGTTGAGTTTTGGCCACACTCGCAATAACCCCGTGGCAGAGGTCAGTGGCCCCGGGCAGGACATGCTGACATTCCCTTCCTCCCGGACAGTGGCCTCACTTCCCCCACAGGGCGCGCTGACTCAGCTCCCTGCTGCCCCCCTTCCCCCCGGGCTGCACTGCAAAGCCCCAACCCAGACTTCTGCCCCCTCGGCCTCCCTCACGCCTCTCCACGTCCCCAGTTCTCACGAATTCCAGCTTTGGGTAGGTTCCTGCTAGCCCCAGAAAGGCCGGATTTCTTAGGAATGAAGGCTGACAGCCAGTGTATGAGTAGAACCATTTCTAAATCACATTATCCTATTGAATACAAATGGTATTTTTTGTAAACTATAGAAATTGGAATATACAAAGAAGCATAAAGGCACCCATAATCTCATCACTCGGAAATCGGTTTGTATTTAGTTATATAACTATTATTCTTTGTGTTTTCTCACAAAAATCACAATTATATATATTTTATATGTTTTTAAAAACTATACTGTGGCTGTTTCCCAGGTCTTTGACTATAGAGTATTACATCAGCTGGATTTACCATAATGTATTTAAGCAACCTCTTAGAATGAATATGTCCTGGACTGTAAGCTTACTTATTTTCTTAGGATAAATTCTTAGAAGTAAAACTTCCAGGCCAAAGGATATGTACATTTTTATATTTGTAGTTAGTTATTGCCAAATTGTTTCCTAACAGGCTATATCCACTTACATTCATATCTTTAAAAAAAAAATTTTTTATTATTTTTATTTTTTGTCCTCACCCAAGGACGTTTTTCCATTTTTTTGTTCAGATAGAGTGGGAGGGAGAGAGAGGAAGAAAGAGAAACATCGACATAAAGGGACACATCGAGTGGCTGCCACCCGCACAACCCAACCAGGGCCGGGGACAAACTGCAACCCAGGTGTGCGCCCTTAGCGGGAACTGGAAACCAAACCCGGGTCTTGTGGGACCACAGGCCAACGCTTAACCGCTGAGCCAAACCGGCCAGGGCTTTTTTATTATTTTTAAAATTTATTTTTATTATTGAAATTATTACAGATGTCCCCCTTTTTCTCCCATTGACGCCCTCCACCCCACTCTTACCCTACCCATGTCTTCACTGCATTTATTATTGTCTGGTTTTTTGTTTTTGTTTTTGTTTTTTATCCTCACCCGAGGACATTTTTCCATTTTTTGTTCAGGGAGAGGGGGAGGGAGAGAGGAAGAGAGAGAGAGAAACATTGACATGAAAGGGACACATCGAGTGGCTGCCACCCGCACGACCAACCAGGGCCAGGGACAAACTGCAACCGAGGTACATGCCCTTAGCGGGAACCGAACCCGGGTCTCTCTGGACCTCAGGCCGACGCTCCAACCACTGCGCCAAACCAGCCAGGGCTATTATTGTCTGTTTTTTAAAACTGACTTTAGCCCCTGATGCCACTACATATAAACTCACCAAAGTCTGCCCACGGTCTTCAGGACCGGGAGTACCCATTGGAGCAGGCCAGTTCCAGAGCTCCAGCTGGCCCAGGCTCATCGCAGCCAGAATCACATCACCTGGAAATGCTCGGTCCGCTGATGGGCTCTGATGGGCGATTCTGCAAAAACACCTGCAGACCGCAGGCCGTTTTATCCTTCATCCATAGGAACCAAAGCTGAGCCCCAGACACAGCCAGGTTTGCAGAACATGTCACTCTTAGAGAGCTCCACACCAACGCCAGGCCTGGGATGTGTTTTCAGAAAGGAGCAAGGCACTCCTCTGAGGGTCTGGAGGGCTTGCCGTGTTCTCTGAGCAGCTGCCTAACCTCAGCCATGGCGCCAGCCAGAGGCTTCATCGTCCTCCACCCTGCAAGTTAGCTTGCTTTGTGATTGAACCTTTCGTAGGGATTCGCTCAGGTAAAATTTCCAGGGTTTATTTATTTATTTGTGCTGTAGTGCAGTTTTTATTATTTATTTATTTGAAATTTCCATCTTCCCCACCCCCCTCCTGTTTAGCTACCATCAGCTTGTTCTCTGTATCTATTATATTTTCTGTTTGTTTGTTGTTTATTCATTTTTTTAGATTGCACATGTAAGTGAAATTATACAATATTTGTTTTTCTCTGACTTATTTCACTTAGCATTGTACTCTGGAGGTCCATCTATGTTGTTGCAAATGCAAGATTTTATTCTTTTTAATTGCTGAATAATATTTCATTGTGTATATATACATATATATATACACATCACATCTTCTTTATTATTCATCTATTGAATGACACTTAGATTGTTTCCATATCTTTTTTTTCCTTCATTTTTTTACTCCTCACCCAAGGATATTTTTCTTTTTATCATTAGATAGAGTGGGAGGGAGGGAGAGAGAGATAGAGAGAAACATCGATGTGATAGAGCCACATCAACTGGTTGCCTCCCTCATGATCCAACCAGGGCCTGAGACGAACCGCAACCAAGGTACGTGCCCTTAACCAGAATTGAACCCGCGACTCATTGGTCCGAGGGCCGACACTCTGACTGCTGAGCCAAACTGGCCAGGGAAGTTTCCATATCTAGACTATTACTAGTAATGCTTCAATGAACATAGGGGTGCATATACCTTTTCAAATTAGTGTTTTTATTTTCTCTGGATAATACACACAAGTGGAATTGCAGGATCATATGGCAGCTATGTTTGTAATTTTTTGAGGAATCTCCATACTGTTTTCCACAGTGGCTGCACCAGTCTGCATTCCCACTAACAGTGCACAAGGGTTCCCTTTTCTCCACATTTCCATCAGCACTTGTTACTTGTTGATTTATTGATGATAGCCATTATGACCGGTGTGAGGTGACATCTCATTTTGTGGTTTTTTTTTATTAATTTGTTTTTGTTACAGATGTTTCTTGTTTTTCCCCCATTGACACCCTCCTCCCCTTCCCCATCCCATCCCCAATTTTGTTGTCTATGTATATTGGTCATGCATACATGCATGTAAGTTCTGTGGTTTATCTCTTCCCTCCCCAACCCCCCTCCTCTGAGGCTTGTCACTCTGTACCCCACCTCTATGTCTCTGGGTTAATTTTGTTCAGCAGTCTGTTTAGTTCATTATATTCCACAAATAAGTGAGATCATGTGATATTGGTCTTTCTCTGCTTGGCTTGTTTCGCTTAGCATAATACTCTCCAGGTCCTTCCATGCCATCTCAAAGGATAAGAGATTTTTGTTACAGCTGCATAGTATTCCATTGTGTACATGTACCACAGCCTTTTATCCACTCATCTACTGATGGACACTTGGGTTGTTTCCAGA